AAAAAACACCAAGTGGGTTTTTTCAAAGTGGGCCCACTTGGGGAACCCTGGTTATATGTATTTTATATTAAGTTTAAATAACGCATTATCACTACCTATTTGAATCTTCTTTATTGTTAAGTGCATTATGTTTCATAATTTTTTAAATTAGGAATTATAAAATATAAATGCAGTAATATAAAAGGAACAAGTTTATTAATCTTTTTGTTTTCACACACATTTATTTACTATATTTATTAAACATATGGATATTACCTATTATAAAATTATAATCTGTAAATATTTATAATCAGTAAAAACTAAAATTTCATCTGACTTGAGTTAAATAAAAAACTGAAATAAATATTTAATGGTCTTACATGTTTTTATAATAAAGTTAATAGAAAGTGAAATTAAAACTACGAATAATTATAAAGAGTATCAGTTACTTGTCCCATTTGTTTTCAAATAATTAACCCTAGGAAAATGATTTCATTTTTAGATAAATAATTTTAAAAAGTTCTCTTATAAAAAGTTTTAGATTTTTTTTTTTAAAGCCAGAAAATAAAACTGTTCAAATTTGTTAATGTATCACTTGGTAAAAAAAGAAAAAAAAATTTCTTTTCAATTTTTTTAAACATATGAATTAATAATAATAACCTGTTTATTAATATATAAAGCATGCAACTATATTTGAAAAATTGATCTTTTCAGAGTATATTATTTACATTTTTATTTGATTTAATATCATTAAAATATTACTTTTTGAAAAAACCCACTTGAAGTTTTCAATAGTACCTACTATAAAATTATATGAAGATTCGAGTTTCTTTTACTTTACTAATATTAGAAACTTAATCTTATAAATAATGCAACTCTATTTGACAAAAAAAATTTCTTTTGTTGAAAAAGCCCACTTATTGTTCCAAGTGGGTTTTTTCAAGGTGGGCCCACCCAATAAAACCCGGGCACGTTTTTTCAAAGTGGGCCCACTTGGCGAACCCTGGGAACAGGAGACTTTTCGGTACTGCTAGCGATGTTTTTTAACATAACTTAGTTTAGCAACCTGCGGGATTTATCGCTATTCCGGATAACTGATTTTTCCGGTTTTCTGAATCGCTACAAAAAGCCGTTTTTTTAGTGTTAAACCTAACTAAAAAAAAATTATTTGGAAATAATCTTTAAAATAAGAAAAAACGATGAGGTAATACACTAATGATTATTTCTGAAATGATGGTAAGGTAAACAAACATCTTTCAAAAAAGAAAAAAAAATCGTAAATTCTTATGAGGAAAAAAAATAATTTTTTTTAAAAAATTGCGGGGAAATTTATCAAACTTCGTTCCGGTTTTTTGGTTTTCCGGTTTTCTGATTTCCGGATAACGGGTTCTGTACTGTATTTTCTGTAAATATACTAATTTTTTTTTTAATTTACAAATTTAGTGCTAGAACACTAACGTTTATATAAAAATTATCATATTTGCCACATAACTTGACTAAAGGGTTCGTGGTATATAACAATTGGGTCATTTAATAAAATTTTAGTCATATTGAGAAAAAAAATTTGTTCTTATTTAGGCAACTATTTTCATGCTTTAGGCTACTAAAAGCAACTACTTTGTTCATTTTTTTTGTGTGGCAACCGTGTTATTAGACACCTTATGCATCATAATAAACTTTTTACTATATTTTTTAATGAATAGATATCAATAAATTAAATACAAATATTAACTGATAAAAAATTGAAAATCAATAAAGGTCTCATTTTAAAAAAAGCAAGTCAGCCATTTAATAAGAACTGGTTGATCCTATTAAGTGGCTGACTAACTTAAATCAGTAAATTTTTTTTTTTTTTTTAAGTTACTGTAGCCACCTCTTTTTAACTCTCAACTTGCTAAGTTTGCTTTGTCTTCAAAAAATATTCTGAGTTGCACTGATATTCATTGAATAAAAAAGTTTTGTGTATATATATAATCATAGATAACTCTCAAATTAAAATTTCCTAAGTATTATTTATTTCTCAAAACTTATTATTTTGAGTTTAACTAGAGTAAAAAAAAAAATGAATAAACATGAAATACTTAATTTTATTATTCATTAATATTATCTACATTTTATTTACAGGAATCTGCTTACGTGCCAGTTGATGAGTCAGATGCATCTTCTGTTGAAGTTGTGCAGATAATAAAATCATGGTTGCTGGTGACAAAGAATTCCCGAAATTCCAAGATGGAATTTCTGTCACTGCTAAGGTGTGTATTTACATATATCTTTCCTCTTTCCTAAACTGTTTGATATAATTCTTGATTTAAAAATTTACAAGGCATTCTATTCCATTCCTTTTAAAATTATATTTTAAGAATATTTTATACTTGGGAATTTTTCAGAATGCATTTAAAAGACAAAATGAATTGAATGGGATGCCTTCAAGTGATTAAGTGTGGATAATTCGATTCTGGTTGGTTGTTAAAACATGGCATTTGTTTATGTTAGCCTCTATTCTTTCCATTCTATTTCGAGTGAGCCAAGCCCATCAATTCTCTTAAGTGACACATTCTATACTCTTGCATGATTTCGATTCTTTCACTTGTTTCTTACTTAGTCTTTTTCTTACTAAGACAGGCATGAAGCCATATAGAACATAAACAAACTAATAATTATGCATTGAAGTTTCCAGGTACACAAAACAAAAATATGTCACGATTACAATAAAATAATAAATCTAAGCTAAGTAAAAGATATAGACAGGAAAGAATTATATTTGAACTAATTTGATGTGCAATACAGCACTGTATTTAATTAACTTCATTTAATTAATATTCTAATTTATGTGGAGAAACTTAGCTCAACTTTTACTCCCCATTTTGCTTGAGATAAGCTCCTGAGAGCAAGTATGTACTTTGGTAGCAATAGAAACATTCTATTACAGCTGAAAGGAAAAGTTTTTTAGTTTATTAAAGGGAAACTTGTTAGCTCATTTGGGAAAAGTAGAGCTTACAAAGAATTTCATAAGTACAAAAAATTATCTTGTTTCCATAGTGGTTGTGTACAACTGCTGTCTTTGTTATTTGGAGGCATAAAGATGTCAACCTAACTTTGTCAAACTGAAATGTTTAGTTTGTTACATTTCGTTGGTAGGCTTCCTAAATGCATGACTGACAGATGGGTTTAATTGAGAGTTGACAGGCTTCATAATTTACTATCTTATGACTCCTGTTTGAGAGTCTCTTTTTATATTGGACAGATATATGAGTTGAAATGAAATTATACAAAGATTAATTCGTTTGTTGAAATTTGTAATTTCTTTATCCTTTTTTTTGTGCCTATGTAATTGTGTATATAAATTATTTTTCAGAGAAACGCTGTTGTTCATGTTATCCTCAAACTGGGCAAATTGCACAAAGCAAAATGATTTGCTACATGTATTTGGGAACTACCACCAAAAGTTTTCAACTATCGTAAATAAGGCAGAAACTATAAAAAATGCAGTTCTTCAATTGTCTAACGATCCTTGGGGAAATCCTTTCTTCCAATGGACAGAATTGGCTTTGGGTAAATTGACTGTTGCAGACAGAAAAGGTGAGATCTTTCTTACTGTTAATTTCTTATTTCCTGTCAAATTTTAGAAATGTATGGATTATTTTTCTGAACCAAATGTATTTATCTCTTTTGCCCTTATTAAATTTCTTTTTCTCGCAAAGAATTTTTTTGTTTTAAAAATTTCAATTGCAATTACATCTTAATACACATTTTAATTCCAATTTTAAATTTATTATATCATACATTTATTACTTAGCTTAATTAAGCATGCTAAATATATAGTGCTTATTTTTTGTTGCACAGTTTGAAGGTTATTATAAATATATGTCTTTTAGTTTACTTGCCACAATTGCCTAGGGTATGTGCAATTTTAAAAAGTGATTATTTTTGATTTTCGTTTTTAAAAGAACTTAAAGACGCTTCTTTTTAATTGGGTGTTTTTAAAAGGTGCTGAATTTTCCAAAATGAGATTTTTTTTTCTTTGTCATGTTGATTTTTGCCATAGAATTATGCAAAAGCTTAGTTTTTCCAATTCATTCAACCACAATCCATTTCTGCATAACTTAGGTCTTTAGGATATGAAAACGCTGATCAATTTACATGTTCCATGAATTACTTGCAGATTTGTATGAGAGTGGAAGAATTCTTGCACTCTCGTGTGAAACTCTGCTGCAAGAGATTCTGAATTTCATGCTTCATTTTCCACCTTCTGAAATAGAAAATAAAAATCTCCCGAATTTTCGCTGATCACTAGGACCAACCAACCAAACATTATCAACCAAATTTTTACCTCTAATAGCAGAAGAAAATTTTCTTTTGTTAATTTCCTTGTTGGTAATTCGCCATATTTAGTAAAAAAAAATAATTTAAAAAAATAATAACTTTATTGTGGCCTAACCTGGCTTGAAAACCTTCACACTCTCTTAAAATTGAGAATGTGCATCATTAATTACATTAAGCAAACGATGTTTTATGCTTTGTAAATTAATATTTTTTTAAAAAAAGAAAATTATTTTGTTTAAGTAAAGTAATGGGATTTTAAAAATCAGGTGATTTAAATATTGAATTTAATCATGGTAACCCGTGTACCAATGCATTAATATACCGTGTACCAATGCATATAATTTTAGTTTTATCATTTCCTTGTCATTTATATTTTTCCTATTCCGTTGATTGTAGAATGGTGTAGCAAAATTTTATTGCTAGTATTTCTGTAACTTCAACACCGGATCATTAAAATAAGAGAATGTTTAATATTTAGCAATAGTATGTAGCTTTCACTGCTTTAATATAATTTTTTAATCACTATTTTGTGCCGTCCACCCATTATTGTATAATTTTAATTTTATCTCCTTGGGTGGTTGTACATATTTTTCCTGTCTGTTCTGTTGGTAGTACAACAGTGTTTAAAATTTTGTTGGTATTTCTGAACTTTAACTGAACTAACATTATAATAAGTAAGAGAATGTTTGATATTTAGCAATAGTGTGAAACTTTTATTTAACTGTTTTTATATGAATTTTTAATCACTATTTTGTACCCATGCATTATTGTATAATTCTAATTTGATCATCTCCTTTGGAAGGTTTATTTTTTTCCTATCTATTATGTTGGTTGTATTAATGGTGTTTAAAAAAATTTTTGCTATTTCTGTAACTTCAATAATTAAAATCAGAGAGACTGTTTGATATTGAAAGTTCTACCTAAAAAAAAAAGAAAAGCACAGTTTGAATTTTGAAGAAGCACTCACATAACACCTTAAAAATTTATCTTATTATGTAATATTATGTAATAACTGAATTTGATCCTCAACAGTTTTTAAAGTAGTTAAAAAGAAATAATTAAAGGCGTGCTAAAAGACAATCTCTAAGCATAAATTTTTTTTAAAGAAATATTAATTGATAAACAACTTGAAAGCTTTTCTCTAAAATTTAAACAAAAAATTATGAATAAGATCTCTTTTCTTATGCAAAAATAATAAAATAATAATTTGGCTCAATTTTTAAAACTTGAACAAAAACTTATAACTGTCATTTATGTCTCGATTCTTCATAGATTTCTTTTCTTTATTGTTAATATTTCTTTGAATTAAAATATTTTTATTTGTTGCGTTTAATTCATTCACAGCGCGCAAACATTTGTTAATTAAATTTCTCAAGAATGGCCCAAATCCGTCAGAGTTGATATCTCTACTCTATTAATTTTGTTATGAAATTGTAGGTATTTTTTATAATGTGTCTCAAAATTGTGAACTTTATTCATTTATAGTTGAATATTAATATATATATCTTCTTTTTTTTTTTCAGTTCAAAGCTATTTTTCTCAAGAACCTGAAGAAATTGTTTTGGCCAGAGTTCAGTCATTTGTTTTGCACAATAATCTACCATCAGCTTTGGGTCTTGCAAAATTGTCTTTTTTGTACCATAGTCGAATTAAGAGGAATCTGGCGAAACCTAGTAAAGCAATTGGATCACAAATTGAAGATATTAGCTGCGAAGGTCATGCATCTATTGATTGGTATATGACACTTTTAGAAAGGAAGAGATCTCTTTCGGCCATTATTAAAGAAGTATGTCTCTTAATTTTTTGCAAGTGTAAAAATTTTTTATAACTTACTGTACATTTCTTATTTCCCTGCTGTATTTATTACTCTTAGTTTGGTATTGTGCACTTTCATTTTTATTAGAAAAATGGTTTCAATATTCAGAACTGCAATTCAAAGTTTTAAAGTACCAGACTGCCTATTTTAAGTTTATTTTGACTAAATGATCAGTTTTCTGTTTTTTATCTGCAATAAACCTAGAAACTTTTTTGTTTCTAAAACCGTTTTAGTTATTTTTTTATGTCAAATCGAACAGAAGCTGTGATGATTTTAGAAAAAAATTATTATTTTGGTTGTTACATTAATAACTGCCTTTTTTCTTTTCTTTTTTCTTCTTCTTTTTTTACCTAATTTAAAATTTTTTAGGTTTAATCTTTAATTCAAGAGGGAATACTTTTAGTTTAAAAGAAAACTTCCTAATGTTAAATAAGGAATTCTGTATATTTTCATGGAATTCTGTATGTTTTCAATTACTTTTTTATTTTTTTGCAATCATGTATTTTTATTCAACTTTGCTTAATCACAGTTGACATATCTGGTGGTTCATCTGGTTCCCCTTTTCTTTTTGAAGGAGAATTTTAAAGTTTATAAAATGCTAACATTTGGGAACAAAAATTTTTCTCTGGATACTTTCTTCTGTCCATTGGATATATTCCTGTTGCTGTGGTTGCGGGTTCGAATCCCGCTCAGGGCATGGATGTTTCTTTCTCTCTCTGTGTGTTCTATGTTCTTTCTTCTGTGTGAATGTAACCCGCCCTATAAACTGGTTTGTGGTTCTATGACGTGGGTGACGCTACTCCACTGCCGTGGCTTAGCCATAGGTGCTCACTGGGTAATGATAAAAGTGTAGCAATTATGTCATTTCTGAGACCAATGGGAAATAGACCCAGGTGCCCGCCATTAACCGGAGAAAAAAAAATTTGTAAATTTTAATATTTAAATAATTATTTTGTAGCATTAAAATATAACTACTGACAAAATATTTTAATTCATCCAATTGTGTATTTTGTAAGATAAAAATATTCTTTTGGAAAGAATTAAATTCTATTATTTATATTTTGCTATAATACTTATGTGTGCTTATTTTTATTCGTATTTGAAACCTTATTTACTAAAGAGAGAAGAAAAACAAAGTTATTCCAGTCAAGTGATTTTCTTTATTTATGTATTAATGTTTATGTTTATAAGCCAAATGAATAATAACGCTTGGTATAAGGGCAGATTTTAATTCTGTTTATTTGGGAAAAAACATTTATGCCCTGGTTTTATCTGAAATTTTCAATTGTCAACAGTTGATCTATCACAAAAGTTGTGTGTGTAAATTGTGCATTTTTTTTTTTTTATATGTTGAAATTCTTTAATATTTGTCTTATTATACAACGATAATTTTTCATAAATCACCTGTGTTTTAGGTAATTAGAAATTGTGCATTTTTTCTTCATCAAATTGGGACAAAATTATGAATGTAGGTAATTTGCCAAAAAAAAATTTAAAAAAAAGCATTTCAAGCAAGCATCATAGTCTTAGATTTAACATTTGCTTTTAATTGTACTAAAAATTGATGAAATATTAATTTAAAAAAAATATATTGTCAACAAATGCTTGTTAAATAGTTTTATCAAATCAAGTGTTGTAAAATGTCTGATTTTTCTTAAAATTACTTTTCAGGTTAGCCGCCTGAATTGTCATGAAGGAGTTGAAATAATTTGCCGCCTAAAAAGAAATAAACATTTCAATAGTTTGATTCTTACATTGGTGCAAATTTTTATCATGCAAGATTTGATCAAACCATCAAAACATTGCTGCACAAAGGTATGCTGGTTCTTACTAATTTTTACATATAATGCTTATAGTTTTATTGTATGCAAATGGGAAAATTTATTCTTATTTTTCTTCAATCTAAGTTTTTCTAAAACAAGCATATACAACATTTTGTTTCAGCAATAAAATTTAAATGAGCTTCCTTCTTATGCCAGCCAATGATAGAAATTTAAATATCTGAGTATTAACTTCGTAATTAATTCTTTTATGGAAACTTTCATTTTTTGGAATGTTAAATTGTTAGATTTCAAAGAATTACCTATTTTTTATCAAGGGAAAGTATAAAAAAAACACATTTTAATTCATTAGCTGTGCATGGCATGGATGCTAAGCTAAGAGCAGAATTCCCATGGGATAAAAATCAAGGAATAATTTAATAATAATTTTTCCCTTTTTTTTAGCAATAAGAAAAGGAAATAAAATTAATTGTGAAATTCATGACAATAATAAGTAGCAAATGCAATAATTTAATATCTATTCATTTCTGAAAAGTGCCACTACAATCCAAAAATGTGTTAATTATTAGGAAATATTCTTGTCCTTTTTTTTTTTTTTTTAAGGTTTTGCTTTAAATTTATTTAGCTTCTTAATAATCTTAATCACAATTAAAATTTATGATAGCTATATGCAACTAATGTAACTTAAACTATACACGTTTTAAAATTTTGCTGATGCTTGTGCAGATTGATATCCAAAAATTTGCATTGTTTATTATAAAACTACATGTTAAGCCCATTAAATTCTGTCCCCTTTAAAATATGTTTGATATATATTTTATTAAAAAGAAAGTTTCTTTGCATATTGAATAAAGGATGTATTTCTTATGAAATATTGCCATATAAAAGTAAGAATGTAAAAGTCATGGTATGGTTTTTTTTTTTAATTGAATGGTAGTGTTATAGGGGAGTGTCGGTAACCCCAGCCCACTGTCAATTTCATATGTATAGAATATTTTTTCAAGTCAATGGGCCATCGGACATTACTTGTTATATTAAAAAAAGATTATTTTCAAAGTTTCAAAATATTTGTGATATACTCAAATATTTGTGATAAAAATGATAAATGAGGTTTATCTATTGTCAATACATTGGTCATTTTCATTTACACCTGAAAAAATAGTCAAAAAACATAATTTTTGTAACTGGGCGGGGCTACCCGTCACCTTTTGAAAAGAGCTGAAAAACATGTTTTTTTAAATTTCTACTTTCTTAAGTTAAACTATTCTTTTTATGGTTTATTCTTTTTGCATTATGTAATTAGATGTTAAAACAATAGAACCATACAAAAATATTGATTATTACTCAATATTATACAGAAATATAAGCAAATCAATCCTTAAGTAGGTGGGGCTACCCAACTCCCCACTACCTGAAAATGTCAGGAGATTCTAAAATTAACCAAAAAATCAGGAAAGAGAATTAAAAGCTTACGTTAACCAGCATTTGATTTATTTAACTAGCTGTTACTTTTATAAAGCTAAATTATGCTTTGTGTTGCAGAACCTTTTTGATTTATTTTGCCTGATCCATAAAGAACGGAATTCTAATGTAAAGGAAGTAACGGAGAGTATAGAAAAGATCTTTGCAGCTCATGCACCTAGCAGTTCTCATTTATACTTATTAGTTGATGTAATGTGGGAAAAAGTATGTATTTGTTAATTTTATATTTTGATAATTCTCATGTTATGTTTATTACAATTCTGTGTAACTCTTAATTTTCCCTACAGTGAATAAAAACTCCTTGCATTTATTCTACTTTGAAATTATTTATAAAGCTATAAGTGTGGTTAATTTCACTAAGGTTTTTATATTTATTTTTGATACCCAAGTATTTCATACTTAAATTATTTCTAATTATTGATAACGAAAGATACTTAGTTACTTCCAAAACAAATAAAATTTATCCTGAATTTTGAAAACATTGAAATTTATAAAATTTTAATTATTTGTTGTAGTTCATAAAATTATTCTTAATAATTTTCATATTGTATCATTTACCCTTAGTTAGTTATGAACTGTATCAGACAATCTTATCACTGACCTCGGGAATCAAAATGACATTTAAGAAATCATTCCAGATTTGATCTTGTATCCTATGACATAATTTATGCACTAAAAAAAAAAATATATTGATTTTCTTTGTGTAGAGCCATCAATAAGTCCTAGTCACTAATCTAAAAAAAATAGTTAATTGTTTAAGAAGTTCCCATTTGAAAAGTCTTACTGTTTAACCTTTTGTATATATTTGTGTTTAGCTTTTCATTCTCGTTCATTGCCTAAATTAAATGTTTAGTGGTTTCTATTCTCATTATAATGTTGTTTCCTATTTCACCAATATTAAAGTAAAACTTGTGAGGAAACTTGTTTTTAACTTTCTCACCCTTAAAAAGTAAGGAATAACTTGATAAGTGTCTGATATAACATAAATTAGAGATTCTATATTACAAGCTTATGTTATACAATTTTTTAAAACTTAATTTTATCCTACCTAATTTAGAAGCATTTTGCTGTTTTAGAAGTTTTTCTTTCCCCATGAAAAAATTCTTAGACCAAATTTACTGCATTTCAAAAAGTGGAGCAAATTTGTTTGTTCCTCTCCATGAAAAAAAAAAATCGAAGTTCTAAAATTATCTTAACAAACATTGTGGTATAAAAGAATATTTCTTGCAGTTTTTTATATTTCATTCAGTATTTTCTTTTTAATATTTTTCATTTATTTTGTTTTAGTTTGGAGCCAAATTCTTCTCATTATACATTGAATTCTGTATAAGAGGTTTAACAGCAGACATCAATTATCTGGAGATTGCAAAAAATGAAGATCTTCATTGTGATAAAAGTGAATTAGAAGTACACATAGCCAAAATGTTTGCTAAACTGTCTACGTTATTCAGCTTCTATGACGAAGCCAAACGAGATTGTATGTTCAGTGCCTTCATCCTAAAACCATCAAAATCTAGACATAAGTATTTGCAACACGTCAATAGGATTATACAAGAAAAACAGCTGGAAGCTTCTGAAAATTCTAATTTCGATTTGCCATTTAGAGACTGTACGTGCAACCGTATTTGTAATGGATACTGTAAAGTACCCACATGTGACAATACTTTTGAGCATCCACTTTTAAAAAAGGGCATTAGAAATGTCCCATTTTCTCTTGTTGAAGATTTAGTTAGTGTTTTGGAGAGTGTTCGTTGCTTAAAGTTTCAGTACAATGTATTTAATTGGAAATTTGCTGGACCTAAAATAGCAAATTATTTTAAATCCTCTTTAAGAAGTAGAAATAGTATTAGTAGTGTTGATAGCAGTCAAGCAAAAAACACCCTAGAAAAAGTTTGCAATGAAGATAATAAATCTTTAATGGAAGTGGATGTAACAAAAAGATTACTTTCACCTAATGCTCTTGTTAAGAGAAAAAACTCTTCAGATAATTCTAAGTCTGATTTTCTAGATGTTGGAGCTAACATTGAAGTTCACAGTGATGACAGTTCTAGTAAAAGAATCAAAATATCTTTACCGCCTGCAAAAGAGACTCCAGAAGATTCAGTGAGTTCCATTTGTAACCTTAAAATCAGTGATGCAATAGAAAAAGTAATTAGATCATCTCTTAATAGTGACAAAACATCAAGAGAACAAACTTTTATGTCTATGGCACCTGCATTAAATGAGCCTTACTTAAATAATACAAGTTGTCCTATTAATATAACTGACAAAATGCGTCATGTTATTAATAGCAACCAAAGTCCGTGTGATAATAAAAGTGTCAGAGCGGGTGCTAATTTAGTAACAGCGTTGCAGCATAGTTATGTTTCCAAGCCTAGTACTGACTCTCCTCCTTTAAAGCAAGGTTTAGTTAGACCAAGTGTGGTGATGAAAGCAGAAAACTTATCTGACAAAAAATATATTCAACCATATGAATCATCTAAACATTCTTTATTAAAAAGTTCTCTGTTAAAACCAGACTTGCATCACAAATCATTAAAAGATTTGGGTGTCAAGTCAAATCTGCCATACAAAAGTGAACAGTTTAGTAACAATTATTTGCAAAAATCTTTGCAGAATGTCCAGCTTAAACAAACAAACCAGATGATAGACAGAAATAGTAATGATCATGGTGCTATAAATTTAAGCTCAACAAGACACTTGGACATCCCATCTTCCAAACCATTGCTCGAGATGTCTCATCAATATCCTCTTGATCTGAAGTGCAATAAAAAATTTGAAGTTCAGAAAACAAATAGAGCAATTGGGACTTCAAATGAGTCTGTATCTAATCAAAATATTCATTATAATAATCAATTGGCAGATAGACTTTCAAATACACCATCTGTTGAAGCAAAAATGGTTGATAGAAATTCAGTAATTCAACACACAATGCAGCACTTAGATATTAAAATACCAAAAAATCTGACTGTGTCTATCATTTCTGATAGGACAAAACAGAACGATACTTCAAATTTGCCAACTTTTAAGCTTAAAGTTCCAAACAGAAATTTACCAAAACACAATTTTGTCCCTGCCAACTTGGTGATTAATCGTCCACTTCCATCCACTTCTTCAACAAATATTGTTTCAGATAAAACTTCTACTCATGATAAGCAAGAAATGATCACAATTCCTGGTATTCTTGCACCGAAGTCGGTGATAAAGCGATCTTGGGAGGTTCCATCTGTTCAGAATAACGTTGAATTTAAAAAAATAATTCACACATCTTCTACTACTAAAAAGACATACTGCCATCCTTATCAGAAGCAACCAGTGCCGGTGAAAGATGAATGGCCTCGGGAGTTTATAAGCAAAACTGAAAAAGTTACAAAACGGGAAACAACCTATCAAATTTATAAAACTAAGCAAATGACAGATAATGTCAATACTGGAAAGTGGAAAACAGTGGGGGATGTCATTAACTCAGTTCAATCACCAGTTTTATTGACAAATCCTCAATTGCTATCTCGTAGCTCAGTTCAATCACCGGTATCATCAACGAATCCCGAAGTGTTGTCTCGTAACTCGGCTCAATCAACAGTTTCTTCATCAAATTCTCAATTGCTGTCCATGAACTTGGTTCAGTCAGCAACTTTGCCATCAAATTCTCAATTGTTATCCATGAACTCAGTTCAGTCAGCAGTTACATCATCAAATTCTCAACTGCTGCCTTTGTCATACCAAAATTCTAATAATTCTAGAGCTACAAGTTCATTCTCAAATAACATAGCTGTTCATAAATCTCATCAGTCAAATACACAAACAACCATGTCTGATTTTGATAAACCTTCTCACTGTTCCTATTCTTATAAAAATGATGCTGTGTCTGTTCCTAATCCATTACAGTCTAAACCTTCTTATAATGTAAAAGACAATTTTACAACTCAATCCGAACTAGAAAAAAGGTCTGGCTTACCTGTTATTGGCACGTCTTTGTTAAAAACTTCACTCACATCTCAATCTCCTCTTGTTAGAAAACATAATTCACAAATAATGCAGTTACTTGATTACACAAACTCTAAAGCTTTAAAAGGCTCTAATACATCAAACATTTCAACTACTACTGGAACTTCACCTGGTTTATCTGTTAGTTCATCCAATTTAAATCAAAGGTTTCAAAGTAATTTATCAAATCTTGGTACTTCATATAGTTTGGCTTCTGTTTTAGTTGAAGATGACAAAGGTATTGTATACAAAGCAGCAAAATCAGAGAACACACAGGGACATAATACTTCAAGTAGGTGTTGTTCTCCATCAGAGGTTAATCCCTGCCAAAATTGTTCATTGCCTCCAAAGGAAATTAATTTCAATTCTGCCAGTACAAATGCACAAATATTCAATTCTCCATCTGTTAATGTGAACTCTGCCAATCAGGTAAGTTTAATGATGAATGAGTGTGTAATGTCTATACTTTAGGTTTGTTTTATTTAAATTAAATTGTAATTTTTTAGATATAGTTTCTTTAACAACCCTTAACCCCAAAACTACAACCTTAGACTCTTATGCAACTGAATTCAATCAAGCAACTGGATTGCATTCGATTTATTCTAAAAACTGTCTGTTTCCTTATTCAACTGTAATGTTGCATATATTTTTGTCATGTGACCAGAACAATGGTTTGACTTTGATGGCTAAGTATGATTGAACTGTTTTAGGCTCTTTTTAATGGCGGTAATGGACACAATCAGGAAAAACATTTGCTACATTTTTCATTCCACTCTGACAATTTTATGTAAATAATATGCAAGTTTAATAATGGGAAAATAATTAAGGATTGAAATTCAAAACTACAATCCAGTGTTCATCAGTTGTGAGTAGTTGCTACTTATTCAAGTTGGTAATTTATTACTTTTAAAATTAAATAGAAATTATTTGGTTGTGATTTTGTACAAGATTATCACATTACAGTTCATAAACAATTGCTTTTGATTGAGACTTAGGTTTTCTGATCTGGTTTGATATATGTTTTTGATGTAGAAATATTTTTAATTAGTCAACGAATTACACAACAATTGCAAATTATTGTAAGGCAAATGTTAAAAATATTATCACAATAATATAAAAAATTTGAAATGTATAATCATCACAGCTTAAACTTTTAACAGGGGGAATCCTAAAAATAAAAATTCATCATTTAATCTGAAATTGGATGAAATAATTGTTTATTTTCATTTTAAAAATAATGTCCTTCATATTATTAAATATTTGAAGAGTTTAAGTACTATAACATAATTACAGATAAGTTTAAAACCAAAAACTCTGCAAGCAAACACTAATTCAAATGCTAAAGTTAAAAGTTCTTCTTCTACCCATGTTTGTTAAAATGTTTACAAACTCCTATATTGGCAGAGAAAAAATACAGTATTACCGTAAAATATAGGTTTTATCAAATGGTAACCCTTCAAGTTCGATTCTGACGTATTAGTATAGTTGAATTGCAATAACCAGGCGTTTGGGAGTATGAGAAATTTGAATTGAAAATTTGCGTTTCAGTTGCATAAGGGTATTAGTTAAAATATTTCCTACAATATTTTAAAATTTCATGCAAAATAATTTTTGTACTTTTTTTTTTCTAGACAAAAGTGAAAAAGTATGGTTTTTACATATAATTTTATGTCAACCTATTATTGTACACTACAGTGAGACTTGTTTTTTAAGTAAATACAGTTAAACTATTTTGAAATTCTGAGTAATAGGGCTGCATACATGCATGTTGGGCAGAGTTTAAACTAAGTTCAAAAGTTCTTAAGAGAAAAAAAAGCTTTTATAAAATGCCACAAAGCCCATGAATATTAGTTCCTTGATCAATTTAGGAGCATAAATTAATTTCATTAGTGTGGAAGTATCATGGGAGTTTTAAAAGATATGGTGTGGTTCTTAACACTTTTTCAAGGAAAAATCTGGTACAATGGTGTAAATAAATATTTTGCTTCATTTGAAGAAGAATTTAATTTAGTAAATATTATAAGGAGAGGAATGGGTTTAACTCAACACCATACTATAAAAACGTGCAAATTTTTATAAATGGGGGATTATACCAATTTTCATGTTTTTCGCCAAAATGTTTAGTTACATTACGTAAAGTTAATTCTTAATAACAGGTTTGGCTGAAAATGATTTTGTTAAAGTTCATCATAAAAATAAATATAACACATTTGCTGGTCTAGTAATGAAATATAAAAACTTGTTCAAATAGTTTTTTCAATTTTTTCGACAAATTTCTTAATTTACTCTTTTTATTTAATACACATGAAAAGAAATTGCAAATCTTAAATTCTGCACTTAATTTTACAATTTAATTTCAAGAAAATCATTAAAAATGGATTGCAGATTCAGGGGTCTGTCCAGACCGAATTTACTACCGTTTAGCGGTACCTTCACAAATTTAATTTTAGGAAAAACGGTAGTTTCACAAAATACTTTTTCTTAAAATTTTACTTTTGTATTCTTTAAGAAATGATAAATCCATATTCTTGCCATATTTTTGTGTTGGATTTTTAAATATAATTTTTAATTTTTCACAAATTATGTCTAAATTTTCACAAAATAGGTACCTCTCAGAAAAACCTAGACAGACCCCTGAGATTAGTTTCAGATGTTAACATTTGCAATCTGACTGACGTTAACTTTAACAATCTGAAAATGTCTTTTTCTTTTCTTTTTTTTAAATTTTAAAAAGAAATGGCGTCCTGTTAATTAATACAATTATATTAATGTTCACATTATGATAAAATTGTTTTGTTTTTTAAGGAAGGTAAATAATTTGCACTGTCACTGATGGCATATGTATATTCAATGATAAACAATCATACTATTTTTAAAGTGCTTAATTTTTGCTTTGTTGAAAGAGTGTGAACCCTGGTTAAAGCAATATTTACTTTTGTATAATTTAAAATGTTGAGTCGGGCATGTTTAGCAATATTTGTTTATTAATTAGTGAGTGCATGCAAATTAATTTTCTTTTTTTTTTTTTTTTTTTNTTTTTTTTTTTACTTCAACAGAAATATTTAAAACCTATTTATGTTTAATGACTTGGAAATAATAAAGCAAAAAACATAATAGGACTGTGTTGATCTTTTGATTTTTCAAATCTTTTTTATTCTTGAATTAATCATTACTTAATTATAAAATTTTTAAAAAATGGCAGTGAAAATTAAGCATTAAATTTAAGTTAAATTTTTAAGGTTGAAAAGTTTTGACCCAACCTTCAATTAATGTGTTGCATTTATTCAGTATTAAACTTGTCTTAATATTTAACAACCTATAAAGAGGCTGAAATAATCATTATTCAAGGAAAATGTTGTAAATAGGCCCAGACGTTTAATAAAAATAATAGGGCTGATAATTAACTCCGAATTCTTTTACTTAGGCAATATTAGCTTGTTCATTAAACAAGGGTGTGTTATTTTAATGGAAGAATATTTAAGTTCTTTATTTTTCTTTTTTAATTCCCGTGTATGTATTTTAGTTTTTTTATATCATTTGTCCTATGCAGATAGCTAAACTGGCAACTTCTGCTGAAATATATATGTATATCTTTTGTTTCATTGTTGTATCCTCTTTTTTAACGGTGTTGGTTCTTATAAAATTATTAGTATATATATTTCAGTGGTTGTGTTGAATGGTGTACCCATCTGTATAGGTCATTTGCACTCAATTTGATGATTTTAAAATTTATCTGAAAGCTTTCTCTTTTTATCCAAATCAAAAATTAAAGCCATAAAATAATTTTAGGCTAACATCAATGTAAGAGGTGCAAACAGATGGATACACCTATTAAAAGATTAAATAAGAATATAAATCCTCTTCCTCATAAAGGTGAGTTCTTATTTAAAACTAGAACAAAGCATTATTTTTCAATAGAAAAACATTTACTTTTAGTTTTTATTATTTCTGTGTGCATGATTCATTACTTTTACATATGCAGTAAAACCTAGATTGTTGTATGTTGTTCTTGGCTTCCAATCAAGCATATAGCTGCCAACTCTACTGGTTTTAAATCCATTTAATGTCAATCCAGAATAAAAAGTTTTCCATTTACGGTCAAATTAGTGTAATATAGTTTTTGTATTTTGTTGACGATAAATATTTTAACTCTCTGTAGCTAAAATATTTTAGGTATTACAAAGTGGTTAAGAGGAAGTAGTATATACTATTTTGTAAAATGTAATGCTTTTTTTTTTTTTTTTTTTTTTTTTTTTCAAATTTTTTTGCAGTTTCTTAACTTTCTTCTAATTGGAATTATGCAATGCCTTAATTATGCTATGTGTTACATAGCAATAATATTTGTGTATTTTCTAATTCTTTCAAAATTATTGTGTGGTATGCCATTTATAAATATTGAGAGTAGGAATTAATACACTCTATTAAAAATATGAAATTTTATTATAATTTATATTAATTTTTTGATACCGCAAAAAAAGCAAGGTTTTGAAATTACCTCTTTTTGCAACCAGTTCGATATGTGAAAATTTTGATTTCTGAAAAAGTATCAGAGATGTACTACATTTTTTTTCTTCTAAGTTATGATACTAAAAATAAAATTCTATTGTATTTTATACAAATTTAAGCAAATCAGCTTCAATAAATCTAGATCTTGTTTACTAAAAGCGAAATTCTATGATTATATTTTATATAAATTTAACCGATATTAATTTTGAATTATTTCTTCAATAGATTAAATATGAAGTTACTGATCCTGATGAGGAGAGAGAATTAAGTCAAAACCAATTGGTACTCCAGTGTCCCTCTCAAGAAGAATATACTGCCTGCCACATATGTTCTATGACATGCTCTGTTGCTAATTACCAATTTCATCTTGAAAAGCATCACTCTTTTGAAACAATGAAAAAAGTCGGGATGTCTTCAAATATAGCAAAAAAATTTGATTTATATGATCTTCAGTCTACCTCATTTGACTCTTTGCCCCATGACCGTACCAAAGAAGTATCTAATGTTGATCCTGTCGAAAATAAAACTGTTAGTATAGATCTTCCTCCAAACCAAAATAATATAAACACTTGTATGGGTATTATAAATAATTCCTTTGATCAAGTCTATAATTATTTAGATAATGTTGAGAGTTCTACGGTTTACTCAGATGATTCAGCCTTCAAGTTTTCGGATATGCTGCAAAGTCATCAAAATAATAATATAATTGAGCTGGAAAACAATAATTCAGCTTCTGGAGCTTTAGAAGAAATTAACTTAGAAAGTTCTTTTATTGAAAATAATATTTGTGGCAATGGCAGTAGTCTGGATGAAATGTTGGATTTTCTAGATAATGGTACTGATATAACACAAGCTTCCCAACCTTCTGAATCACTTGGTCCTGATAAAGGTATTACTCCTAGTACACCTGAAAATTGTATATCAAACCCAATATATATAAATCAATTGGGTAATAAATCGAAGATTAAAAAGAAACTATATTGTAAATTTTGTTTGAAAACCAAGGGGAAGGAAAGAAAGTTTTCTATAAGAGGTTCCCTATATAAACATGTTAAAACCTTTCATCCAGACACAACTATAAATGATTGTTTGGGTCATTTGGTTCATGGTTTAATACCTTCTAATTCTTCATCTAGTCAGAGTATACTTAAAGTTCCAGACAATAGAATTGTTGTTCGTCAAAGTTTTCCAATAGTTAGACATGAAAGAAGTGAAACTGGAGAAGATACTTTTAATAATTTTCAGCAAAATGTTATGGAAAGGAATAATTTTCCTGCTCACAATAATGCAAATCAAGTTTCAGTTATAGATTCTATTAGATATGAAGGACAATTTGATACAAAAAATACTTTTTCTTTTCCTGAAAGAAAGACTAAACATCGTCAATCTAAATGTGTTTATTGTGGTAAATTGTTAACTCTCATATACATGAAGCAGCATATAGCAAAAATGCATCCCAATGCTTTGTCATCCAATCTTTCCTCAAATAATGCTAGCACTTCAGTACCAACTGAATTTAAATTATCTTTATCCAAGACATCTGATTTAACTCAAGAAAATATTGATTCAAACACATGCTTATCTGTGTCTGATGCACTGCAAACTGGTGAACAATGTAATAGTTTATTAAATGTTATTCAAAAGCAGAGTGATTTTGTTAACTCTAGCTTAATTCCTACTCCTAAGTTTGTAACAAACAATGAAGAACACCTTGGACAAGACTTGAATTTAAATAATTTTTCAAGTAATTCTACGCATATTTTTTACACTTGTCATTTATGCCAGAGACCTTACACATCTCAATCGTTTCTAACTAAACATATTAAAACCTATCATGGAATTGATGATATGAATGAATCTGCAAAAAGTAATTTGAGCTATAATGAAATATCCGATTCAAGTAAATTTAGTGATACAAATAATTCTGAACCGAATCGATCTCTGTTGGAAATGCCCTATGAAAATATTCCAAACTCTTATGGTGATTATAATTACTTAGAAAATAGACTTGATACAAATTTAATGCATGGGGATAAAATGGATGCAGGTGATGGCTACAGAAATTCAGATATTTATAACTGTGATCTATCAAACTCTGAATATTCAACACATTATAAGCATAATATTTCTGATCTAAAACAGCTGCTACAATCTGGCCAAAACGAACATGACACTCCAAATTCAAGTGCAGAAAATAAACATGAATATTCAAACCCATTGCATACCACTGGTTACAAAATAAACCAATCTAATTTTAATTTGCATTCTTTAAATAATTCTATCGATACTGAGCAAAATTCAGATTTGAAAAATGTTTTTGTATATAATACTCCAAATATAAATACATCTGCAGAAATAATAAACCCAGCGCTTACCAGTAGCTGCGAAATAAATAGAGACTCAAATTTTCCTTTGTGTTCTTTAACTAATTTTGTAGATGCAGAGCAGAAGGCCGATTTAAAAAATGTGTTTGAACACAATATTCCAAATTTAAATACAACTCCAGAAATTAAAGATTCAGACCCATTGCATACCACCGATTGCAAAATAAATGAAGACTCAAAATTTCCCATATGTTCTCCAAATCATTCTGTGGAATCAAAGCAAGATGCAGATTTGAACAATGTGTCAGAAACGACTGTAAATTACAACCGTTTACCTAGGTTCACATGTCCTATTTGTCAGAAGACTTACTCTGGGAAAGCTTATTTCAGAAAACATTTTAAAATGAAACATAACAGAATAGCATCGGATAAAGAGTTGGAGGCTTGGCAAAATTTTTCTGTTCCAATTAAATCTAGAATTCAGCAGAAAAGAATAAGTGGTGTGCCTGTTAACAATATTTCTGATGTAACTGATCTGCTATCTGCTGGAGCACGTTGCAATGAAAAGGTTATGTGTAAAATTTGTATGAAGGAATATTCATGCAGGGGGAATCTAAAAATTCATTTGAAAAATATTCATAACAGGATGGTATCAGATAAACAGTTGGAAGAGTGGCAAAAGTTATCTGATTCAATGAAAGGTAGAGTTAAGAAGAAAATTATGAGTGAACCTGTTAACCAATATACTAGGAGATTATCTCTTGAAGTTCAAAAAAGTAATTATTCTGGTATAAGTGACCTGCTATCTGCTGAAGCACGGTCCAATGAAAAAGTTGAGTGCAAAATTTGTAAAAAAGAATATTCATGCAGAGGGAATCTAAAAATTCATATGAAAAATGTACATAATTATAGAGGCCAAAGGCAGAGGATTGTGGAGGGAAATAAAAAAGAAGTGCAATGTCATATATGTTTAAAGCTTTTGCAGAACACATCATTAAAGCAACATGTTCAACAAGTGCATGGTGACGGTTTCCTAACTGATGAACAGGAGGCTTTCACTGTTTCAAATGTAGCAGCTCTGTCTGCTTTGAATTATTGTGACGAAAATGTTCAGCACACTCTATCTAATTTTGGTAATAGCAATGTTTCCAATAGATCTGATTCAGTGACATTCTCTTCTGGCAAATCAAGTACAGGCTGTACTGAAAATGAACCTGAAAGTTTAAACCTAAAAGACAAGGCATCCAATTATGATTGTCTAAACAGCTTGAAAAAAATGGCCGATTTTGGGAAAGCTGATTTTAGCTCTTTCCCATCTAGTAACAATTTGCAAGAAGTTACTAATGTCTCTAGTCATAAAACTTCAATTGAAACCTTCAATTGTACTGCATCAAAGCTGGGATTTGATTCAAGGGCAGTGAATGATTTTGATTTGCAAGGCGAAATAACTAATCAAAATGTGGCTGATGATCGAAGTGATTTTGATGACTTCTCTTTATCAGATATTCCTACTTCAGATGATGAATGTACAAATTTAATAGAGAATGAAATATTGCAGAAAGAGTTAATGGAGATTGGCACTACTTCTGAATGGACTTTAAAAAACTTTCAAAATTGTGAAGATCAAAATTTTACTTCATTAGAATCCAACCATAGTCTTGAGCCTATATCAGATGTAACAGATACAAGCAGAAATGATATAAGTGAGTGCAAATTTTCAAATAATGAATCAAAACGACTTTCAGTAGTGGAAAATTATCCAAAAAGTAATATTGTATCTGAGTTGTCAGAGTCTTGTGAACCTTTTAAAGAAGTAGGTCCTTCCTTATCTGTTTCAACTCCTGAGGCAGCTATTGAATTTAATTTTGTTGAAGGTTCAAATTTAGATCGCAAGGGAGAAAAATTACATTGTACATATCCTCTAGAAAGCTGTCCAAAACCTGATAATGTCTGTGCCATTCAAAGCTCTACTGATGATGAATTTAGTGTTCCTTTGGAAAAGTTTAGTGATGCTAATTCTCCCCAAACAATTAGTTGCAGCTTTTCCTCAAATGAATCAAAAACAAATTCTAATGAATGCAGATTTTGTCACAAAATGTTCAGCACCATGAAATTTCTGTCAAAGCATCTGAAAATTTTTCACAACATCCCATTTCTAAAAAAGCAAAAATCTGCGAAGCGTAAGTCTAATCAAGATGAAAAATTATCCCCACCCCTTTTGACTCACCAAACATATGAATTAGATACCCTGCCACCATCAGTGGAAAACTTCCAAAATTCTGCTATATCTGCAATTGAAGATGAAAATAAATTTGTTGGTGTATCTGATGAAGTTTACAATTATAGTGATTCTTTACCTGTGGATAATACAAATCAATTGAATAACTGTTCAGATGGTTCTCTTATGCTCAATTCAACTTTTCCAATTAGCACATCCAATTTGGAATATAGTTTGAAAGAAGTTGGTGGTGATTTTAGGTTGAAACAATGTAATATCCGTGATACTGAGCTGGCCTGTTATTCCTCTTTTAATGATTGCAAAAATGAGCATATGGCTTGCCCTGTTTCTGATCGTGATATTGAGCATCGATCTTTTAAAGTTTCTGATTATGAAAATGAATGTACATCTCATCCTGTTTCTGATAGTGAAAGTAATTATGCACTTGATCCTATTTTAGATCATGAAAATGATTGTACAACTCTCGTTCCATATCAAAAAAGCCATTGTATATCTGATCGTGTTTCTGCTCTTGAAACTGATTACAAGTCTCTACTTGTTTCTGATCATGAAAATGAATGTGCAACTTATCCTGTTTCTGAAGGTCAAGAAAATATACAAGATAAAATTTCTAAAGCTCCCATACTTCCATGTATCATAAAAGTGTTGAAAAATGAGAAGAATGCCATAATTTATCAAATTGACAAGTCCAAAGGAGATGATTCACCTTCAAACTCTGTTAATAGTAAATCAAAATCTAGTCCTGGATTTCACAGGTATTTCATAAAGCATAAAAAATCAAATAATTCAAGGAACTGTAGAAAGAAGTCAAATAGAAGTCCCTATCGATCTAGCTTGTACAGTAGACAGAAAACATTAATGCGTCGTAAATCAAGAGCACTATTTACTAGGAGGAATAAAATTTTCAAGAGATCTCGAAAAAAGAGGGATCAACCTGTTGTTCAAACTTTTAAACCAAGTGATGTTGAAATATTTTTGAAAAACCATAAACTACCATATGTTCTGCTGACACCATTAGATGCAAAAACTCTTTCCCAATTAAATTATAATGATTGTGCTGTCAGACTAGAAAGATGTGATATTCTAAATATCGAGAGTCCGGCTCATTTCCATCCTGGTGACGTTACAGAGCTCTCATTTTCCAATGACAGTTTTATGCCTAATGAGGCATATAACAATATTCAAATCAATTCTGTGATGAAAACACGGCGAAACTCTGCTGTACAAGAAACCACCAATTTAACTGTTGTTCTTCACAAGTTACAATTGGACTCTAATTCAAGTGAGGTGCCTTTAAATAATGATTTTGAAATTTCTAGTTACAGAAGTTGTGTGCAATCGCACATCCAACTCAAAGAATGTAAGGTTGTTTTAGAAAAATTACCATCTGATTTTGTCTCATGTGTACAGTAGACTCCCAATTTTCCAATTCAATGCCATTTTGATAAACCTAACTAGCCATATATCTGGTGGTCATTTTTCTACCCAACTTTTCAAACTATTAGCAAATAAAAAGTGTTATTAAAATAAATTAATCTTCTGATTGCTTATTGTTAAAATTTTGAAATATGATTTAAATTAACATAATGTAATATTTTTATTACATCTTAGTGCTACCACAGCCTTCAAAAGTATAAGTTACGATAAAGAAAAAATTATCTCAAGCTAAACTTTTATCATGTATTAACTACAATTCATGTGTCTGTGTTAAAAATCAAATGGGGCCTAGTAACAATGCTATGATAGCTAAACTTAGCTTCTTTAAACTGCATCTTTCTGAACTATTAAATATGAGGAAAATGAAATTACAAAATATGAAAATGAAATAAATAAGATTAATGGGTTTTAGAATTTGATTTTTAAAAAGATAATTATGTTTGCTTTTAAATCATTTTTAAAATTCCTAGACAACTGAATTTGGATATATTCCATTAATTATCAAGCCATTTTTAATTGGTCGAGCAAAATGTTAAAAAGTAATAAAATGTTCAAACGTTAAGTTTAGATCTTTCAAAAAGTTTTTAAAAAAACAAGAATTAAATTTCAAAAATAGAGGGGAACTTTTATTAGAGTACTATAAAAATCACTTCTGCTTAAAAATACCTTTTCTGACCTAAGAGCATTGATTTTAACTTAAATTGGCTCCAAAAAAAACTCTGAATAAGACTTTATACTAATGATTAGATTTTTAAAAACTATGTACAAATCTTAATTATTCAAAAGAATGCCCTTAAGTAAGCTAATTTATTACTGCAAACTATTAAGTTACAGAATCAGAAGCAAAAACTTATTTCTCCGAATAAGCATACCATTTTTTAGCAATCAAAATAGTGGAGAGGAGTTCCGCAGTGAGAAAAAATTTTCTCAATAATTTAGTCGAGAGAAATCAAAAGTTTGAGCCCCTTTATGCAAATTTTTAACTTTTTTTATATTTTGCCTGTTCCTGAGAACCTCTTAAGCAAGATATCCAAAGATGATCCACTGGAGTAATTTTTAACAAATGTTTGTCGCTTTTTATTAATTTTTTTAATGCTGGTTGAAAATTGTTTGAGTGTCAAGATTTGGGAGAATGTTGAATAGTTATTATTTTTATTTTATTTTTTTTGCCCATTATAAAAAAAAAATTAAAAATAGTAATTGTAAAGTATTTTTAACGATACCAAACTGCCGACCACTCTCCTGACTAAATTATTGAAAACTCATTTTCTAAGATTTTGGTTACATCCCATGTTTTGATAATCAAGAATTAAAACACGTTGAAAAAATGTATGCTTCTTCAGAGAAAGTAGGATTTTGTAACTAATTAATTAGCATGTTTAAGTTTTTTAATTATTAAGATTAGGTCTTAGTACTTGAAAAACCAATCATTAGAACAAAAGTTATTCAGAATTAAATATCTTTTTAACCATCAAGTTTCAATGGTAATAAAAACCAAATTAATAATTGGAAAGATCTTAAGTCTACTAATATCTTAATTTTTTTCCTGTTAAGATTTTCTTAAATTATTTCTCTAAAATTTTAGTTTTAAAGAGATTTTTTTGAGTTGAGAGTCTACTGTATATTATAAATGTATTTAAATTCATTTTTCTTTTAAAAATTACTTATTGTTTTTCATATTTTTCATGCATTTTAAACTTTCCACTGGTACAACTGGCTGGTAAAATACATATATAAATAGGCATTAAATGCTTACCTCAAGTGCTTTTCATTATAACTGATTTTTAGAGAATTTTAAAGTAACTAAAACCTCATTAGTGTAAATAAGATTATAATTTTAAGTTTAAATGACACAATTCATGAGCAGTGCATTTCCAACTTTTTGGACTTTTGTAAAATTGGTGTTGCATGTGAATGTTTCTTTCCTCAGGATGAACATTTCTTTGGTACGTCATTAGAAAAAAGATAACTAAGCATCAGAAAATTGTATTTTTTCACACACATTATTGTATTATAGCTTCTTGAGAAATGTGTTCCAAATATTGTAAATAATAAATCTTAAAATTTGTTTTGATGAATGTCTTTTTTTTTTTCTTCTTTTCNTTTTTTTTTCTTTTTTTTTTTTTTTTTTTTTTGTCATCACTGTAAACCAGTTCTGAGGATAATATGAATTATGATCCTAAATGGGGGGAGGAGTAAGTTGGCCCGCATCCCAGGAAAACTAAAGTGCTGGTAGTAAAGTTTCTTAAAGGAAAGATGCTGCTTCACCTTTTCAATCTAATTCACCTAATCAATTCTAAGGGGAAAAAATCCTTGGCAGAGGTTCTTTAACAGAAATATTTATTAATAAAGTAATTAGTTTTTAAATGTTCATTTAGAAAACTTACTATTACCAGTCTTCTAGTTTTCCCGGAGACACTGATCAGTTAAGTCACGAAAAATTATGTACTTAAACCTATTTTACAAATAACCACGTGTAAAAAAATTAATAATTTCACAACTAAATTCCTTAAAGGCTTTTTTAGTTATTTTGCTCTGAGTTCCGAATGTCCGAAAAGAATTTATTCTAGTTATATAAATTGGAGAAAAATTTAAAACAAATGATGGCGTTTGACGTTTTGCTTGATCTTGTCGGAGAGAGCAAGTATGACCTCACGGGGGCAGTATTTCTTCAAATGTCCTTTCCCACCCCATTCAGCTTCAAAACTCATAAGCCCTGAATCTAAAACGCGTCTTTAAATTTCATTCAAATATTATAAACTTGGTGTTGTATTGATCCTCTTAATATGCGAAATCAACCTTAAAATATTTCATACAAGTTTAGAACAGTTAAATCATATTTCACTTCTGATATTCAATTTAATTTTTAGAGCCTATTTTTAAGCTTTCCGTAAGTGTATGTATGTCGTATGCTTACTGGAAAATCCGGCTTTTATCAAACTGCCAACGTTATTTCCTGCTTATAGAAATGAGCCCTCTAAGCACAATGCTAAGTGACGTTTGAAGATTAAATCCTTACTTTTTCTAATTATAGCCCAGCCCATAAGGAATTTTCGTTGCTATAAATTAGCATCGAACTAAATTTTGACAGTATCTAACTGAATGGAATATTTCCTCAAAAGTACCCTCTTTTACCCATAAATGCTTGTTCTACATGCCTTTTTGTCCTTTATCACTATTCGCTCTAGATTCATAAACTTTTTATTCTTAAAAATCTTGTATTCTCTGAAATGTGCATCTCACAAAACAATATTTTTGAGGAAGACTGCTAAAATATGATGGATTTTAAATTTGAATTTAGAAGTAATAATTTACAGAAATATTACTTCTTAACATGCGTGTAAAATAAGCATTAAGAGTGAAGTTTAATAAAGAGATGTATCGATATCTTTTTAAAGTTATACTGTTCACCAACTTAGTAATCTTTTTTTTTTAAATAAAAAGATTGTTGCCTAAAAGGTGAACCCTAAAAACAGTAGGAAATGCAAATCGAAAATGTGTTATTTGAAATTTTGTTTTGCGGAATCAACGTCGTTTTTTGTCGCTTTGCCGAATTAGGGTACATTGCAAGTGTTATATCCTATAAGATTCCTCTGAGAAGGAATCTGTACACGATGCAACTCCATTCACCAAAATATGCTGTGTTATCACGAAGCTGTGTGAGGTTGCGTCAACCCGCCACATTTTGAGAATCCGAATCTGTCGTATTTGCATATTTAAGATAAGCATTCAAACCATTGAGTTACTCTGTATTTGCTTTTTTTTTTCCCCTACATTATGAACCAATAATTCAATTGATCTCTATGGTTGCAGTTTTTTCCCCTTCTAATAAAAAGCTTTTTTATTTCCTTACCCTGGTGAAAAATAAATGTTGAAATAAATTTAATCTTACAACAAAATTACCTTATAAACTGTTGTAGCAATGCAGCATTCCAAGTTTTATCTTGTTTCATCAATGATGACAAAATCCTGTCCTGATAATTTGTTATATGCTGGATCAAGTGACTGCCACTCATGGACACTAAGAAATATTGAGTTTCCTTATTGGTTCATCAAGAAAACACTTGATGAATATAGACTTACCTTTAATAATTTCACCTTCCACAATGCTCTAAAAAAATTAGTTTTGTGAAGGTAGGCGTTTTTTTTTCCCCCGTAAAGGAAAATGGAAAGTTGTAAATATTAGTACAATATTGTACGCAAAAATCACTGATACAAAATTAAAAAAAAAAATAAATGTACGAAAGGTGGTTTCTGATTTGTCAGAAAAATTAACAATTGCTATGATAGAAGAAGGGACTAACAGACACTCCTTAAATGTCTGCCTCGCAGAGTTTACAGAGAAAGCATACATCTAAAATTTTTATTAGTTTTCAAATCCTGAAATTATATCTGCATTTAAAGGTTCATGTTACACTTTACTTCATCTTTAAAGTATATACAAAATTCAATACTTTTCTGCAACTAATAGGAATGCACAACTTCTTTCAATGAATAGCTACTTGTACAGCAGGTTGACAGATGAAGGGTCACAAATATTTGAACTTGTTGACAGCAATTATGATAATTTTAATATAAACATCAGAGTTTTAGACAATTCTTTTTATCAGTCAACTTAGTAATATATTTGTATAAAATTAAATATTAAAATTCATTCGAAATTGAATACTAAACTGAAAAAAAATATTTCCTTCTTAATAGATTATAGATTTTTCGAAACAAAATATGAAAATTGGGGAAAAGTAATTTTTTTTTTTAATACATCACGATGACAGAAAATTTTGTTTTAAAATAAATTAACTATAATGTCCAGGAATGAAAATTAGAAATAAGTAAGTTGAAAAAGCGTAAACAGTTTAACAAGCCAAGTTCGAATTTCCCAACTTTTGTAATAATTTGATAGTGTATTAGAAACATCAAGATTTTAAAAAAAACGATCGAAAAATAACTTGAACTGACGATGAAATCGAACAAAAGAAAGCTTGTCAAAAGAGATGGTTAGAATCGTCGATTAGCTACTCCCAAGTCTTAATAATTCCGTATCAAAAATATAGAGATTTTCAAAACCACGTAGAAAAAAGTAGCGAGAACTGCAAAAAAAGGAATTGGGAAATAACTTGAACTAAACAGGAAATCAAAAGTGAATATAGTTAGTGGGGCATAGTAAATACGTGATTCAAAAATTGCCAAGTTGTTATAATACCACATTTTTTTTTATCTTTAAAAATGAGTTTTTCAAAACAAACCGTAGCAAAAAATGCTGAAAGAACAAAACAAAAAATTAATTAATTTTCGAAAGAAAAAAAATCCCTTTGATTTGTGATGAAATCAGTACAAATAAAGCGCACAATTAATTTAAATATGCGATTCGAGTGTCCTATTTCTACTCATTAAAAATATCGAGATTTTCAAAACCAAAGGAAAAGGCGAAGCAATAAGTGCCAAAAACACGTTAGAAAAACAGCTTAGATGTATAATAAAATTAACGCAAATAAAACACGGTAAAAAAAAATACTCTAGTTATACTAATGAAGCCTCGGCAGAAATTTTACAAGAAAAAGTGAATATTAAGAAATTGAATAAAGTAATTAAAAGGTAAATAATAATAATGGAAACACTAAAGCACTAAAGTTTCACCATAAGTTTCCATTATTAGTGAGGTGCACTAAATAATGGAAACACTTCTATACTTCTAATTTTTTTTATATTTCTCAAGAAATACTTAAAGAATCAATTTATAATTTCAGAAGTGATTAGCTCATGCAATTTCTCATACTTACGAATGAAGTTTATAGCTTTTTAAGGCACCGAAAAAAAAAAAAACAACGGACGACAAATTACAATAGTGTTTAGTAATAGTGTTTTGAACACCCTGTGCGAAAAAATGTCGAAATAACTTTTTAACTTGAAACAATTACTTTAGTTATTATAGGCAAGAATTGCACAAAATTTCATAATCCTAGTTTGAATATCGTTGAAAACTGTGCAAATAAGTAATTACAGTAGCTCTTTTATAAAGCTCATGCACAGAAAAGTAAAACATTTTTTCAGAATTGTTATACATTAATATATATTAAACTTAAATTTGTTTTATCATGTTTTCTTTTCTCTTCATAAAATATTGTTCTACACTATTAAAACATGGAACCAGTGTTTTCTCCAGATGGCAAACCTGAACAATGTAACGTAAAACACTAGAAACATTTAAGCAGGTATTAGGTACAGCAGAAATAGGTAAACGGAAGCCGAGAGTTAAACAGACAACAGCTAAATAAAACAACATGTGTTCTCAATATATAACCACAAATAATTTTTAAATTTCAATATCAAGCTATTTGAAGTGCAAACATCTTTCTTACAAATTGCTAGCGATTCATTAGTTACAGCAAATTTTTATATAAACTGTGAAGATTCATCTTAAATATCAAAACTTTGTTTCAACTTAAATATTAGAGGTGTCTTAAAATTATTCATACTGATTTTTAATTAAAATAAAAGCCTTCAAAGTTGTTTATTTTACTATACATTTATATGTTTCATGATATTTAGGTTATTAAATTTCGTTGTTATTAAGATATTTAATTATTCTACTCCGAATTTAAAAATAAAAAAGCCGAATCAGGAAATTTATTGTCTTCTTCCCAAATTATTTTATTCTGATTTGTTTCACGTTTAATTGCATAAAAATTGTTTAAAAAATGAAAAAATATAACATTTCTTTATGAAAAGAATGATCTTGAATTACAAGCATTGTATATTTTTTAGATTAAATTCATTATTGCATAGTTTTATCATGCAGCCTAAAGAAGTACTACACTACCTTTTGCCACTTGATTTGTATTATAAAACTTTCCAATATGATTTCAAATTGTAAATTCTTGAGTTTTCAATGTTAGGTAACTGTATTAAGATATGTTCTAATCATATTTTTAAGCCCACATCACTTGTTCTCTGTCCCTATACTTAAAACCTTATAGTTGTTTGTTGATGTCTGATTTATATAATTTTGAGCAAAAAGAAAGGTTTAAAATTTCTAACATAAATGCAATTTTTTTGACACAAAAAATTGGATTTGATTATTAATTGGGAAGCTATTTTAAACATGCCATAAAATGCGGATTAACACGCCAAAAAATATAATGAAAAATGTGAATTTTTTATCAGAGGTGGTTCAACTTTTCCGATTGCAAAATACGATCATTAAAATTGTGAAGTCAACATGTTAGATGTGATGAATATTAATAGTTGTATTTTTAGAAAATTTTTTAACAATGTACATGAAACTAAATAATTTAATTAAATACATTTTAGAAATATAATTACAAAAATAGATTTGGGATATATATTTTAGTTTTAGTAATTTTTAATTATTGCATTTGTTATTAAAAATGTTTTAGAAATAAACAAATAATATTAAGACAGAAAAAATAAAAATATGAAACTAAACATATGTATTACAAGTTTAGATGAAAATTAAAACACAATCTTCAAAACCATTGAAAGAAAAACCATAATTGTTATCAAAAATAGTATTGGAACCTCATTAAGCTCATTGGTTTTCTCAGTGCCGGATTGCCCATTAGGCCAGACTAGGCCATGGCCCCAATGATTAGAGTGGATTTTTTAAATGGATTTTTTAAAAATATTAAGAAAAAGAATGATTTTTTGAAAAAAATCAATTTTAAATATATATTAATAAAATACGATAATTTTTTTACATAATGTTAATCATATTTATTTATGACTTATTTTAGTTATTATTTATAAGTATTATTATACGAGTAGTTTATGTATTATAAGATTTATCAATGTTTTTTAAGTTCAAATTTGTCATTTTGATTAGCGTGCAAAAAAATTAAAGGCAGTACTATAGCGAGCTAAGACTTGTTTAAACAAGAAGCAAAGAATTTCAAAATGTAATTAAATTTTTTAAAAATTTTATGATTATTTTTAGTTCTTATTTAACAAAATAAGGTAAAATTTAATTTATTATTATTTATTTTTATTTTAAATATGTTTTCCTAAATGAAAAGATATATAAATACTTTTATATTTGAATAAATAAAAAATATACAAGAAAATTTAATTTAAGGGCCCCAAAAATTTGAATGGTCTAGGGCCCCGCATACGCTTAATCCGCCTCTGGGTTTTCTGGTTTGCAATGTTGATGTCATTAACTGGGAGCCATCTTGCTTCTCTAAATATAAGACTGAAACTACACATCTTAAATTAGTTTTTTTTAAAAATTCTTTTGAATAATTGTTTTTTTTATTTTTTATAAAAGCCTTTTCTCTTATTCATTTAAATATTGTCCTCTCTTATATTACTAACTGGGAATGAAACAAGCATCTTCTACTCCTTGAAAGAGAGAGCAAAAATATGCAGCCCTCAGATAAAACTAATTTTTCCTTTTCTTCTTGAATAATTTTGAAAAATAAAAGTCTTTCTCTCCTTTCTATTATTAAAAAAAATACTTTTATAAAATATGAATGCATTATATATTACTCAAAGACATTTTTTATGTAGCTCTATTTCAAATATATTGTCTTAATTTATTTTTAAAAATATTCAAATTTTTATTATGTTAAAAAATTTAACTAATTATGAAACAAAATTTTTAGAGGTTTTTTTTTAAAAAAAAATTCAAGAGAAAAATATGATTGATATTAAAAAATTTCCTTGATTTTTATCATGTCATCTTAAGATACTGTTGAGTCCTACATTCGTGTTACATATTCTATAATCATATTACATTACCTTTCCAAACAAGTTTTTCATAATTTTTTTTATATGTATATAAAATGGGTTACTGCTTATTAAGTTTGATTTTTTATCAGCTGTTACGTCTAATTGTTCAAAAAATTTTGTAAATTTAATGTTATTTTGTTTGGGTTGCTTCATAAAAATAAAAGATTTATGAAATATTTTATGAAGCATCTAATTTCATATGGTGATAGAATTTAATTTTGTTGTGTTTAAGATGAAGTTTTGAGTCCTGCATTGAACTGGCATTTTTTTATTACTTTATTTAAATGTATGACTGTTATATTATTTCATTTTAATATTATTTTCTTTTATTTAGCTATGGATAATTTTGAGAAGAAAAGATTAGCAAACGAAAAACGTCTTAAGGCCATTAAAGAGTGGCAGAAAAATAGACATAACATCAGTGCCAAAACATCTTCAAAAAATTTGGTAAAGTGCAATTTTTCAAAAATATATATTTTCTATTTCTGAAAGCACTTTTTTTTCCTTCAAAACTATGTTGACAGAGTTTTCTGTTGTAATAAGAAATTTAAAATAGCAAGCAGAAATAAAAATGAAGATAATTTCACTAGTCAAAAGGACCTGTACTAATTAGTATAAGTATTATTGTGTATGCATTTTTACATTTTACTTAAAGATTTATAAGACAAAATAAGTTTATCAAATATAATGTATAAATTTTGGCACCCAAATAAAAAATGTTATTGGATTTTCATACAAATTGAAATTTTGTCATTTATGGATAGAATCAAATTTATTTATCAAATACAATTCATACATTTTTTCGCATGAATAAAAACTGCAATTGGATCTCATTAATGGATAGTAACGTTCATAGATGGTACAAATGAATAGAAAAACTTAGTAATATATGAAAAAGAATTTTTTGCAGTTGGGAAACTATTTTAGGAGTATTTAGTTTGTGGTTATAGATTTAAATGATTAACTTCGATTATAATTTATAATTAATGTCAGTAATAAATTTCATCTATTAAACATTAACAATACTTAAAGGTTTCCCCCTTTTTTTTACATTATCTTTACAGTATACAAAAAAGTTATGTAGGTATGAACCTTTCAAGGGTTGCATGAAACTTTTTGTACTCTATTGATTTCATTCTGTGTAAATATAGCATTTTTACTAAAGTAAAAAAAAAAAAAAAACATGAATAAAGCACAAATAAAGTATGAAAATGGACATACTATAGTTTTGGTTCTCTAAACAAGAACCTTCCTCACTGTCAAAATATTTTTTGTATATATAGTGTGTCCATTTCTGTTCTTTATTTGTGTTTTATTAACGTTTTCCACTTTAGTCTACGTAACTTAAAGTATACCCTATCATTTTGGGTAAAATTTTTATGTCTGTTCTGTTATTTATTTATTATTGTTATATTTGATTTCGATTCCTTACTAAAGTTAAAATTGTTCTTGCTCTGATTATTGAGAAGAGTGTAAATAGAGTAATATTCTTTCTTTATTGAGAATGTGCCGTAAGCATTAACTTCTTAAAAATTTTGCAATGTATTTGCTTAAAAAGTTTTATGGTTTGAAAAAATAATCAAAGAATCTAATTTTTTGTCTCTGTCAACCTGTTTTGTTGGGTTCAATTTCAAAAACTTGCAAATGTATATTTGTTGCTTTAATTTTAGGATATCAAAGTTAACACCACTCAAAACAAGAAAAAAGTATATAATTCTGATGAAGAGACAACTGATAACAGTAATCAACTCAAATTATTTGATTCTGATGATGAAAATGAAGACTTTAGTGACTGCTTTAAAATTCGGCCCCAGTTTGAAGGAAGGAATGGACAACGTGTATGTATTTTTGCAAAATAGATATACATGTAGAGGTACACAACCTGCGGCACGCCAACTGTTGTTATGTGGCCTGCAAGAGCATTTGAACAAAAAATGTTTTTTTGAAAATTAAAAATTCTGAAGCGCAAATTTGAGTTTTGACTTTTTTATGCGCTCAATTTGTGCATATTCTATTGTTAATCTATGTTGTTTCTCGATCGCTTTTTCAATGGCTATTGCTATGAAATTCGGAATTGTTTTAAAAAACCCAATATTTTAATACGATACTACGATGCTCGAGTTTCAAATTTGAGCGATTTCTTTTCGACTTACATTATTTTTGCTATAATATTCAAGTGATGTTTCTAGTGTTTTTTTGGCATTTATAACTACCAATTTTCATGTAGTTTTTAAAATCCTGATACAATTATTGCAATTTTATGAATCATGCGTTATTAATACTTTGCTATGCATTGCTTTGCTAAAGTTGCTATACATTCCATTGTGGTTTTAAAAATTCTGAATTTTATTACAATTTACTAATTGTAAATCATACATTTAAGTAATTACTTAAGGGTTAGTTTTATTTATGCTGATTTAATTGTAAATGTAAAAGAAAAAATTAAAAAAATTTCCCATTATTTCAGATCTGTTATTTTAACTGCAATGTTATTATGACGATTTATAATGGTGCATTTAAATAATCACTTTTTGATACGATTTATTTCGGCATATTTCAAGTTATTTTCCATAGTTTTTTCGGCAATTAGTGACATGCATTTGTACATGGTATTTAGGATTCTGATATTTTAATACAGTATTATTGCAACATGAACAAATCTAAACGTGCAGGAAAACTTAAATTTTTAAATTGCTCATTTTTTGTAATTTTGTTTCAAATTTCTTGTAGCTTATGATTTTCTTAGGAAAAAAAATACCTTTTCTACTGAAAACTCCAAAAGATTCTATTAATTCAAGAAATAGCATAATACCAAATAAATATTGAATCTTAATATGTACTTTAATAGTTGTGTTTTAATTTTTTGATTTTTTGCTTAAGCCCAATAAATTTCCTTTGATTAAAATATTTAGTTCAAATTTATATAACACATTAAAATATGTATGTAGTTTTTTTTACATGTTTAGTCTGTAAAAATTATAGTTTGTTTTTCTTTATTGTTACAGTTTATAGTATCTGTTTTCTCCAAATATATATATATATTAATAAATCAATTGATAAAAACACAATAAAGTTTTTTAAAAAAAGTATTAAGTTTTTTTTTTTTTTTTTAGTTTTGAATGAATTCTAATAGTTATAAGTATTTAATTTTCAGAAAATATGTTACCAAGTTTACTGATAAAAATATTACTGATAAAATATTTCGAGTATAGAATACCAGTTTTAAAATAAAAATGATCATATTTGCCACCAAAATGACTAAATATGCAAGCAGCCCTTCTTAATCAACAAGCTGTGCAAGTGGCTCTTCACTCAAAAAGGTTGAGCAACTTTATTTATACAGAATTTGAAATTTGTTAAAGATTTTGACAGTTACCAATCTTTTTCCTTTGCATATTCTCTGCCATTCAAACTAAACCTTTCAAAATGCAATAAGTAAGTTTTTTTTTCTGAGTTCAGTAGAGTCTCGATAATTTGAGTTTCGGTTGTTCAAGTTTCCCATAATTCCTCGACGCACACACAACGCATGGAATGAGTACTACAATTGATTTTCTGACGAGTACTGTGACTGAATGATTGCGATTACTCTGCTCTATAATGATTATTGTAACTTAGTGTAATGCAGTAAATGTGCCCTGATCCTCTAATGTAAGTTAATTTTCTGTAAACATAATATATTTTTCAATTGAATGCTGAAATATAAAAATTGCTTTGTGTACATTTATTTAAATATATATTAAATTTTCGGAAGTTCAAGCCAGGCTTAGTTTCGTTCACCTCGAATTATCAAGATTCTACAGTGTTATAAAGTACAGAATATTTATAGGCCTAAATTGGAAAAAAAAAATGATGAAGGTTGATTAAAAGTTAAAGGGGGAAATTAATAAAACATGTATAAAAAAAGCATTTTTTTGTATTGTTAAATTGCATTTATTTTGGAGTTTATTAAACTTTTTATAATGATACACAAAATGTAAAAACATTATTTTTACTTTTAAATGTATGTTTTTGAATGCAGTTTTTAAGAAAGAGTCGTTGACTAATTTTATTTCTAATTCATATATATATATTTTAAATGTTTTAAATCAAAATCTTTGAATTCTCTTTAGATGAACCTCTGTTTATACATATGGTTCTATTTATTTAGAATTTTGTAAAATATTTACTTAACTGAAGGGTCAAAATTTAAAGTTAAATTCTTTTCTATGCAATTAAAAATTATTTTTGAAAAATTCTTAAGTTAATATTGTTTTCAGATGTTAGAGATGAGTTCTGAGCTTTCTGATCGTTTTAAATTAGATGAGCGATTCAAAGAAGATGAAGAAGAATCCGTTAATGATAAAAGTATGTCTGCCTATATGTTATTAAAATTTAATTATGTAAAAATGAATTGAATGTAATGCTTTTTTTTCAGCTCTTTTTTTTGTGCACATATTAAAACTATGTAAGAAAAGAAGATAAAAGAGGATTTACATACTTAATAAAAAGTTGAGTTTTAAGAAAAATATATGATTTTATCAATTTTAATTAAAGTTATTGAAAGTAATTATCTAACAGATCTATATTTATCAAATGCCATCTGGCAGCAAGAGGGTTACAAATACTTTGATAGGTACTGGTTTTATATTTTCTAACTTCATAAATGATGTTATTAAATACAATATTTTTTGCTAAACTTTATTAAAAATGTTTGTAACATATTATACCCGACTTTTTTTTAAAAAAAAAAAAACAGTGAACAAATTTATATTAGTTATCATTATTTATTTTTCCTTAGCTTTTGATGACTCTGAGAAGGAAAAAAACATTAGAATATTAGAGTCAATTCTTGGCCATGAAGTTAGTAAAAAACATCCAATTGCTCAAAATGCAAAAAAGTAAGTGAAATCTTTTAAAATAAATATTATAATATTTTAATGAAATTGAAATTTTAATTAATTTAAATTTTTTTCTTCTTCTAAGTATAGTTTTGATAATGTGTTTATCATTTAGTAGCATTGAATTAAAATTCTTGATTAATGATACTTATTCAATTAACTATCTACAAGTCTTTTCATTAATAAGAATTACTACTTTTTGAAACAATTATTACTGGTAAAAAGATAACTGAAAGAAATTAAAATTGCTAGTTTTTTAATAGTCAGAAATTATAATACATTGACAGAGAAGTGAAATGAGCTTCTTTAATAAGTGAGATAGAAAAAGCGAATAATTACGTTTGAATAAGAAAAATAATTGCCATTAAGTTGGTGTATATTTTTCATTTAGGAGAAGCATAATTTCCATTTTTTTTTTGTATACTGTGCTGTACTTTAATATGGTATTCTTTGTGCTTAATTCTCTGATATATTGAGTTTGTAATGCGTTCGTTGGTGCAATACAGATACTTGATTAAAATAAGTTGGTAGGGATATGTTAAATACTTAAGCTTCTACATCTAATCTAAATTTCAATAAAATAAAAAAAAGTTTCCTTTTTTACTTAATAGGAGAAAAGAAATTGAGAGATTTGATCCAGATGATGAAAATAATGCCAGTTGTATAAAAGAAAGTGAAAATGTTTCAAAGAAACCCAAAGCAAAAAAAAGGTAAATCCATAATGTATACTTCCATTGAAATAATTTAAAAGAAAAAAAAATAAGAAAGAGGAGTTAAATTGAAATTAATGAATTTTTATATGTTTTGTTACTTGATAAGTTATTTTTTTTAATATTTTGTTCTTAATAATTTGTGCTACCTGAAATGAATTATTTGTATACTTTATAATCTGTTGCACATATTTTGGAATCTTCAAACAAATTATTAATTTGCTCTCCTGTCTAATTTTGTATTATTGGCCGCATTGAGTTTCAATTGGTAATAATAATTTATTTTTTGATGTTTTCTGTTGAGTGATACTGCTGATTCAATTTTTTGAGTGTGTAAATGTCTGTCATCAACGGAGAAACAGTTCAACAGCTACAAAATTGTAATCAATTTTGTAAAATAATTGAATGATTACTTAAATAATTGAATTAATGAATATGCTTTAAAAAAATTGTGTTAGTCTTCGTACTCATTCAGATTTTTAATTTTTTAAAAAATCTGCTCTTCAATTTTAATTTTTTAAATTCCTGTTTGTTTTTCTGATAACAATTAAATAAACCAAAGTAATTTTTTCTGATTAAAAATTTGTTTACGTTCTTATACACATTTAGATTTTAGATATTTCCTAAAAGTTCTATTTCATTTTATGATTTAAAATTTAATTTTATCTCTTTGCTTAACTTAGTTTTTGCTTTAATTTTATCTCTATAGGAAGTCTGAACCAGAGGTTCCAATACCTGAAGAGATACCAATTTCCACAGAACGCTACATTGAAGTTACATCAAATTTAAAAGATATTATGAATTCAGCTGGAAGTTTTACCTTTTCAGAAAAATTTAATGTAGTGGTTGATTCAAAGGAAGATAAGAATAACGAAGGTAAAGCTATTGTATACAGGCTAGCTATATGTCTCTAAGTTGTGGATATTAAGATTAATTTAACTGATTTGTTGTTCAACAGATCAACTTCTTATTTTATTTTAAAATTTTAATATAAAATTGAATTAATTTCATGACTATAACAACAATTATTTGACTAAAACTGGATCATACATACATATATGCAATATTCTTCTTTTTTTTAAAAAATCTATTTAGTGCTATTTTTGGTCATGAGAATAATATTTGTAAGGTTTTCTTATTATATTAATTGCGTAAAATGTGTATTGTAAAAATATTAAACTTTTTTACAGCATATATCACTCATTATAAACTAATATACATTATTATTTAAATTTTCAATTGGTGCATAAAAACCAATAAGTCTGAAAACTAATAATCGCCATTCAAAATCTATTATAGATGACCTGACCTGTTTCTGAATTCATCAATTCAGTTTATTTTTCTTCCTGCATTTAATCTAGTTTTTATTCAAAAACACATTTCACAGCAATAAAAGCATTATATGCTGTGTTTAGAGACATGGTTGCATAAATAATGATTTATTAGCAGGATGGTTTGCCTGAAAAAGTTTTATGGTCTTAATGTGCTATTAAAATAGACTTCTGATTTTGACATAGATTCAATAGCCTTTCTTAATGGCCCTGTTAGAGTTTTGTTCCAATGATGAGTCATTACCTGTAATTTACTTTTAATTACTGAAATAAACTAATTTTTTTATCATATAATTTTTCAACCTTATGTTGAGGAGAGGAATAAATACTTATGTTACCACATTTGAGTAAATTATTGATTCAACTGTGATTTTAGCTTTTGAGAAAGCTCCAAGGATCTTTAGAGCCTTATCATTTTTTGCTGGCACCAGGTTTTATCTTTTTCTGCTTTAAAAAAAAAAAAAGGAAAATAGAAACATATTAATTTTAAATCCAATAATGCTCATTTTTAGCAGGATCTAAATTTTTTGCTTTTAAATAAGTCTATTTTGAAAAATGTAACAATAAAGATGAAAGCCAGAGCTTTAATTTATTTTATTACTAATATAATTAGTAATTTATTTTATTATTAACATAATTAGTAATTTATTTAATAATGAAAAAATGTGTATTCATTTCTTTTTGTTAAAATGTTATATTTTTTAGAAATTTTTTACTCAGATATGTTTTCTAAAATTGCTAAATTTAAGCTTCATTGATTGTTTATAATATTTCGTCTTTTTTAGGGAAAAGTAATGATCATGAAAATTCTACATTGCGAAAAGATTTGCCTTTAACTGGAATAGCACTAAATAAAAATGCAAATAAAATTACAATGTGAGTATGAAAAATTCGATACCTAAATGTGTGATTGAAAAGAAATGTATTCTTAATAACAGATTTCCCAAAAGATATAAATATTTAATACATAGTGTGAATTTGTGCTTAGTAATTTTGCGATCAATTTCTATAAATATAAGTACATGCTTATTTATGTGGAAGATATCATTATTTATACAAAAGGTGCATCAATCAAAAATACAGAATAGTTATCTGGAACAGTCGGCACCGAGGCTGATTTTGTTAGCAAAAAATCTAGATTACCGGACAACTTTAAAAAATAATGATAGCTATGGCAATGTTTTTATTATTTTTTTGTAACTACCCAGGAAAGTTTTTCAGGTTTAGGACTAGCAATCATTACACATATGTGCAACTAGCATTAGCAGTGTATATTTTTTAACTTTTTACCACAGATGCATTTTGAGCTTTTTAGCTCTGTATTATATAGAAATAATATGTCACTACAATTTTTAAATGTTATATTGTTTCTACCTTTCTTTTTTTGAAAAAAGAATCAATGCATATTTGCCAAGTCAACAGTTTTTTAATGAAGACTCCTGTATTTTACGACTATCTCCTGTTTACCTGTATATTCTCATATTTCTCTGTATTTTCCTGTATCTGCTGATGGCAAAAATGGTTCTTTTATTCCTCAACAGTTAGTGCTATTGCCAGTATTGCAGTATGTTGAGTGCTAATATTTTAAGTAATAATAAATAAAGGATTAAAAAAACTTCTTTAGATTAACATTTATATACATATTTTTTACCTTGCTAAATGTAAGTGCTTATATTTCTAATTTTGACTTACATGATAATGTATGATGTATCAAAACTTTACTCGCTGCCTAAAATATGTGACTAGTAAAATCTCTGTTATTTTATTTCTCCAATGTTGGCAGGTATGCCAATGACACACATTTCAAAACTTATTGGAAAAATATGTGAACTCTAGTATATGTTTCAAAAGCAAATAAAACTGGAAACTTTTACCTCCTCTCTCAAATTCTTAAAAATAAAAATGCAGAAGCAAGTTGAGATTGGTAGGAGGCGAGCTGGGAGGGAAAGCCTCTTTTCGAAGACACAGTACAAAAAGAACATTTTTAGAGTACTTCATATAATCTGAACTTAAAGACAGATTTTGGTAAATAAACAAACAAATAAATAATAATTTGAAAAAGAAAAAAACAAACAAACATAGTCCTGAATTGGTCTGGTTACTTAAACTACTTGATTAATCAATATCCAAACAAATAATGCTCTATTGTAACTGGAAATATAGCTATTTTAAAAAGTAATAAACCTTTAAAACATAATGTCAGACAAGAAATATCGAACAAAATAGACCAGTTCTGTATGAACCACAATGTAGTTAACTAAAGTCAGCCACTCTTTAAACTAATACTTTGAGACTAGATTTCACGAACACTAGAATTGCGTTTCACACATCGTGTGTTTGAGTTTCACCCCTCAGAAATTTTTTTAGGAGTGAAAATACTTCTCATAAATTTTTGTCAAAATAATTAGATTCATTTCCCCCTGTTTTTTTCCTTTCTTTTTCTTTAATTTTTAAATGTACAAAAATGATAAAAACACTGACACACCTTTCAAGTATCTTGTATTGAGGATATTATTCTAATATTGCCAATAACTAACTACAACTGCTTGCGAAAAGGATATTTTGCAACTTAATATAGAATAAAATCTAAAAAGTGAGGCCTGCTTAAGAACTAGCATTTGAAACACATTATCAGATTGTCTAATGCAGCAGTTCCCAAATTTTTTCAGCTACGGAACTCAAAAAATCTAACTGTTTTTTTTTTTGTTGTCAGAACCCAGATTTTATGAATAAACTTCATAAGCAGTCGTGAACATAGAAGAAAGAAAGATGTGTGATAATATATTAATTGTTTGAAAATACTATATATAATTGATTATTTTGAAGATATTAATTATTTTCAAAATATTTAATGACATTTTTTCATTATTTTATGAATAGTTGACTTAGTCTTTTATATCAGAAAGTTGAATTAAATATGCAATACTTGCATATTAAATGTTTATTTTTTTATATATATATATATTTTTTTTTGCGAACTAACCATACTTTTTGATGGCAAGTAAAGCAAAAAGTTTGTGAGTTATACTGCAGTTACTTCTGCTCTATTATAAGCAATCTGTACTATCTATTTTTATGAAGAATTTTATATAGTTTTGGCAAAAGTTATCCATTGTAGGCTTTTTTTTTCATTATTCTTTTATTTGCACTTTATGTGACTGTATATATAAATAAATTTTTCTTTTTACAGAAATAATTGTGAATTCAACTCTGGTTTCAAAGATCCATTTTTCATTTCAAAATCAGATGAAAGACTGAAAGGTTTGTAATGAACTAAATTGTACATTTTTTTTAATTAAAATATATTTGAAGTTATTTTTTACATTTAATTGTTTCTTCTATTACAGAAGGTATTGAATTCTTTACAAGACCCAAACCTCTAGATCAGATTAGAGAAGAGTGGACTAAAAAAAGAGAACGTATTTTGGTAACAATTTTATTATATTTTTATAAAAATTTTCAGAGATATTTTGATATTTAAATTTGTTAATTTTGTATTAGTTATTAATTTGCTTTAAATAATAATTTTCTAAATGGAAATATAATTGCATATATAATACATTATAATAGAATCACATTATAATAGAATCATATTATAATAGCATCATAATGTTAATAATGTAAATGTAAAGTTAAGATTAATGTCTTGTTTTAAACAATTTGTGGGTTTTAAGTATTTCATTTGGTAAGACTAACCTGTTATTTAATGTTAGAACTAATCTTATAATGGAACAGTTGAGGAGATGAAATTTCTAATTGACAGTTTTAATTAATGAACGAATTAGCTTATACATTAACATTATGAAATAAAGATATTGTGTTGCTTTTATATCTTGTCCACTAGCTTCTGATTGGCAAAATCTTATCTATAACCCCTTCGACTCATAGTAAACACAGATTAATCATCAACGATTTGCTGCAAAATGCATTTGATATCTTCTTTTAATTAAAAAAAAAAAATTTAAATTGTCATTTAGTACTTTTATCCACTGAGATCTGCAAAGTTAGAGACAAAGTAAAATAAATTAATATTGTTTAGTTAAATAAAACCAAAGATTTTTCATTTGAAATTTCAAAAATGTAATGAAAGTGTTTGGAAGAAGGTGTTAAACCTTCTTCCAAAAATTAACTGACTGGTAACTGAAAGATTTTAGATTAATCTCTCGAACACTTTGAGTGGTGTGCATTTTTTTAAAGAAGTCCTCGTTAGGCCACACACGTTGCTTACAAGTGCCGATATTGTAATATAGCAATGCAAAGTGAACATTTAATAGATTACAATGAATAATATTTTGATTTACTTTAATTAAAAATTAGTAAATTTCAAAATAGTTAAAAAGTTTAGTAAATATTTAAAAAAATGTATATTTTACACTGTCAGTTGCTGATGCTACCTAACGAGAAAGTCAGTGTTAGTCACTGGTGACTGACATGGCACTGAGCTTGTTAAAAATGCTATTTGTGAAAGATTCAATTTATAGATGCTTATTTTGTCTTTATCTTACTTAGAAATTTAACTAGATTAAATTTTGTAAAGAGTTTTTTTTTTGTATTTGAATAAAGTAGTTTTATCATTTATATTTAGGATATTTTCAAAAAGAGGAGGAAATCAGCTATAAGAGGTTTTACAAAGCAGCCGAAAAAGCAAAATCAACGTAATAAATCTTCGAAAAAGTAACTGCTGGGATTAAAAAAAGAAAACACAAATACGAACTTTATTATAAAAATATCACCTTCATGTCTAATTCTGTTCAAATATGTATGGAAAAAATCGGGGAATTGTTGAAAAATAAACTTTTGCTTCTGCATGTCTTTGCAATACACATTCCTTGAACTTTTCATCATAGATCTGTAAATATATATTTTAAATAAAAATAATAAAGATTTGTTTTTAAAATGAGCATTAGACTTTTTTTTATACAATATTATATCATGCTTGTCAACTTTAACTCTTTTCGAGAGTCAATTTTTAGAGTGGTTATAAGATGACAATTGAATTACAATCGTATGCAGAAATTTTTTTAAAAATTTTATATGGCTAAAGCAGCATACCACCATAAGATTTTAATGCATTAGTATATATCTTTTTTTTTTTTTTGAAGTAGTGGCTAAAATCATTTTAAATTAAATTTATAAATTTAAAGAATGAAAAGTAAATTTTAAATTTTGCTACCATTTTGAACATAAAAATTCATAAAAGTTGACTGCTATGCTATTTATTTCAATTGTTAAAAAATTTTTACTTTTTATACATACAAATCCTATATTTATTTAAAATAACTTCCTAAAGTTTTGAAAATATCCGACTACTTAGAAAGCTTTTGATGATTATACAAAATATAGTAAAATGATTTTTCATTATTTTTATAACTTTTAAAGAGTTTCAAATTAATAGCTAACAAAATATGAATATGTGGTATATATATATTATACTTGTGACCAGTTCTCTATAAACTAATTATATTAGCTTAATTAAAAATGCACTATTTTTTTTTAAAAATTGGTTTTACCCTGATAAACCACGCCCTTCAAACATAAAAAGTGAAAGTAAAACATCAAATTTACTAAATTTTTAGTTGTTCAAAATAATTTCTTAATATTAGATGGTTATTAAAATTTTGTTTCGTAAACCGCCATACTTATATTTTTATTAGTCTTCATAAATAGTTAAAACTATCAAAGGAATATTAAAAAATTTCAAGCTTATTTTGTATTAATTTTACACTAAAAAGAATTGTTTTTTTAAAGTTTACTAAATCAAAATTTGATATAATTATAATTTACCCAAAAGAAAGTTCCGTGTTTTCAAAAAATAATACAATTAGTAAAATTTTATTTTAAAAACTGTCATTTGTAACCACGAAGTTATACTTTGTAGTTCAACAATCATACTTAGTAATTATTTTAGAAATATGGACTCATTAGTTTCATGTAAATCTCTTTTAAGTTACGTTGTATTACAAATTTAAACTTTTTTTCTGTCTTAAGAGGAAACTAAGTGATTCAGTATAAACAAAAAGTGCTTGATTCATGTATTTAAACCAATTGTCTTTGTAAGAGATAAGTCACTATAATTCAGGTGAATTTTCAGATGTTTAACTTACAAATTGGGAAAATAGATGTTTTTTTTCTTTCAAAATGACTTACTGTCAATGGGAGCGCTCTTTCCTTTGCCTGTAAGTTTTTATTGTGTGCTGGTAGAATATGTAAAATTGCCAAACTCTTTGAGAAATTGGTGCATGGTAAACAAAAAATAATAATAGATTCATTATTTTCAGCCAAAAATGTACAAGAAACACGTATTTTCTTCTGAAGGAAAATTTTCTTGTTGTACAGTGTATATTCTACTACTTTAAAGTTTACTTGTTAAAGTCTTAGTTTTTTATTAGTACAAAAAAAAAAATCTCTCTTTAGACATTTTATACAGTATTAATATAACATATTGAAAATATCAGCCACTATAATTTTATGTAAAGTATTTCTTTCTAAAAAAATGAAAATAGTATACAAATTATTTGAAAATAGGCATTAAAAAAACTTTTATAACCTTCTGATGGACTTGTTTAACTGCTTCTCACCCTATGCGTCTATTGAGGAAACCAATTTTTCATGTTATAGTTATGAGATGGTAATTTAAATTGGAAAAAAATGTCTATGGTTAAAATACGAGCAAAATCTGTTGTCAAATAAAATTCATCTTTATGATTTTTTTATTTTAATATGAATTAAACTATATTTTTTTAAAAATGAAAAGCATTTTGATATGTTTATTTTTCTAAATTAAAAATCAATTTATCCCTAAGTTTCAAAATAGGTGTGTAAAGTGAGCAAAAAATTATTTATCTCATTAGAAAAAATACAAGTTAAATTATTTTTTATAAATTTTTCGTTTATTTTTATGAGGTTGTAGAAATATTTTGATAAAGTTTTTCATTTTGAAAAACTTATTGCTTTAAAGAAAATTACCTTTAAAAACAAGTTTTTTTTTGCAATTTGTCAATTAAAGTTTATCTTACCGTCTCAGGGTATGGTGTTCGTTGTAAAATTTGAGCTTCCTGTCTCGTAACTAGCAAACAGTTCCAAGGAGTCCAACTTTTTTCAAAATCATACCTTGTAAATTCCAAATCATCTTTGTTTGTTAAACCACTGATGCAGCTTTCACCTTTCCAAACTTTTTCCATTAAATGTTTCATATCTCTTGGCTATTTAAAAATATTTTAACATTATACATTTTTAACTAATCAAAACTTACATGCAAACTTCTTGGGCATCACAATGTTTTTTAAATATATATTTGAAAGGCAGGAGGATATGATAAGACAATTTTTTAAGAGAGCTTAATGTTAAAAAAATAACTTCTAGGCAGGCATACCATGTTTTTTCATTTTGTGCTGTTATTTAGTGGAAATTCTAGAAATTTATTGAGTATCGATCTGAAAACAATGTTAAGATACAATTTGATGTAAAAGTGTAACCTTTGGAAAAAATGAGTTTTGTCATTCAATTACCCCCAAGCTCTCCAGTTCTTAATAGTGATAAGTTTAAATAATTATTGTCATAGTGAAAATATAAATACTGAAATAAATTGTTATTAGAGTGAAATATAATAGGTTTTTAGTATATTTCTTATGTTTAAATTACTTATTTTTCAAAAACTATCAATTTCAAGGAACTTGTAAAAATAACACTTCAAATTTTGATGAAAATATAACGCATTTCATGGATGTAATTAATGAATAATAATAATCAAGATATAAAAATATAGTACTATTTTATGCATAGAACATAGTTGTTTTAAACAAACCAAAAGTTCGAAAATATATTATAAACAAATTAATATGCTAATCTTTTTAATTATAATAGTATCTATAGAATGTTCATGAATATCAAAGTAGCAGCTGTGGCTGAATTAATAGGGAAACAAATGCACAGAAAGAGACTTTTGGGATGCTAAGTAGGAAAATAAAAAAATTATATATCAATAAAATAAATACTTAAAAAGTATTCTTTTGAATTTTATCCTAATATTTATCTTCAAAACCCAGTGGTTCCCACTACTTCTTGCTTTGCCTTCAGCCACTGAAATTGCTTGCAAAAATTTTTTCAGAGATTTTCAAACTTTCCAGCAAAAAAAAAAAAATTTTTTTTTAATGAAAGCAGATTAAATAGCTATGTTATCTTGTGAAAAACAGAACCTTTGTGAACTTTTCAAGATTAAATAAATGAAGTTCTTCAAAATCCTTAGCACCAATTAATAAGCACAAAGGTGACCTTTCTGCATCATTAAGGTTGTCACTTTGTTTGTAAAAATTTAATCATAAGAAGAAAAATTAAGGAGATATATTTATTTTGCACCTTGCCCAAATGCATGACACAGTTCAAAAAGGTATACTTTCGATTTTAACTGTTGCAACTATACGGAGCATGATAAATGAAAATATTAAGAACATTTTGTTATCAAAACTGTTATTTCATCACACTGAATGTTTTTGTTATAAGACTACATTTTATTTAGTTTTCATTGATGCACAGAGGACTGTGCAACATAACTAGTTAAGATACAACAGAATAAACTCCACAAAGTCATCACTATGTAAAACTATAACATAATAGCTCTGATATAAAACACTGTCGATTCATTAAAACTTGGGGGAGGAGGAATTTTTCCAAATTAAAAAATAATTTCTTGAAAAAGTTTATTTCTTATTTCTCCAAAATAATCTAATATGCTACGTTGTAGATAATTCAAGATACAGCACGTCAACTTTAAGTTAAAAGAGTTCCAAAATTAATTAATTTATACTAACTTGTAAAATGTAAATAAGACCTGAAATTGATGATCTATTTTCTTCATCTTTGATTAAAACTTTTAATAACTTGTTATAAATTTCCAAGTCTTTCCTGATCCATGCTTCATTTTCGATGTAGGAACACTTGGCACATTTTGTAAAATAATTTGCTTCCACGGATTTGCCTAAAGTTTCATCGGTTGAATCTGATGTCAAAGTGTAAAAGCGTTTACAGGAAGCACAGCAAAGAACATGTTTGGGTACATCTTTCTATTGAAATAATGAATTTTAATTAACTTTCTTCATAGTTTCACTATTTTTAAAGCATATTATTATATGAATTAAGTTTCACTTAAAACATATCTATCTATATATATACATATACAAATCATCAATGCTACAGCCCAGTGAGAGCCAGGTGGGTTAAAGGCTCCACAATTTCCTAACTAACGGCATGATTGTAGCGATGCAGTCAGGCCTCCTTTACTTTCTAGACAGGTTAGTACCACCAATCTGAAGCTGGGTATGCTACAAGCTGCCACTGGGGATTGAATCCTAGATCTTCACAATGACAGTTCAATGCTTTTACCACTGAACCATTGCAACTCATCAAGTAATGCATACCTTTTATTATTATGTAGGTAGTATAAAATGTAAATGATTGTAAAAAGTAATAACTAATAAGCATTATTGACTAACTAATTCTTCACTTATTGTAAAGCCTAACCGAACCTCATTTTTTTGTTTTAAAAAAAACTGCTTCCTTGACAAGGGATTCAGACTGATGATAATGTCAATTCTTTTCAAATCAAACTCAGAACCCTAAAAATATCCAAATTTCAGAAAAACAAAATCATAGCATTTTCTTTCTTTTAAGACACGAGTCGAAAAAGTTTTGAGCTACTATCCTACAATCAATTCTATTACTTTTGCAAATGTCATAAATATTATATACACATATATTATTTTATAATAAATTATTAATTTAAAGTTGGAAAAATCAAACAAAATTGCAATAATAATGATAAAAATCAATCTCACCTCAACTGTTTTCATCTGTGGATTATAAACTGGTTGTCTAGCAAGTTGCCAAAACAAGTTTTGGATTCTACTCCGCAAACCTTCCAATCGATCAGCTTTTGTGTTTCTCAGCAATAAATCGATTTCACGATTTGCCAATTGAATTAAATTTTCAGAAAGCTTCCCATCGTAGTGCTAATTAGGAAAAAAAGAAAGCAAGCAAACATAAAGTATGAATAAATATAAATTTAATGTTAGTTTCCTTTCAATACAAGTATTAGTTACAGTTTTTAATTGATCATAATCATAGTTTGTAGACATGATATGTGAATCAATGGGGGTCAAAAATCATAGTATGCTATTTATCTATTCCTGAGAATTACAAACAATACAAAAAGCATACTTATAATTAAAAAAATTCGATTGATTGGGTAATTTATAAGTCTTGGTGTACTGTTGCCAGGTTTGGTTCATAGGATGAACATCAATGCAAATTATCAGTCGAAATATTTCGTTTTTTTATTCAGTTTAACATAATTCTAATTACCAAGAAGATAATAATTAAAATAATCAAATTAAAAAGTCTAAATCCTTCATTCTGTGATTCTTTTTTTGCAAGTTTAACTTAAGATAATTTAATCGTCTGAAGTAAAATAATCTAGAGCAGTGCTTCCCAACTTTTTTACTGCTGGGCATTGGTCAAAGTTGATACATTTTCCACGGCCTCCTGAGGGAGTTGAGGACGTTGATTTTTTATATTTCAGATGTTTTTGATTTAACAATTTAATGTAATTGTAGTAAAACATGCCTTCAAACAAAATACAGATACATTTGCGATATTAGTGTGGCCTTAGGTAATGCCTTCAATAGCTCAAACCAAAGAGAAATACGCTACAGTAGATAAAATAGAAATACTTTAATGTGTCTGGGAGGGCCCAATATCATTTGATTTACAGACTTTTATCGGTCTCCGACTTAGGGATTGAGGACCACTGAACTACAGTGATAAAGATGTTTTGAAAGTATGAAGCTTTTCTGCCTTTCATTCATTTGAATCCATCGTCTTAACTTTTGATTCACTTTAGCTTTAGTTATAAAAATGGTGAGTAGCTATAGCAAAGTGGCTATGCTCTACTTGATGAGACTCTTAGAGCACCATCTAATGGAAAACTGAGAAGATAACGTTCCTATCTTGAAAACAATTTCAGATAGGAAAAAAGTTGTAATGTCATTGATTAAGTATGAGAAGACACCTAAGGAAAGGAACCTACTAACAGAAGAAAAAAAACTTAAAATATGCAATTCTGATCTTAGAGAGAAAAGAGCCTAGTGATTAAAAAGTACCCCCATTTAAGAGTTTTACACTTTTATTGAGCTTTGTACATCAAAAATTGACTGACTTGAAATAACTATAGTTTTTTTTTCTTTTAAAAAAAAGTATAAAAAAGCTTTTTTGATACCTCATAAATGCTATTTGAAACTTGTGTGTTCGAATTCGAAATGCATCACATTTAAAGAAAATCATAATTAAAAAAGTATATTTATTACCTGAACCATTTCTTTTAAAGTTGTAAGAGCAGATATTCGGTCTTGTGAAGATATGTATTTCATACCTAAAGTTTGATATAAGTCTTGAAAATATTTTCCTCTCAGAGTGCTTGATGTTTCAACAGAAATTTTTCTATCATATCCCATCCATAATTTTGGTTGAGCTGCCTAAAAAATTTACCAAAATTGATATTACTAATTTTAATTAACTATTGTAGAATGGGAAAAGGAATAGATAGAATGGGTAAATATGCACACATTGGTGTATTAAAACATTTATAAGAAATTGGTTTATATATGTCTACAAATTTATAATAATAATTTTTAGCATTTAGGTCAGCATTATAAAATGTTCGGTTAAATATTTTTGACACTTGTTTTAAGATTATGGAAAAGCAACAAAAGAGTTCAGTGAAGTTTGAAAAGTTCTTAATCTTGAAGATGTTGTTTAAAAAAAGAATTTTTTTTTTTAACTAAAATAATTTTTAAAATTTTTTTTTTTTTACTTTATCACATAATATAGATACAAGCATATTAGTTAATATAAAGTCTCAAAAAGTACTGAATTCTACAGCTGATAAAAAAACTGTAAAAAATAAATATTATTATAAAGATAAATAAAAACTTACAAACTATTAAAATATATATAACGAATAGAGTTATAAAACTGTCATTGCATTTTAAACATTTGTTCATTCAGGTAAAAGAGTTTTCTTTGTACAAAATATTATGGACTCATGATATTTATGTGTATTCATATAGATTTATGTGTATTCAACATAATAAAAAACGTTAATAAATATATTTATTAATAACGTGTTAAAAAAAAAAGGTTTTTTAAACAGATAAGAGTGGAGCTACCAAAAATGTGATAAAGAAAACATCTTAATGACTTATTTCTGTGTCACTACAGCTAAACAAGATTTTAAAAGGTTATACAATAATAATTCATTTAAAACATGATTAAAAGTAAATTTTTTAAATTCAATTACTAATAACTCCTTATCCAATAAATAACATCAACTATAATGAATTAGTCTAATAAAAAAAATCATTAACTTGTATTTAAAAAGCTTCCATGAGAAAGATAAAAAATTATAAGAAAATAATTATTGAAATAAATAAAGAAAAGAAAGTACAATAAAGAAACTACAACAAAAAACCTATATAATTCAATTCCAAAAACCACAATACGCCACAAACCGTATTATCTTTATAATCTCTAAAGCAAACCAAATTTAATAAATTTGTTAAATATTATTTCTAATGCTCTTGATAACCTAAATATTTTTAATAAAAATAAATATTTAAGTGCACATTTTAGTGTTTTTAAGTATTTTTACTATAAAATTATTTTAAAATATTAATATTGATCTGCAGCAAATATGTATTGCTATGTTTATTAGGTAAGTTTAATGATAAGTGAAATGATCTATCAAATACAAATTTTTTATAATGCAAATATTCATATTTCAAGATTTCAAGTTACAAAGATCTTCTATTGTACTATATTAAGTTTTAAATTATGTAAGGTAATTTTTGGTCATTTGTAAGGTAATTAGTTTAAGATACATCATTTTGTAAGGTAATTAGTTTAAGATACATTCATTAAGATTTTTTTCTTTCCTTCTTTATTACTATAAATTTCTATCAAAACATATAAAGAAGATTAAAACATATTCATTATAGTGAGTATGACTGCGTCAGTATGAATTTATCACCCTGCAAGGTCATTAGTTTAAGATACATTTATTAAGATTCTTTTCTTTCCCTCTTTATTATTATCATTTTGTACCAAAGAAGAAGGTTAAAACACATTCATTATAGTGAGTATGCCTGCACTTATTATTGTTAGACATAAAATATATGACTATATCATCTGTTTTTGAGTTAGAATATTGTTTTTATAAAATTGTTTTATAATTAAATTTTAATATTTGCAAATTTAATTCAATGGGACGCAATTGTCAAAATGAAATAGCTAACTTAATATTTAAATCTTTTCTTTTTCTCCTAAAATTTTGAACTTACCATTTTCAAAGAATTTTCTTTAAATTCAGTATCTTGTTTTTGGTGGCATATATATTTCTTTTGGTTTATTTGCAGAATTTTTTTAACTTCTTCATTCACCAAAGACCAAAATGCTGCTTTCATATCTGATTCTGTCAGATGAGAATTAATACACTTTGATTTTCTTTCCCACCATCCTGAAAACAACTATCACTTTAGTTTTGTATTAGTTTGATTATTCTAAAATTCAATAAATTGTAAAACTTCTAAAGAATCCAACCTAATTTATTTTTATTAGTAAACACAATAATTCGCCAGTGAGCTTCTTATACAATGGACGCAACTCAAGAAGCATGTCCAGGAAAATCGGCACAGCTTAAAATGCACATTTAGGAAAATTGATGCAACAAAAAGTATGCTTTTTATTGATTAAACCAAATTTAACAACTAAATAATGTTTCGTTCTTACTTTCTTAATTACTAATCATTATAGAGAAAAATCCAGAACTTTGGGATCAGGGATCTTTGGCTGGGTATATTACAGATGTAACTTTCCAGGAGATGTTTTCGTATTTAGAACTATAAATGATAAAGTTAATTTTAAAACTCTAAATATCTTCAATTTAAATTTACTAACACTTTCAGGCATATCTTTATATTCAGAACAATAAATGATAAAGTAGTTTTAAAAAATCAGAATTTGTTGCTAATTTAATACCACTATTATAAATTTAAAGAACTTGTTATAAACTTGTAAAAGAAAAAACTATGGAATTTGAAAATTTTTGAAATAAGACTTATTTTAAAAAATGTACTAAGTGATTAAGGCTGATAGTCAACATCACTTTATGAATTTATTTCGATCCATTAGTTTATTCTTTAGAAGAAAAAAAGTGAGAAAAGTTTGAAAAATGGATTAAAATACAATGGTCATTTTCTTAAATAGATATGTCAATTTTCTTAAACACGCATTTTGAGGTTAATTGACCTGATTAAGGCTGATGGACCACATCACATAATGAATTTATTTAGATCTATTAGTTTATTTTATTATGAAAGAACAATTTTCATAGGCTAGGTTTGAAAACGGAATCTCTTGCTATGTCTATTTTCTTAAATAGATATGTCCATTAACTGAAAAACACATTTTGAGGCTGAAGGACGACATCATATAATGAATTTATTTAGATCCAGTAGTTTATTTTATAATGAAAGAACAATTTTTATGGGAAGATTTTAAAATGGAATTTGCTATGCCCATTTTTCTAAGTAGATATTCCCAATTTTTTAAACATGCATTTTGAGTTGTGTTTAGAATAAAAAGCTCACTGTTGAATCATTTTTAATTCAATTTCATTACATGAATAATATTCTAATGAAGTAAAGCATACTCAAAATAAAAACATCTCAATAAGCTCAAAAACATAAAATGACATAACATAAATATAGGAATAACAGTTTAAACAATAATAGAAAAAATAGAAATGTTTGATACAAAAGTGAAATTCAGATATTGTCCATATAAGAAAAGTAATTTATAAATAAATTTCTGAGGATAAAAATATAATAAACAGTTGGTGAATTTCTTTCATTTTGTTTAAACTATTGTATAAATGAAATTATTTTTAAACCCTTGTATTTTTTATTAATTGCAATATTTTATTTATAAAAGCTATGGGTACGCGCTATTTGATTTCTAAGTTTGAGTCTATTTCATAATAAATATCATGTCTCTACAATTTATAAGCAAAATAATGATGATTTATTAAAATTCAATCTACTATCTAAGAACATATAGAGAACAAATAGAGAATTAAATTTTATATGTATCAAAAATATACAAGAGAGACTTAAAATATTAAAAAATCATGTCTCTACAATTTATAAGCAAAATAATGATGATTTATTAAAATTCAATCTACTATATAAGAACATATAGAGAACAAATAGAGAATTAAATTTTACATGTATCAAAAATATACAAGAGAGACTTAAAATATTAAAAAATAATTAGTAGTTTTAGTTTGACCAGCCATATATTTTCAGTTCTTAGTAAGATAGTATAAGAACACAGTGAGCAAATAATTCATTTAAAACAAAATTAGTGATGAGCAATTTTGAATGTTAGTAATATTTTACTGGGTTATGTCATTAATAGTTTACCGATAAATAACTTGAATCCAAAATAAAAAATTTCATTCCTAAAAATTTCTAATAAATTATTCTTATTGCTAAAGACAACTAATTCATGAATCAACTAACAAATAAGAAGTTAATATCTTTTCTTTCACATGGAATAGGTGCTTAGGGTGAGGGAAAAAAACAACAATTTGATACTTAGGAATTTATTTTCATGGAATATTTAAAATCATTTTGATTCTTAATGTACACTGATTTCAGTTTATATGAAAATGATAATAAATAATTGTTACGTTGTAAATCGCTGAACAGTAACAAGAAATCTTCATCTGTTCTTGGATTTACACGTCTCTCACGTAAGCTTTTATCCCAATCAACGTCCAGTTGCATTCTTGAGTTAAATCTTTCTTTATCCCAGATGTGTTGCAAAAGAATTTTCTTCTTTCTTCGGAGAACTTCTTGGCAGGCCAGCCATCGCCTAATATATTTTTGTACTACAACTACCTTTTAAAATTAGATTTGATAGAGTTACTATATTTAACAAGTTTATATGATATTAGAAATATTAGATAGAAATTGGAGTTTTTGTTTGACATTTTGTATGATATCAAAATTATTTTTATTTAGTCACAAATTTAAAGTTTATTAAAAGAAATTATTTCAATTGAAAAAAAGAAGAAAAAAGAAATTTCACAACAACTTTACTAATTACTCAAACAAATTAATTCTGCATGCTGCAAGAATAATATTATTACATTTCCTAAACTAGATTTACTTTTTGTTTGTGAAACATTTAAACAAAACCATTTTTAAAAAATAAACGTTAGGTGATTAAAACATTTCATACATAATTTGATATGAAAAAACTCATAAATGTTGATACTCTTTCAATATAATATTTAAATACATTATAAACTATTTAAAGTGCTATTGTATACAATAAAAATCCTACTTGTTTTAAAAAAGATGCTTCAGAGTGAAGAAATGGTAAAGAAGCTGCATCTTCCCGAAGTAACATTTGTCTAAATTTGTTAATGTCTGATAAACGTAGTCAATTATAAACTTAGTCAATTATAAAGCACGAAGGAAACATTTATGACATATTTACCAAAAAAAATTCTTAATTTTCTTAATAAATGCAAAATTTACTAATTTTTTCATACATTTAATTATGTGTTGAAATTACACAATAAATTATGTATCGTGATTATCAATGTTACATATTTTATTAACCATTAGAATGTTTGAACTGAGTCATTTATTACAAAATAGTGTTCAAATTTACTTTATCGATTCAACTAAAAAAATACCGCACTTGCAATATTTTTTCAACTTTATAACAATTTATTTTAGTGTTATCCATAGATGTTACCGCCATAGAGTATACTTGACTGAAGTAAGAATAACATGACCTCTTAGGCTATTATTCTAGTTTTTGTTTTGATCTGCAAAAAAAGAGGTAGCTAAAAGAAGTGGTGAAATAATAATTATTCTGCAGAATTAACAATCGAAATAAAAAATTACCTTATCTATGGAAATGCATGAGATATTTAGTATACATTCATTAGATTTAAAATACTGCATTCAAAATCTCGATAAATTTCTTTTCAAAAGGAACAATAAATATTTAGTAATCATACTTTTCTTGATATAAAAACTCTTGTATTAAATCTCTTTGCATTGCGTAAAACAAAATTTTTGGTGAGATGCATATCCACATAAGAGTATGTAAAAATTTAAACAAAATGCATTAAAAAAATTCTAACTAAATTTTTGATCTGGCCAGAAAAACATTTTAAAAATCTTACTCAGTTCTCGTGAATAAAAGTTTTTAATTAGCATTCTTTTAGCCAGGTTTTATACCTTTTTTTTCTTTACAACCGGATTTTTTTACTCCCACTTCAAAGGCACTTTTATAATCAGAATATATTCTCTGTATTACTAAATTATAAAATGTAGTTATACAGTCAATGTTTAATACAATGATCTCAGTCTTCCAAAGGAAAATGGATATTATAACTTGAAGTCATTATATTGAAAGTGCACAAAAATACCTTAAATATATTTTGTACTTATAATTAAATATTACTACACAATTTTGGACAAAACAATGTTATACTTCAATAAGAATTAGGATACCAACAAAATAATAGATAATAATGCAACCTGATATTTTTTATGTTAATATGCATAAAAATACTATTCAAAATAATGAATTAGAGGTGAAAAATACATCCAAAATGAAAAAAAAATACACTTCTATAAATATTATATATCCTGATAATATGAAATTCAAACATGAAAAGTTTCAAATATGAATGATGAAATAATTATACCCTTTGAAAAGAATTTTACAATGTGAACCTTAATTTTATATTTTCCAATGATTATTGTTAAAAATTGCATTCAAACACATGCAGAAATAGCTGTTTTATATTATTTTAATGATTTTGTGAGCTTGTCATGTTAGTCGCTAAATCGTTAAATTCTAATTAAAAATCTAAAATTGCACAAATTTAAATGCATGTGTCCCCATGCAATTCTTAAACCGTATGATGTGCTCTAACTCTCTTCCAAGTTTGCCCATGATTTCAGAGGCACCCTGTATTTTTCTCTAAATTTTTGACCACAGATCATGACCTACTAAGAATCAAAGGAGTCCTGTAATATTTCTTTCATTCAAAAGGAATTCAAGCAGTTTCTCATTTAATTAAAATATGGTAACATGAAAAGAAAAAATTTCAATTTCCTTAAACTTTTGTTAAATCAAATTATTCATTGTCAACAAAATCATTTTGTTCCGCAATCCCAGAATTTTTTTTGTATATTTTGAATTTTATGAAAATAAAAAAGAGTGAAACAAAATTTCATTCAATATACTGGAATACACCGTACAGCACATGCAAACATTCCAATGGGTGTTAAAATAACAATGTGTCTAGAATAGCCAATCCTATATTATGTATTAGTTGTTGCAATTAGAGGTTATACAAAAGACCCTAGATTTTACTAGAAACTTTTACAGCATTGCTGACCATTTTGTTAATAGCGTAATTGTTGACACTAAATTAAGTTTGTGATAAGACTTGGTTACTTTCCTTTATCAGTCAGTTTTAGAAAGTCAGTTTTTATAAAAAAGGAAACAATAAATGGCAAAGAATACAAAGTTGCCTAAGATTTTCAGCAGTCAAAGATACACTTATAATCCGGTTTTTGGAATAAGAATTTGATAGAAAGGTTAAGTTAATTTCCCAGTCAAAATAACTAATGAAACAAAGTTAAATGTGATTAAAAAGGAAACTTTTCACATTCTGAATTGCTTACATTTATCTCAAAAAATTATGCTATTAAATTTAATAAAAATATTTAAAAATCATGAGACTGTTATGATTAGTTTAAGTTATTTAGATTCAAATTTTTATGTACCTTACTCAAATAATCTTCTTTTACATCATCTGCATGTACAAAAGAACCAGAATAGGTCAAACACTTATCACCACTAGTATTAATGTAAATGTTTCTTGCTTCAACTTGTGTAGAAATATTTTTAGAAGTTTGTTGAGTTTTGTCCTTCTTATCAACTGTTTGTGAATTTCTAAAACAAAAAAACGATTTAGATATATATAAATTTTTTCTTTTTTTTCTCTCAAAATAAAAATAAATTGGAAAACATTTTAGTGCAAAACAAATGCAAATTATATGGAATATATAATAAGTGGAGTAGTAACTGACATACATAGGAAACAAAATATTCCAACAGGTTTTCAGAATAGTAGTAGTTCATTTACCTCACACTAGAGCTGTACAGTGGGTAATTAGAAATTGTCTGGGAAACATTCCTAAGTATGATCCAAAGGCATGCAATCACAATTTTGATGTTCTGTAGAGGGGATGGTTCCTTACACTTTAATATCCTGACCACTTGCATGTGAAGTCGAGCATTTCACGAAAACAATTTAATGAAGACCGTTGCAACACACTCTTGGTCCCTTTGCAGGCTAATCAAAGTAGTTACCCACTCATTGGTAATACTGATTGGTACCAGTGAAGGACTTCAATGATCAATTGAGAACTGTGTCTTACACTCAGTCCACAGTGGAACTGATTTCATGATGAATTCCTTTTTTGTGTGCCTATTTTGCATTTATGATTAGTTAAACATTTTATTTTTATCATTATTTTTTTATGTACTGCAATGTTTTTTGTTACTTTATAGTTACTTAAAAGGTAAAAGTTTTTTGCGCAATATCATTTCGTGCTTCAGCAGAAATATGGCACAAAATCCCAAGAAACTAATTTACCATTACCCAATTTGGTATATGATGAAAACTTCAACCATTCCCTCTATAGAGCTGGTTCTAATCAGGAAAACTGGTTACCTCCCTAATAAATTAGCTTTTACTGGGAAAGTGACACAGGTAATTTAGTATTAAATTCAGTTATGAATTTAAATTACATGGGAAAAATCTTACTTCAAAGTTGCTATCAGACATGGATAAAATGAAAGACTTTCTGTAAACCTATCACAATTGAAAAAGTTTCTTTACTCTTGTAACTAGATTCAACCCTTTAGCTGCCACCTAATTCTAATGAAATTTTTTTATAAGTGTTTTTTTTAATTTTTTTTTTACAAAAGTCCATATTGAATATAATTACATATATACCCACATAGACCGAAGAGCCGTTACATTATGAGCACCCAGCTAATAACATGTAGGGCCACCTTTAGCCCTCAAAACTGCTAGCACCTGCCGTGGCATTGATTCCACAAGGTGCTGTTAGGTAGCCAGAGGTATCTGTTACCAAGCGCTCACCAACTAGTCCTGCAATTCCCTCATATTGCGAGAGGGTAGCGTGGCAGCACGAATTCAGTTTTCCAAGTGGGACCACAAATGCTCTATTGGATTAAGGTCAGGTGAATTTGGGGGCCAAGACATGAACATGACTTGAAAGTCATTGGAATGTTCCTCGAACCAATCCATGACGATTCGACCCTTATGACATGGTGCATTATCCTGTTGGTAAACACCATCCCCCACAGGAAAAACTGTTGCCATGAATGGGTGAACCTGCTCTGTAACTATGTTCAAGTAGCTTACAGACATCAGGGATTTTTTCTATGACTATTATGGGTCCTAATGTGCCCCATGAAAACATTGTTCCTGGGCGAAAAACCATGCAAAACAGGGCGAGTCCACTGCTATAGATAGAGGGTGGTCATAATGTAATGACTCTTCGGTGTATATTTCTTTAAATTGAGCAATTTTTTGAAGATACAGTACACTCTCGATTATCCGTGTGCGGATTATCCGGTTTGCAGATTATCCGGTTTGCGGATTAACCGTGCTCATTCCGGAGTCACACAAAAAATATAAAGAGAAACATTTTCAAGATTAAAAAAATTTGATTCAGAAAGTTATAACACTATCAAATTTTTGGAAGCAATATTCGTTATTGGATTGCAGTATATGGAATATCCGCAATATGATCAGAGGTAAAATCGTTTACGTTATCACGATCTTGGAGAAAGATCATACCGCTTGATGAACAATCCTTTTCAGATGTTCAAGAAAAATATATAACAGTATTCTCGAACAAGCGAAAGAAATCTAAGATTTCGAAATTCTTGANTTTTTTTTAAATTTTTTTTTACAAAAGTCCATATTGAATATAATTACATATATACCCACATACACCGAAGAGCCATTACATTATGACCACCCAGCTAATAACATGTAGGGCCCCCTTTAGCCCCCAAAACTGCTAGCACCTGCCGTGGCATTGATTCCACAAGGTGCTGATAGGTAGCCAGAGGTATCTGGTACCAAGCGCTCACCAACTAGTCCCGCAATTCCCTCATATTACGAGAGGGTAGCATGGCAGCACGAATTCAGTTTTCCAAGTAGGACCACAAATGCTCTATTGGATTAAGGTCAGGTGAATTTGGGGGCCAAGACATGACTTGAAAGTCATTGGAATGTTCCTCGAACCAATCCATGACGATTCGACCCTTATGACATGGTGCATTATCCTGTTGGTAAACACCATCCCTCACAGGAAAAACTGTTGCCATGAATGGGTGAACCTGCTCTGTAACTATGTTCAAGTAGCTTACAGACATCAGGGATTTTTCTATGACTATTATGAGTCCTAATGTGCCCCATGAAAACATTGTTCCTGGGCGAAAAACCATGAAAAACAGGGCGAGTCCACTGCCATAGATGGAGGGTGGTCATAATGTAATGACTCTTCGGTGTATATTTCTTTAAATTGAGCAATTTTTTTGAAGATACAGTACACTCTCGATTATCCGTGTGCGGATTATCCGGTTTGCGGATTAACCGTGCTGATTCCGGAGTCACACAAAAAATATAAAGAGAAACATTTTCAAGATTAAAAAAATTTGATTCATGAAGTTATAACACTACCAAATTTTTGGAAGCAATATTCGTTATTGGATTGCAGTATATGGAATATCAGCAACATGGTCAGAGGTAAAATCGTCTACGTTATCACGATCTTGGAGAAAGATCATACCGCTTGATGAACAATCCTCTTCAGATGTTCAAGAAAAATATGATAACAGTATTCTCGAACAAGCAAAAGAAATCTAAGGTTTCGAAATTCTTGATGAAGAAAACTTCGAAGATTGGCTTCAAAATGATGCATGTGAGCCTGGCTTCCAGTATTTGACTGATGAAGACATCGTTATGTTGTTAAATCGAATAGTGATGATAGTAACTGATGAAGAAGATGTAGTAAATGAATGAAATACAATTTCTCATTCTACTGCTCTGTGGAAGCTTTATTAGATTATATGGGAGGATTTGATTACGGTGACATTACTGGGGTTCGTAAAATATGTGTATCGATATATGGCGAAGACGCATTACAAATTTTTTAAAAAGAAAAATTCCTAGTTTGATGTTATGCATGCAAATGTCAGTAAATTTTATATTTTTTGTACTGATATCTAATTTTTCTTTAACAAAAGGAGATTTCGGATTATCCGCGTCTTTCGATTGTCCGTGCGATCTGTCCCGCTGATTAACCCCAATAATCGGGAGTGCACTGTATTAAACTGGTTTTTGAATTGCCACATTTTCTGTTGTTGTATTCAAATTTTCTAAAATTGACAGTGAGATAGAATATGAGAATCATGAACATTTCTTTTTTACATTTTATTTCTCCATTATGAGTATAATATTAAAAAATTTCCCCTCTATGGTGACAAATTTTCCACAAACGCCATTCACCAGTTTGTGCCTGCTATGCATATCTGATGGTTATAATATAAAACAAGATGAAGCTAGGAACAATGTCTATAACACTTCGATATGTTATTTTCAAATATAAAAAAATAAAAGGAGACAGGAAATATTTAAAATATATTTAAACTTTACAATTTCCTCACTGAAAAAATTGCAACTACAACACCTACATAATGTATGAAATGCATCAATTAATGAGCTTAAAATCTATAAATATTAAGCATCAAAGTTTTTTTTAAAAAAATAATAAATAAAAGTACCTGTGAAATTTAATCACAACATCATATTTCCAAGGAGGAGGCAATGTCTGTGCTACAGCATGATGATAAATTTTACCTGTAATTTTATGCTTGTATCCATAGATTATTCTTTTCTTAATTTCAGGGCTAGCAGTATTTACATTATCCCTACTCAAAATTGATGAGGAATCACTTGAACTTGAGACTTTATCTTTTTCTACAAAATGATACATATCTACGATAAATAATTTGAAAATTAAACTATACTATATTACAATTGTTGAAATTGATTATTGCATACAATCACCAGATATGTTACAACATTCAAAATTATAAAAAAATCTAATAATGATAATTATTTTTAATAACTAAAGCAGTTTAGTAGAAATATAAAACTTGTTAGAACCAAAATGTTTAGCCATATAAAGAAGAGAGTGCCATAGACAGAGAAAGATATTATGAGGCATTCAATTGCTTGCAGTTTACTCTCAGAACTGCGTAAGCAGCTCTTCTCAGGTGGCTCTGAGTTTCGAGCTAGCTTTTTAAAAAACATATCTATGTTTAAAAATTCATAGGTATTTTCAAAATATGTGATCCACCCGTGTAATCGACATTTATTTTTTTAATAAATAAGATTTTTCAGTTTTGCTCTTTTAGTGCCACTGCCTGGTATACCCTACACCAATGTTTCCTTAAGGTCAAGTGCGGCATACCCTACACTGAGGCTTTTCTAAAAGTAAGTGCCACTGCCCGATATACTCTAACATACTATACTATTGATTCATGAAGTAACTACACAGGTAGATCACATATTACGATAGTACCAATTCAAAATAAAATTAGAACTACATATAGACATTTAAACAACCAAAAATGGTAATTCAAATAAAAAAATATTATTTCGAATTTTTCGATAACTTTTCCCAGAATAAATTCAAGCTATTAAATACAACCTGAATGAAAACTAAACTGTAAATTACATAGGTACAGAATCAAAAATAAAAAGACTAAATTGAAATTCAAAGTTCAAATTACTTTCTTTAAGTTTTTGCCAGTTATAATAGGTTTATGTTATGAAATTCAACCTGAAAAAAAATTAAAACAAATTACAAGCAAATAAAAGAATTATCCTACAAAGATTCACACTAAAAAATTTTATTTTAGTACAAGCTCACCAGGCATGTTGAGATTTACATTAATTTCGTGCAAATTGATAAAAATATCAATAAAATCCAAAGATAAAATTGAAGAGGCTAGTTTAACATCACTTTGAGAAAGTGGGGGTATCACCAAAATAAGAAAAAGAAGGAAAAATTAAAAAAAAATTTTTTTTGTGCCTTTAAATATTTATTATATTGAGCCCCCTCCAATTAAAATAATACTGAATGTTTGGCTACATTTTATACCAAAAAGGTGAGAAAAAATATGAATTTTCAGTAAATGTTTTGGCTATGTTTATTGAATTTCATTAATATCTAAAAACTTTAAAATTTAATAACTCCAAAACTAATTGAAACTATAAAAAAAAAATTTGCTGCCATTAATTTTCATTTAAATCAAACAATCTTAAAAACTGCCCATATGAATTATTTAATTTAATTCAAAACTAGTTTGAAAAATCCAATACAACATTGCTTGGCAAAAAAATAGCAACTCTTCTAATTAATTGCTTTTGCTAAACTAAATCAAACAGCTTAAAAAAATAAAAGAAAATATAAACCATTTAACATTGATGAAAAAATAAATTAAAAACAAAATGCATCAATATTTTTATATTAAATTTTTTTTTTAACAATTATCTAAAAATGTTCAAAATTTAATATAGTTTTTGCATAATAAAAGTTAGCATTTTGTGTGGTTAAAATTTTCTGAAAGAACTGCGGCAGTAACTTTATTAATATGAAAATAAAAAAAATAAAGCAATTAACATAATATCTGAAGCTCACAAAAATAGAAAACAATAATTTTAAATTAATAAACTGAAAAATTTGTTAAAGATTAATAGTTTTCTAAAGATTCAGTGCTTTATAACATTTTAATATATAATTAAACTTCTGTTTCACGTACTTCAATAAAAAATTTCATTATCTACTGCATATAAAATTTCAGTACTTTTATTTTTAAACTCTGCCTTTTTAGTTCTTTAGAGATATTTTAATTTTATGTAATTCATATTAATTTATTATTTTTGGGAGGCTCCAGTCTATGTAGAACTAATAATATATTTATCTCATTTGTATGCCAGTTAATTTGTATTTTTGTGCCTTAAAGTTAATTTTATAATCTCATTTGAGTTTTAAGTAGTATCTCGAAATGTGGCGGTTTCTTGTTAAATTAGGATAAAAACAGTCTAAAAACTATCACTAAATACAACACATAAAACCACAATACAAAGCTGATAAAAAGTTATTCTTAAAGTGACTTTATTCATCATTTTTGATTATATTTACCATACGGCATAATTATTTACATAGATTTTTACTCAATGTTTAGATACTCAAATTTTTCCACAGTAAACAAATCAAATTTCGGCGACTTTTGCAACCATGGTAACTAAACTGATAACGATTATAAACGATATTCTGACTAAGATCCAAATTCAATATATTTCTTTGAAAAATTCAACAATGAAAAAAAAATTTCTATAAATGATATGAAGCGAAGTGAAGTAAATATTAAACGCTTCTGCTCATATTTTCGTCGTCTTTCGTTTTTTCTTCTAACAGCATAAACTTTTTGGTTGTAAAACATATGATTAAAGTTATATTGAGGCAATTCTAGTCTCTACTGGTTATTTTATTGTAAAGGTGTTTCCATAAATCGTAGCACATGATTAATTCGTTTTGGAATATATGTAGCACTTGTCCGATGCCCAAAGAGGAGAAGGTTAGATAAATTTCGGGCGTATTCAAATTATTTTTATTTGGTATTATCATCAAGGGATGTTAATATTTATTGATTTTTAATTTTTCTTGTACATATGTAGTAACTCTATAGCCAATTGTAATTTTTTAAAAAATGATATATTACTAACTTTTCGTTACATAAATTATAAAAAAATTTTATGATAACTTAATGTATGTCTTCTGTCTAATGAATGTTGCTAATTAAAAATTTTATTTTTTTATTTGAACGAAAATTTTAATCTGCTATATTACGATTCGTTGCTACTGTTTTATTTTAGAGATAATTAAAAGCTTTTGAACGCAAAGTAAATTTTAATTTTGCATACTTAGTAGTTATTAAGTTATTTCCCATAGTGATCATTAAATCAGTACCCTCGTTCTACTCACTTAAAAGTGATCAAATATTTATAGCTATGTTAATAGTTAGTCGTGAAATAACATTATACTTGAAATAATACTTGATTCAAAATATTTTTTAAGATTAATTTTTAGGAACTGTTGACTATAAATATCAAAGCTTGCTCTTTAGAATATGCAGCATCACAAATAATAAAATATGCAGATGATTTTTATGTATGCAAAAAATTTTAAGTATATATTTCTTGTTGGAAATATTTTTTGTATTTAGGGATGTAATTTCAGATTTTAATTTCTATTCTATAAAATATAAACAACCTACTTATTAAATACTTTTTAAATTTTTAAAGCACCATTGCAATTTTAAAACTTTTGAGATTTTTTATTATCATTATGAGACTTGCAAGTATTTAGATGGGTTAACAGGAAATATAAATATTGAACAAAGATTTTCCTTCCATTATGTTTTAAGTGAACATGAGTTTAAAAGCCAATTAAATTTAAAATTCCATTAAGAATTTAGCTGTATAAGCAATAAATCAAAGGGTTATTATTGCATTAAAAGTTATTTTGATACATTATAAGAACAAACATTGAAAAAAATCAACTTTTTTTTTAATCATACCATAAATAATATTGATATTAGAAAAATATGATATTGATAATATTTTCCACAAATTATAGCATGAAAAATAAAGAAACTTTTTTAAGAGTAAAAACCGCAATTAATTTTACAATTTTATGTGCCGTTGTGTCTTATCTTGGTTTGTACATAAATATAATAATTTAAAAAAAATTTTTTTTTTTGATGTTGATATCATTACTTACCTTTAACTCAGTATTAAATTCTATATTTAACAAAGAAAGGAAAAACTTCTCACCATATGTTGACTAACTTTGTTTCTATACCCTTTGTTTCCAAATTAGCCACTTTTTTCTCTGAATATGTTGTTTATCCAATAATAGTTGTAGGTTCCATACAGTTGGTTGGATCACAAGAACTTTTTTCTTTCTTGTTTAAGATTAAGTCAATAAGAAGTTTGCAATAATCTATTCAAGCTGAGAGTGAACAGAGTTCATTTTATTCTCAGCTTGAGTAGTTTATTGTAATGATTCCTTTTTTAATTATAATTATATGTTCGTATTCTAATAAATTTGTAATTAGGCATGCTGACCTGCACAATTGTTGTTTATTATATTATTATATTCTGTTATATTACAACAACAACAACTGTTATATTATTAAAAACCTGTTTTGTTTCACATTAGGTAATTTAAATCAATGCTTTTTAATAATTTGCAATAAAATAGACTAAGTAGTTTTTTTAGCTGAATTTTTTTTTCTTTCTAATATACAGAAACTTTAGGCAGCATTTTTATTTATATTTTGTTTTTATATGTTTTCTATTTTTATTATTCTTCATTATTGCATGTTATTTCTTTGTTTTTTTATTTTATTGTTTCTTATAGACCTGGAAACTATATAGAAGATTTTGTTTTATTCTTTTTTAAAGAGTTGATATCCATTTTTATTTGTAAGTATGTTATCACTAAAGTTTATTTTCATCTTGATTTTATCGTAACCATTTTCTCTTTTTAAAATAGCACGTGTTCACAGTTGTTGATAAATGAAACAACTACTGATTGTTTATAGTTATTATATATAAGCTTCACTGATATTTGAATAAATATGTTTTGTGCACTATTGTGTGAAGAAAAATATATAATCATAAAATTCCTGAACTATCGGTATTATATATTATTGAGAAAGTATACTATGATTTCTCATGACTATTGAAAAATTTACAAAAGAATAAACATGATAAATTATTCCTTTTTATTTGCTCTATTTAAATTTTAAATGTCTACCATATTTACATGATGATGAATATAGTTTAATGACAAAGAAAAAACCATGTCAAGACTTATTACAAATTAAAACAAACTTATATTTGTCAAAAAGTTTGCAGTGAAAGATTGTAATTTTGAAACAGGGATTGAAAAAGTCCAACCCACCTGAATTTTTCAGACTGTATTTCTATCTGGATTACAGCTACCAAATGTTCAACTCCGTAGTCTTGTAATTTTGAACCCAATCTAGAAGACGAGGATACACCTTGATCAATTATCGTAAAAAATTTGCCTTCGTGGAAGATGACTTTTTTTCCTAACCAACCCGCATTTTTGTTACATGGTGAGGGAAACCTCCCTTGGTTAGCCTGGCGACAAAGGGACTCTAACCCATAATCTGTCTATTACTGATTATATTTTATGTCTGCACTGAGGTAAGTCAGGTGCAGAATTCGTGTTAACCGACCATCATCGGCCGGGATTCGGATCCGGGTCCTGCGGGAAGCGCTCTATCCCCTGAGCCACTGCAGTTCCCTTAATGTGATTGCAGGACTTGCTTCTAACATAAGAATTGAATGTTTCGTAACTATTTATTATTTGTTTTGCTACAATGTAACCATTTTTAAGGAAATCTATAAATTGCTAGGTTATTATTTTCATTTCATAACAATAAACATATTGTTTCATAAAAATTTAAAATGATTCACTTAAAAGATGATCCCAATTTTTTTTTTATTCCATTAACTTGTATTTAGCTCCAGAGTCTGTTGGGATAATATTTAAATATTTGCTCGGTTATCATAGCAACTTGATCTACTATTTTGTTTTTTAAATTCCTTTTCAACTTTTGTTTGCTATAAAACTATTTAAATGCTATTTGCTAAACAGATTGCTTGTGTTGTGTAAAGTTAATTTATAACATCAATTTTATGATTGATATTTTAATTGCACTGCACTTTTTGACTGGAAACTGTTTAGTATAAAGCTTTTTGTGTAAGTAAATGTAACTTATTTACTATTTAATAATTACAAAATGATTAAGTTACATACTGTTTTCAATAAATTTTCATAAAAAGTTATGTAATGTAAGATTACAAGATTACTTCATATAGTAAAAGAAATCATTAATTTGGAATTATTATAGAAATCAAGTCATAATAATTGTAGAGAATAATATTAAGAATGGGTGATAAATAACTATTACAAGTAAATACCTTAAAAAAATAATAATTAGTTGGTCAAATAAACTATTTTTTACCCCAAAACTTTGTTCTTCATACTTTTGATTTTAAATAGGAAAAAAAAAAAATGTTTGAATCTCAGTTTCCGCATCTAACTGTACAACTCAGAAAAAGAAAAAAAAAATATGAAACCTAATTTAATTTTATTGCAACTGTAAAAAATTGAATACTAATTATTTTCATAGTTGTGATTAAAATATAAAGAAGCAGCTTTTTTTTTAATAATGTTGAAATTTAATTTATAAACTATATCTTACATTGAAGAAAATCCAATAACTTTTTCAAGCTACATAAATAATTTCATTTCCTAAAAACTTATAGTTTTTCATAAATAAAATAAATTGATATTAATTATAGTTTATAGTTACGTCACTACTAACTGTTTAAATAATTAAAAGATGCCTGATATTTATCAAATCGAAAGTAAAGAAATTGTAATAAAATTTTGATTATTAAAAACATAATAATAATAATTTCACATAAATTGAAAAATATTCTTAAGGATTTATAAACTACAATCTTTTTAGGAATAGATACTTCACTTTTTCAGCCTATTTGAAAGCACATTTAAAACAAGTTGAATGCATTTCAATTTATATGTCATATTATGTAATAATCAAAGCTAAATAATCAAATTATTTTATCTTGAATTGTTTGGAAATTTTCATTTAATAAACAATAATTTACAATTATTATTTTGCACAGTTATTATTTGTAGTAGAATATAGTAGTAAATCTAGTATAGATTATTTTGAAAGAAAAAAAAAATTTCACTTGGCTCCACCTGAAAAAACAAAGACTTTTTTTTTCAGCTTGGATCCACTTTCACAATCCCTGTTTTGAACCCTAAAAATTACTTTTCCGCTGTGTTAAAAATACTGCAATAAAAATAATGGTTCATAGATAATTTCAATGGTATCATTTTATTAAATTAAAATTTAAAAAAGTTAGCAAGATTTTGTTTAATCATCAACCAAAGAATGAAGAAATTTCAGTTCAAAAATAAAATGTGTTGTAATTAACTGATATAAATAATAAGTATTTGATCATTTAATTTATTTTTTAGTTGAATTCAGAATACAAAAGGAATTATGTGTGGCATCCTCAATATAAACCTTTGGCACAAGATGTTATTAGCTGTGCTCCGCAATCAAGTAATTTCCTGTTTTGAATAATTTTAAATTCTTATTCAAAAAATAGTAAGCAAGCATTTTAAAAGTGCTAATTTCACCATTCTTCATTTTTTAAAAAGTTTTTTTTACAAATTAATTTTTAGAGTTGAATAGTTTACCTTCTGCATATTGATTTTCTGTATAATATATTAGTCAAACTGGCAAATGTATAAATTACATTAATTATTATAACTATTTTTTTTTGCCATTCATTTTTGTAAAATATTTTATCTTTTGAAATGTTGATTTTTTAGTATCGTTAAAGAATTAATTTTTTTAACAACATTTTCATATTGAAAAAACCTAATTGATATTGTTTCATGTTCTTAAAGAGAATCTCTGGATAATTTTCGTGGAATTAATGTACTTCAATTTTCAAATTCACATTTTAAAGTTGGTTACTAATATTGCAGAGAGAAAACTTTCAAACTCCTGACTAACTAAAAATGTAAATGGTTTTATTATATATTTTCGTGATTTAATAAAATTATTATATCACAAAATATTTAATGTTAAATAATTGTTATAAACTTGCTAAATTAATAACAATAATCTTTAGATTTACGTTACATTTGTACAAATTGAATTTTAAATATGTAGTCAAAGTGTAATTGATCTATCAAAATTCCTTATTTTTACTAATAGACCTTATTTAATCAATGAATAATTCTGCTTGATTATTTTATGTTTTTATAAATTTTTATAATAACATATTTGCACCTAAACTTCAAACAATATTTATCAGAAAATACATTTTCATTCAAAAAAACATAGATAATATAGATTTCCACTAATTATAAGTGCATAAATGTATATAGTTTTAGTATTAAAAAGCATTAAAAAAAGGGAAAGAGGTTGTTAGTGATCATTATTTTATGAAGGTAAGGATATAATTTTAAGTTAAATTTTGCCAAGAAAATATTTCTACTCTTTATGTGCATAATTTATTTTATTTTATCCAACTGTTGCAAGAGTACTTAGCAAATTTTAATATGCATAAATGTAAGGAATAACATAAAATGCATAAATAATTTGTTAACACATTAAGAATTAAAATGATCTTAGTCTGAAAAAAATATTGAAACTTCTAGATTGAATCTTAAATGTTTAAAAACAGCAGTAAATAATTTTTTTTTTTTATAAAATGAATTTCTTTTTATTTTATAAAAGTGATAACTAAAATCATTTAAGGAATTGATGAAAACAAAGTTCCTTTATAAATAACATGTGTTAGTCATTGAGTTTTAAACAACTTTATTTATAATAAAGCATCATCTGCTCTGATACTGTTGAATTTTATTAATGCTTTGTAACAGGTATTGAGTAATAGTTTTTAAAACAAATTAACTTTTATACTTGCTTTCACATAGCTATTTTAAATTTTACATTTATTATTTTTTTTTATGCACAGCCATTGAGCTAAACTTGTATTTAAATAAAAAATAAATAGGGAAAATAAAAATGAGTGAGCTGACTTTGTTTTATAAATTCTTATTTATATAATTAAATTCTATTATATTTAAGCCTCACAAATATAAATGAACTAAATAAGTGCATATTTGTATTAATTGATTTTTATCTATTAACAAGTTAATTCACAATTTTTTATTTCATTTACATTTTAACTTCTTTTAAATTTAGTTGTTAAAGAAATTGGAATACAAAGAAAGAAGCAATATCCAGAACTGGCTTATAGAAGTCATGAGGTGATAAGACATGATATTGGAGCACATTCAAAATATGTTATCGATTCTCGAGCAAGGGTTGGTACTTATTTTTATATGATCTACGACTTCAAAATGATTTTTTGAAAGTTTGTGGTTCTCTTATAAGTAAATATTTATACTTTACTCCATTGAAATAGTAAATTGCATTTTACTATCATAAGACTATGTATATATCCTACAGTATTTGTTTATGCTTGAGTATCGATAGACATGTAATCTGATTATGAGTGCATAAATGTATATAATTAAACCATGTGGTGTTGTTATATTAATTTAAAAAAAGATAATATTATTTTTCTTGAAATAATAATCACTGTAGAAAAAAAAATTATTATGTAAAAAAATGAATATTTATAAAACTTTGATGACATATTTTAGAAATTTATGCTGCTATTCTAAGATTTTACTATTTTGTTGCACTTTGAACTTTGTTCAACTGCTGTTTTGAACTTCATTTTATTGTTATACTATATCAAGATATTTATAGTAGATTTGAATCAACTTAATATTTGCAAAAGTTAATCAATTTAAAATAAATTGTAGTGTGTTGAATGTATAAATATGAAAAGTAAATATTTAAAGCAGATTCTTTTGTTCATTTTTATCATCAACTCATTTTATATTACCATTAACTAATTTTTTGAGAAGTGGACTTATACCAGTTTTAACAATCAGGGATCATATATTTTTAAATTAAGTCTAACTTGTTATTATCGAAAATATATGAATTGTGGTCATTCACTCATTAAATTAGTGTGGCTTGTTTAAAATGATCAAAATTAAAAACTATTATGCACAAAAAAGAACTTTAAAATGATTTTTACTTAACAAATTTTGAATTAAGAAAGATTTTTTAAACTCTTTTGATGGGAGGGAAATGTCTATATATAGTCAGTTTGCATATGAAAAATTTCTAGTTAAGTCCAAGTTATATTTGTAACTGCTCAGTTTTATATAAGTTTTTTAGTTTACATTGAATCAGAACTCGCAGTAACTGAGTTTGTTTGAATTTCAAAATAATTTAGGTCTTTTTGTTTCCATGCAATCTTGTAAGTTATGTTTATATTCTACTTCAGAGCACTTGCAGCATTTTATTTTGTCATAGTTTTTATGCAAAACAAAATCAAGTTCATATGTACTTGCTGATTGATTTTATTAGTAATTATAACAATTTTAGAGTGAAGAGAGGGATAATAATTTAACTTCAAAGTCAGGACCCAGAAGTCGTTCTGCAGAGCCTGGAATGGAACACCATCAACAAAAATCTGTATGCCATGATTTACTATTTTGTAGTACGTATTTTATTCATTTCATGTATTTTATAATAGATTATATTTATTAGATAATGGTTCAAAGTTTTCCTCCGGTTACATTTGGTCGTGTGTCTGTATTGCCGAAAACAGAAGAATTCCCTGACATCATTGAACAACCATCAGAGACTACTGAATACAAAGCACAGTTTTCGTGGCCACGAAAAAGCAGTGAAGAAATGCCGTGCATTGCTCGGAAATCTGTGTCGATGAACATTATTAAGAGTTCTGAAGATACAAGTATGCTTACATTATGTTCACACTATATTTCTGATTTCATAATTATGTTTTGCATTTTACTCCTTAACTATAGTGATAATATTTTATGAAGTGTTTAAAATTCTTTTTTAAGACAAAAAAAAAGCTAATTAATTCTATTATTCTCCATATTTTAAATAGGAAAGTGTAAACCCTGTTTATAGCTCAAGACCTTGTTAATAATTCAATCTTAAAGAATTCTCTTTTTTTTATTATTGAACAATGTGATAATATAACAAGTATATATGTTACATATTATTAATGTGTTATATATCCTTAATGTGTTATATATCATTATGTAACAATCTGTTATATAATGATTTGTAACAAAATTTAACAAACAAGATATAGATTCCAAGAATGAACTGTCATACATACATACAGTTTATTTGTGTGTTGTTGCATAGATTTAAACCAAAAAAAATCATTGTCCTCAACTCAAAAAGGCTTACTGTGTAGAGTTCTTGTGTTTTCAGCTTGAAGCAAAACTTAATTGATGTTTTTAGTATTTTTTTATTATTCATAGAATTTCAGTGGAAAGGCATTGCAGCACTACGAAATTGTTATCCACATAGAAAATAAGTTTAATTTCTTTGAAATACTGTAAAAAAATATGTGAAGTTTTATTTTTGAATTAATTTACAGTTAAAATGTTGAATGATATTCGAAAATATGGCTGTATCAAAAAATCAATATCTAAACAAATGCATTTTCAACAATGTATCTCTAAGTTTCTTTAAAGAGAGAGTTAAAGAGTGGACATGTTTAGTATCATTCAGATGGATATAAAGCCAGTAAATGTGTATTTACCTGTTAACTAGGTAAGAAAAAATATTTCTTCATACACAAACTACTACTGTAATTGGCATGACAACATTTTTCTTCATGGAAATTACTTGAAATATAATGATATTACTCATAATTATGAAGAAAAAAGTCCCCATTGTGAAAAGCGTTTCTCAAAAGTTTGTTCTTTGTTTAACAGGTTAAAAAACTGTTTATATTTTCTAAAATTTCCAAAATACCAAACTTTTGCATGTTAATGTAGGTCAAAGTTTATCAAATAAATTTAAATAAAACTTAGTATTTTTGGTTCGTTGTAAAGTGATCTCGATTTTTATGAAGCTAAAATATTATACCTTTTTAATTTTTGTTATGAAATATTTAAACTGCTAAATCTCAATTTTAGAATTTTTAATAATAAATCTCATAAAATTGAAGGAAGATGGAAACTTTTTAGTTTTGTATTCAAATTACTTAACCAAACATTTATTGAATTGACATCACCCTATAAAGTTAAGTTCTTTTTTTCAGCTCTAAATTTTGTTGGCTAATGTAATTTTATGTTAGAGAACTATTCAAAGTTTTCAAAACGTTCTTTTATTTTCTAGAATATATTCATATTGCAAACATGTTTTTTCAGCTGATACTGCTGTGCCAAAAGTTAAGCTAGCCCCTGTTCATAGACCGTGTGTTAAACACAAAGAAGCAACAAGCTTAGAAAAACCACTTCAAGATACCAAAAAGTATGATCTTTTGTATCTTAATCAATAAATGTACCATTATAAACCTCATTAAAAAATCCACTACAGAATCAATAAGTCAAATTTGTTTTTTGTTCTCTTGTATATAATTTTTTATTTTATTATGTAGTTATTTTTTTACCTAGACTTTTTGTCATCAAATTAATTATTTTATTCCTTAGATTGAACTTTTAAATTTTTACTTAATATTGCAACTCTTTTTGGTTTTGAAAATATTAAGTGCTTAGTATTTACTTACATATATAATAATTATACCATTTATCTCAGTAGGTAAAGGGAGCTAGTTTCTCTCAATTTTGTGAAAATGGGTAATTATCCCTGACCAAAATTATACTATTTTAACAGCAATTAAAAAAAAATACTAATAAAAGCTATGAATTTCGAATTTAAATAAAAGTAACAAGCATTGCTCCAATTTAATCATTTTTTGAAAAATGTTCATGTTAAGATTACATTTACAACTAATCTAAGTATATTGACCTAATAAATAATCTTTTATAAATCTTTCAATAAAATAAATATTTTAATATATTTCCTCCTCATCCTCAAAAAATATACTCTGTAAATTAATATTATAAATTAACTTTTGGAGTCACCAAAAATAATCATTGAAACAATATTTTGTTGAATAAAATTCAAATCATGATTAAATGTTATCAATACTTTGGAGTTTGTATTGTATTGATCCATTTGCCTAGTTATTGAAATCTATTTAAATTATCCTTCCCTCACACATTAAGTTACTTATTTATGTAATTGGCTACTAATGACTAAAATTTTGTTTCTCTTATTTATTGAAATCGAATATATTTTCTAAATCTTACTGTTTCATTGTTTGAGTCATTCAAAATATTTTTGTAAAAGATGTTCATATTTTATTATATTGGATTAATAATAATTTCAATGTTAAAATGCTATTAAAACATTTCATCCAATGATCGATTCTTCAATTACTAAAATTCAATCCTAATAGTTCAATGATATAAAATACACTCAATTAATTTTGTTCACACAATATTTTAATACGCGAAATCAGATTTAGAAAAGCACTTTCTTGGAATAAAATCTCTTTTTTGTTTGATAGATTCGGGTTTTATCACTCTTTGTTTCTTTCTCATATTTCAATATATCTCTTGAATTGTTGAAGCAAAAATTTTCTTTATTAATAGATGACAAATTCAAATTCACGCAAATCAGTCATATTGTTTTCGAGCAATGTGAAAAATTCATATTCTTTTTACTTTTCATTTCTGGAAAACTGATTTGTTATACTCATTCAAATTAACTCATTTATAATTGTGTAAAAAATTTTATGCTACAATTTATAAACTATTCAATTATTATTTAATTGAAAATGTACAGAAAATGGTATCTTAAGGTGCCATGGCATGAGACTAAGTGTGCTACAATGTGTCATTGACTTTAAGTTTATTAATCTTGTAATAATAATCTTTAACTAAGGAAAAAGTTTCTTGGTAGAATTGATAAAGTTTTTGATTTCTGTAAAATGTGCATAGCATATCATAAGTGAAAAATCTATGAGGGTTTTCCTTTTCTATGATAACTAATACTTGCGCAAAACTGCATTTTTAGCTAAGAGAAAATATTGCTTAAAAATAAACATCAAATAAGAAATCCGAGCAGCCATATCAAACTTTATTTAACAATTTTAAATATAATGAGCAGATAGCTCATCCATTGCACTAAACAAATTCATAATACCTTCAAGTATTGATGGTAATTTATCTTTATTTACTATTTATATATATATCTTTATTAATAACTTCTTACTGATTAAAATTTAAGTGTTCATCTTAAGTGTAAGCTACTTCTATAGTTTATTATCATAGTCTTAACACATGAAACATACAGTATGTGTAAATAATAGATAATATACCCCAGACAAAAAATGTATGACTGGATGGCAATAAATCTCATGAGAGTGCAACAATTAGAAAAATTTGGGAATCGCTCTGGTCCAGTATTTTTGTTATGGGTCTAAAATTTTATTGAAAATAATTTGAAGCACTACATTTAGTGAGTTTTAATGAAGAAATTATTGAATTAGAAAATTGAATAAATTTAAATATTTTTTTTAATCACAGTGGCTCAAATGTTAGCTTTTTACTTTTATTGATAGTGAATGGATCTTGTTTGAAACCTTTAGACACATACTGTGATATACCAAAAAAGAGCTAAAACAATAGATTATTTAGTTTTTTAAATTAAATTTTATTATTATTAGAAAATATTCTTATTCTTTTTAGAAAAGTGAAGACTGAGTACAAAGCAAAGTATAAGCCTTTTACTTCTTATGTTTACGTAGATGGTCAATGGAAAAAAACTTCTAGGCTATTAAAGGTAATTTTTCAATTTATTTACTTGTTAATTTCTTTCATTTATACAAATTTCTATAAAATGTAAAAAATTTTAAACAAAGCAATTTAATATTGCTGTAATGTCAGCCTTTAAATTAGGGGTGGCCATCTTTTTGTACACATTATGCATACAACTAAATAATTTTTAAACAAATTTAATTTTTACTCTGTTTCCTTAGTTAATAAAATTATTATTAAATAAATATTTTAGAAAAAATGCAATGGTTTCCTGTTATATCAGAATTGAGTGAAATATATCAGAATTGTGAATCCTGTTATATCAGAATTGTGATTATCCTACACCATGGGTGCAAGTCTTCCGTCCCCAGGACGGATTTCCGTCTTTCGAAAGTGTCCGCGGACGGAAACAAGACTGACTCGAAGACGGAAATAGGAAATTTTTTTTTCTGTCCTTAAAAATATTTTTTAGGTCTACGTTATTGGTCTACTTTCTTTGTTGTTATTTTACAGGGATGAAAGACTTCCGCGGAAATCCGCTTTTTTCTCCCAAGTTTTAAAATTTCCGACCATGTTCCAAAAACTAAAATTTTTGGAGAGTTCAATTAAAGAACCCAAGCCGCCCGAACGATAGTTGGATTGCCGCGACTTCCGCTATAGAGTGGAAAGAAGTCTAAGCGTTTCGTTTCTGACCACTGTTATTTGATTTCTTTTGTTTGGCTGATTTTCCGAATTTTAAATGTTCCGAACTGCGCCGGAATCGCTAAAATCGCGATTTTTAATATCAATCATCGATTTTCGTATTTAACTGATTTAAAAGTTACGTGCTGCGATTTTTTTTACGCTATTTAAAACTCGTACTAGCAATTCCTATTCACTCAATTTAAATATCCAATATCGCGATTTGTGTTTAAGCGTTTTTAAAACCCAATATCGCGATTTGTATTCTCGCGAGTTTAAAATCCAACGTCACAATTCGTATTCACGCATTTTTGAATCCAATATTTCGATTCATTATCACGCAGTTGTATCGTTTTTCGTATTTGTACGCTATTTAAAAATTACTCATTGCGATTCGTATTCACGTGCTCTAAAAATTCTGCATCGTGATTCCTAATTACGCGATTTAAGAATTCAATGCCGCAATTTGTACTTTCATGTTTTTAAAATCCAACCGCACGATTCATATTCACGCGATTTTGAAATCCAAAATTGCGATTCATATTCAAACGAATTTAAAATCCAATATCGCGATTCATATTCACGCGATTTTAGAATCCAATATCGCGACTCGTATTCACGCGATTTTAAAATCCAATATCGCGATTCTTCAAAGAAGTAGAAGTAAGTTTTTTCTTGAATTAGTTACTGCAAAGATGTGGTATATTTTTCATTAGTAAGCAATTTAATAGTTGTGCCTTCCTGTAATTGCATAATTTTTTTTGATATGGTAGTCAAAATTTTAAAATTCTATTTCGAAAAAATTTGAAGTTAACTGTCTAAATGCTTCTGCCACTTTAAATATTAAATAAGAATCTCCCACCATAGTTAAAAGTTGCTTTTATAATTCTCAGTATCATATAGAGCACCCCCCCCCCCCGTCCTCCCAGTGACCTGCGTTGTAAAAGTTCAGCTTTTTTTATTTTTGTCCACTTTCATGCCTGTATTTTATCAAAAGACAGATGAATAAATATTTTTTGTACAGTATTTAAACTTGATGTATTATGGTAAAGCTTTCTTAGATAGTTTGCATATGTCGAGGGGGTATTGTGTATGTTAGGTATTTCAGTCAAAAAATTTTCAGTCTTGGCCTTTTTTCCAACTTGCACCCATGTCCTACACATACACACCATACTTTGGCTATTTCTACACTAAGACTTCCATGAATTGAAATTTCAGTGTATTTTTTCTCCTATATACCATGTGCCTGATTAATACGCTATTTTCTTTGAATCAGAGAAACTGGCTTATAGCTAAACATGTTAGTAGAAATAGAATAACTCACATCACAGTTTCGCTCCTTCTACTCTAGAACTTTAATTAATTGAAATTTTGCAAATTATTTTCCCTATGCACCATTTTCCTATATAATACACTATTTTCTTTGCCTCAGAGAAACTGGCTTATTTCGTGAAAAAGCATACCAGTTCAAAGTTGGTTCACATGTCAGAACTGCTTAATGTTTAGAAATTACCTATCCTTAATCCACAATCTTCCATCAATTGTCATTCCCACATAGAGAAACATTGATAAAAACAATTGATTCTTTACAGTGATGATGGTTAGGATGTAACTGTTTAAAAAAATGGCATGGTTCAAAAGCTTGAACAACACTAATTAGAATTAAGTAGATATTAACTCCTAAAAAAAATATTGTAACAACTTGTCTATGCCTTGAGAAATATAATATATTTATTTAAATTAAAAGTTACAATGTTTATCTTATTTCTACTAGGAAATTTTCTATAATAAATTAAAATATTATTCGGCAGAAACATTCTGCTTTATATATGTACAGTGCACAAAAAAACAAACGAACCATCATGAACAACTTTTGATCTTATGATTGGATCTTTGCGTTCTAGGACTCAATCTTAATGGTTCATAGGATGACTTCAAATATGCTAATTAATTAGTGCAGACAATATGTTAAGTTACGGAATCAGGCGCAGAAGTGTACTTTCTCTGTATAAACATGTATTTTTCCGACAGATTTGGATTTCAGACTCCCAAAATAAAAGGGGTAGCCGCAATCTGGGAAATATGATCCCAATAGATTGCTCTGGAGTGTGGTTCAAAGTTTGGACCCCTTAATATTAATTTTAACTGAACTAAACTCAGTGGCGCGACAGGCCATAGAGGGCCAAGGCCTACTGTGCCTATGTCAGTTTTCTTGACCTTGGGCTCTGGGGTGCAGGAGCAGATGTTCCGGTCAGGTGGTCTGCCGAACGCGGAACCCCCAGTGTTTAGTTCCCAAGCATGCTTGGTACTCATTTATCGACCCACTGAAGGGATGAAAGGCTGAGTCAACCTTGCCCGGCCCGAGGATCGAACCAGGGACCTGTGGCACGACAGCACAAAGCGCTACCGCTCACCCACCGGGCGTCAATGTGTTAAGTATTTTCTCGTAATTAAATTTAATTTTTTAACATTTGTTCCATTAAAAAGCAAACAATGTATTAACTTTACGTTTCTCAAATTTCACCATCAAACCAAATTTTTCAAATCGAATGGAAAATTTTTTGCACTCATTATAAAATTCATTTACTCAAAGATAATTAAATGCAAAATATAATATTGTTTTTTGACTATTAATAAATAAAATATAATAAATATTTACTAAAAGTTATATTTTGCATAGATATATTTTTGGATGAACGAATTTTATAATTGGGTGCGAAAGTTTTTCAATTCTCTTTAAAAAAGCATTAAAGATATAGCGAAATACGCAAAAAATAAAATTAGTATTAAAGGGACCAAATTTTGGACCGCTTTCTTGACCAAACTATCGGGACCATATTTTCGAGGTCAAAAATTTGAGTCCGTAAAAAAAAATTTTTATTCAGAGAAAGAACGTTTTTGTGTCAGATTCCATAACTTGAAATATCGTCTGCACTAAGTAGTTAGCATATTTGAGGGTATCCCCTCAAACTATTAAGATTGAGTCCTATAACATGAAGATCCAATCATTAGATCAAAAGTTGTTCAGAGGGGCCGGGATAGCCTGGCCGGTAGGGCGCTGGGCCCATGTTTGAGAGTTTGTGGGTTTGAACATCGCCGGCCGAAGTCTCCCCGTGTAGTAAAGTGACTGATGCACGTTAAATCTGTCGAGTCGCAAAAGTCTTCCATGTTCCCGTAACAAATCAATACCTCTGGGGGTGTTGGATTGGAGATCGATCGCTCTCTCTCTCTCTGAATCAGGTCAAAATTACAATCTGTGGATGAATGAATGTATGAATGGGTCCGCCCTATAAACGGGTGTGACGTACGGTGTGGCAGAAGTCAAATTCTTGCCCATAGATAGCGCCACAGGAAAACAAGAACAATCGCACCCCCTCCGCCTAAACAGGCATATGTCAATAAAAGTTGTTCAGGGTGGTCCATTTTTTTATTTTGCTCTCTGTGCATATTCATATTTAAAAGTAAGAAAAAACTCACAATTTTATGTCTTAAACACTAAATAATCAAATATAACATTTATTGCTCAGTGCTGTCACATGAAGAATAAATCAAATGACAAACTAACTAACATAAAAGCAGCCTTACAGGCTGCTTTTATGCTAGTTAGTTTGTTTTGCAAAAGAAGCTTGTGTGTGACCAGCTGTGGATAATCTTGTTATACTGCTTTGATTTATAAAATATTGAATCCTAAAATTTTATAGCTTTTAAAAATAAAATAAAAATATTTTCAAAAAATATAATTATTATTTAATATTTAAATTAATTTGTGTCTGTATATCCTTAATTTTCTGTCAAAACTATTGTCTACATCCACTTTTGATATTTTTAAAAGAATATTTTATTTATATGTCAATTTATCTTATCAAAAATTCTGTAAATGGCTTTAGGTTATGGAAAAAGCTGAAGACATTCCAGAAGAACCTTGGTTTGTAGAAGTTGCTGAGCGAGTGCAAAAAGCGAATGAATATCGGTCTCGAGGCCACGGACATTCAGCTTATGGAGAATTATTACCGGACATTTCTAAGCAACCCTCGGAAGTACCTCACCATCGCTCTAAAAGAATTCCTAATGAATTACAACTTAATTTGCCTAAGTATGTCAACTTCTTATGAAGCATGATAAATTGGTATTGTGTCATTTTTAGTTTTACAAATCAGTTGTTTTAGAAACATTATAATAACTACTTAGAATGTGTGCCCTGTTCTTAAAAATTTTAAATCCATGTGTTGTAGGAGGGGTGCCATGTCATCATAAAATTATTACTTGTTAAGGTTTCTTGTTTACTGCATAAAATTAATTAACAAAAAATTAAAATTGAATTGAAAACAAAGTTAGTAATGAATTAATTTTTTACTAATTGAATGAAAATAAATGAAAGATTAGAATTACAAAATGAAAAAAAAATTAGCCATTCTTAAAAGAAATTCAACTTTATTTTGTTATTTTTGCAAAAAAGAAAAAAATGATTATAATCAACGCAGTCTATTGTTATATAATTATATTTCAATTTTTGAGTGCTAAAATTTAAATTAAAAAAAAGCCAACTTATAAACAAACTGTAGATTGGTCTCTAGATCTAGATTAGTTATTCTTTACCGCTTTAAAGCTATTATCAAATTTAAATAACTAATAGACCATTATTCATTGAGCACTAAATTAGATTTTAGTACATTATAATCTCCACTTTTTGAAGTTTAAATCACTTATTGCTCTTGATATTCAAACTTGATTTCTTATTAAGAATTATGTATAGGACTGAGCGATATGAGAAATTTTATATCGTGATGCATCGTCAGTTTTGCATAGCGATATAGAGATGCATCGCNTCTTAACTTTCCACGCCGGATTTCTATCAAAACTTCATACTCAGATTGATTTAAATCAATTTATGAATTTGATGTATATGCTTTGCTTAAGAAAGATATTAATGTTATATTTTCTAAAAATGATCGCGCAAATAACGAAAGATTTCTTAGTTTAAAAATAAATAATAAAAAAATAAATAAAATTGGAACTTATCAATATATTTACCTAACAATATAGAAAGAAAATTTAAAAAATAAGTTCATTAAAAATTATTTGTATGCTTAAAACAAAGTGCTAAATAAATTAAACAAAAAAAAACACTTTTAAAACAACACTATTTTTTATCATTATTATTTCACATAAATAATAAAGTTAAATTGAATAATTACCGAATTCTGAACGAAAAAACAAAGTAAGGTTTAATTTCTTAAAAATAAAAACAAAAGAATTATGATATTCGATAATATATTCAACTGACAATATTGAAAGAAAATTAAAAAACACGATTATACTCTTTAATAAAACGAAGTGCTAAATGATTTTAAAAAAAGAAGTCGCAATCGCAAACATTACTAATTTTTTTGAATAAACAAAGTTGATTGACTTATGTCCAAATCCAAAAGAGGAAAAATAAGTTTTGTTATAATTTTATTTATAAAAATGAAAACAACTAAAGATTTATAAATTTAAAATCAGTAATAAAAACCCATTAAATTATTATTTTATCCAAAAAGTTTTTAATAAATTAAAATAAAGTAAAAAATAGCCTAACAAATTTAATTACTTTTTAATTTAATTCTTTATGGGCACCTTAAATTAGATTTCCGTTTGTAATAAATTCAATAATGTAAAATAATACTTAAACATATAATATCAAAATTAATTTTCACATTTAAAAATAAAAAAGAAAGTTTTGTTTCAAAAAAAAAATTAACCTTATTAATTAAGAAACACTTCTTTATATATTCTTTTCAATAATAGATTTCGTTCAGAACAAGGTAACGACGGCGATCACAAAGTCAGTCCCACTGAAAATAATGTACAAGAAACGATATCAAGTCACGACAAAGAAGAAGAAAAAACTAAGAGGTGGGGAAATGAACATGCGAGATCACAATATACGTTCTCGAAACTGATTCTGATTCTACCGCTCATCAATCAAGGCCATTTCAATATAACAATACAAACATCGTCTTCCCCAGCATGAGTTGTCATCGGAATGTAAGAGATCCTTGCGTGTCTTGTATCTATATATCGTATGTTGCTATATCGTTCGTCTTCTTTACTCGACGGCGTAAATCAGATTTCTGATGCATTGCCTGGAAAGAAAGTCCCTGTATCGGCCTGCCGATACAGACGTTAAATCCATATGTCGCGATATGTCGATTTATAGCCCTGTCCTAATCATAGATCTATACAATTTAAAATTTTTAAGTATGAATTGAATCATTGAAGATTCAATTCATATTTACCTGTAAAAAATGTAACCTATAAAATGTTTCATTTCTCATAAGTTATAGAAATTTTAAAACTAAATTATTATTGATTTGTTAAAATTTGTTTTACCACATTTATTTCTGTTAAATTGACTATTTTAATGTATTCTTCGAGGTGTCATGAATCGACTTCTAAGAAAGCAGATTCAAAGAAAAAAGAAACACCATCTGAAGGAACTGAAGATAAAAAATTAGAAAAGGGAACAAGGAAATTGAGTAAAAAATTTACTTTAAGATTTATAATTAAATGTATATATGTGATTTGCATGAAAAATTTAATATTTATTCATCATTTTATAGGGAGACCTAAATCTGCTGAACCTGCAAAAGCAAAAGAAACTGTGAAATATAAACGCCCTGCTACAACGCCGCCAGCTAAGCTTAGTACTCATTCACTGCCATCAAGAAAAAAGACACCAAAATCAGAAGAATCTGATAGAGTGCCCAAAAGTAAAATATACAATTATATATTTTTAAAAAGATTTATATTAATATTTGTATCATTCCAATAATAAAAAAAATTGATACCTAATAAATGTCACTCATCATTTATATTAAGTTAAATGAACACTGCTTAGTTCAGTTTTATTATACTATATGACAGGGATATTAATATATTTTTTTATTTTATCAAATTACTATAAAAATTAAAGAATAAAATGTTACTACAAGCAACAATGCAATGCTACAATCATAAAAATATAAAATTTCTTTTATTTCTATTTATAATTGATTTGTATGACTTGCATATTCACAGTAAATTTCTTTACTTAGGCTCAGATTAAAAAATTAAAATGTTTATCTTAAATGAATTCCAGTAAATTTATTTTCAGAGTCAATTAATAGTGATGAATTTGTCTATGTATAAACAAGGCAAATCAGGATATTATTCAGTCTAAAAATTAACTTTGCAAAGTAAAAGTATTTTTCTGCTTTGAAAAAACTGCTCTTAGGACATTTCAACAAGTTTTGTTAGTAACTTTCAACCTAAACATATTTTTCATATTAATTTAGGTAAAAATAGCTGAAAAATATTATATTTAGCATTGTATGAAATATAGCATCAGACACATTTGTCCCTCTTTCATTAAAGGTAAAATTTTCCAAATATGGCTCACTTCCAAACAATAATTTTTCAAATTTGCATTTATTCAGATCTGGAAAGAACGGTAATTAATCATTGAAATTTCTTTAATTTATAAAATCAATTTTTAAATAATAATGAAAAAAAAAGTTTTTTTTTCTTTTCAAACCACTTTTTTTTTCGATTTTATATTCGAAAAAATATTTAAATATTTTGTCAAAAATAATTCTGAGAACCTAGCAGATTTTTTTAGTAATTATCATACTTTTTTTTTTATAATTAAAAAATACCAAAAAATATCTTTTTACTTGTATTCAGAGTATCAGAGAAAGAAACATATATAAAAGGGACATTGGTGTTCCATCTGTGCCAAAGAGAAATTTTTGTGAAGTTATCAATAAGGAACTAAATACATTTCCTTGAAGCATATCTGTACATTGGCATCATTTTCTACTCAAACTAACTCTCCGGGAGATAAGCCTGAATTAATACAAGCAAGCTTTTTAGTAAAAGCATTGATATTACTCAGGACAATTTAAAAGAAGAGTTTATGTTCTAATTGATGTGTATTCATATTTTATATGTTGCAGCTAAACAGCCAAGAAAGCCTAGAGAGCATGCTTCAAAGCCACCCTCATCATCATCATCAAGCGCTAAGAAGTCTCCGACGCCATCATCCCAAAGCAGTGGGGGGAAGGTCTGGCTGCAGGCCGGTCCATCAATTCCAGAAGCAACGGGGAAAGAAGACTCCCCAATGAAAGAGCACTCGGATGCTGTGAGGCCTTCCTCTTTGTCGCCAATATCATCTGCTTCTGTTGCTCCTCAAGAACCTTCTGCTACGCATAATAATGTTGAAATACCTAACAGTGAGTCTGAGAAAATTATAGAAATGAAATTTTTTTGACACTTTTAATAAGTTATTTTTTCCCCAACACTTTATTAATGTGATCCTATGATTCCAAGTATCATAAAATGTTTATTTCATTCTCTTTTATTTTCCTCCTTAACTCTACATTCAATTCAATTGAATTTCCAATATGAATGCTGTATTGCTTTATAAATTTTGTTTGCAAGAAACTAATAGCAAATAGGAGAAAAATAAATAGAATCTATGCACCAAAAGACGTGGATATGAAACAAATAAACAGACAAAAGGATATAAAAGAGATAAAAATATTTCTTTTAAAGTTTTTCATTTGTGTTTTTACAGAATGAACAGTATTTTGATTAAAAATTAGTACATAATTAAATTATATTTGTTTACGTTTTTTGCTACATCATTTAACTAATTTTTATACTGCACATGTGATCTCTCAGTGTCCACTGTAAGCACTTTGGCTAGTTTGCTATAGTTTTAGCTATGTATTTTTACATTAGATTCCCAAAATTAGGTTAATTTCTCTCTTTTTTTAAAATTCATTCTTCCTAAAGCATTAAATTCATTCTTCCTAAATATCTAGCTACTCTTAAAAATGTCATTTTGCTATTCTCTTATATGTTTTATTAAGTGTAATTCTCTTATATGTTTTATTATTATTCTCTTATTTTTAAAATACATTATCAATTTTGAAGCTTCAGAAAAATACTTATTACTGTTAAAATGTATCTAAAAACTCTCAAAATTAAAATCACAAACTTTATGTCATTTTGGTACAAATCATAGCATTTTTAAGAAAATTGTGAAATTTAGGGGGAAAAATTGATAATTTGTGAAAACAATTGCATAAATAGCACTATGAAAACCTTACAACACTAATAATATTTACTAAGGCATTTGTTTAATTGCTGTAGAACCAGAAGACGCTAAATTTGCTGTATCACAATCATCAGTTGTACCATTAACCCATGTTCGAACGCCAGAAGAAGTAACTGGAGTTAAGAGTCCAGATCCTGAAAATTGGACTGTTCCAATTGAGAATAGTGAGCGATTGCAATGGAGTGGTGTGAATACCCCGGGTATTTTTTTTACTTATGTATTCATTTTAAAGAAGTTAATATGTATTTCAATTACATGTTAAAGTTAATCATAGACATGCTTTATTTTTTTATCAGGAAATAACTTTCTTTGAAGTACAGAAAATAAATATTAAATTTTTGACCTAATTTTTAGAGATTTATAGAGCATTGGTAAAAATGAGTCATAAATATTTTTAAGTATCACTCCTTAAAATTTCTCCTCTAGAAAAATGTTTCAGTGTAATTTTTTTTTAGAAATATATATCATCAATTTTACTCAAAACCTTTATTGTATGGATTAAATTAAATACACTGTTAATTTATAGAGTTTTTTTTTAAAAGACACTTCATTCAAAATTGTAGTTTTAGTTTAGACGTTCTCAACAATTTCCTTTAAAAAAAACTAATTAAAGAAACATTACATATATAAAAAATTTTGACTAGGCCTCCAACAGTCCTGTCCTAGAGACAATATTCCTTGCTATCTTCTCTCCCCCTTGAGAATGGCTTGCATTTCTAATAAAAGTGCCTTTAGGCAAATAAAAATTATTTTTAATTGTTTGAAATACTTTGCTTTTATGATATATATTGATTTTATTTACTATATGATGATGAATTTGATTATACTTGACAATTCTTTGTAAATATAGCTTTCAGTTAAACTTCATATAAAACTGTGTAAAAGCAAGATGATTTGAAGCGGAATTTCCTAATTTTTTCAAATATTATTCAAACTATACTGCTTGAACCTTTTTTTCCTTTTATGATCTGTAACTAGTTTATCCATTTACATTATTAACTATTACTTTTAAACAGAGTTGAAATACTCATAAGTTCTTAGAGCTATAGAAAAATCATGGAAGATTCTTGTTTCAAAATTTATTTTATAATAAAATGTAAAAATAATATACAAAAATTTTGGTTTATTTCTCAAGAGCTTATCTTATGCTATAATTTACTAAAGAAGTGACCATCAAAAAATATTAAAGGAGATAATCTTGTGTCAAGGGAAATTTTGCTTTATTTAAATTTTATGGGTTTTTACTCTTTATTAATTTTACTTCCTAAATTTTGTAATTAAACAATTTATATTATTAATATGCTGTATTTGAGCTTTTGTTTGAAATAATATATTTAAATAATTTAGTAACAGCAAAATAATTTTTTTTTTTTTACATTTTGTCATACTAATATTTGAGTTGCTAATATACAAATATTTTGTAGTAATTTTACTTTTATTATTTCAACTCCTTTAGAAACTCCACCACCTAAATATAAGGCACCAGAAGATATAGCTGAAAAACTTACAAAAACTGCCACACCCGATGAAACTGGTATATATATGTTTTTAATTTGTTATTGATAAATTGTTACAATTAAAATTAAGTAACTCTAATATCACTAAAACTCTTTTTTTTATATTAGATTAGGCCTCTTTTAGATTGATTTAGATTTCATTTGAATTCTTAGATTTCATTTGAATAATTCTGAGCTACTTAACTTTTATTTCTTTTAACTATAATTTGTTTAAAATATTTTTAAGCAAAACGTCATAAATTATTCTATAACCTAAAAGTTTCTTATAACTTTTCTTTCTATCCCTGCCCAATAGAGTTCACAAATCAGAACATGTTACAACAGTGTTTAAAAAGAGGGTAACATGACATCTGTTATAATCAGTAGTCTTTTTTTTCCGATCTTATTACTTTCGTTTTCAGCATAAACACTTCTATGTATTTTATTGAAATTTAGAAATGAAAGGGCGTTATAAATTTTAATTTCATCTGTAAATGTGCTGTTGTAATTGAAATTTAATATTGCTTTAAAATGTTAATACATTTTCCTCTATTATTCATATATTTTTTACTAAATGCTTTAATGTTCTCTGCTTAGTATTTTTTACCTTATGCGTATAATAAATATTGTAAATATGATATAAAAAATAAGGTACTTTGGGATTTGCCCGTTGACCATTTTCGTAATTTGGGATTATCCCGCCAACTACTTTCTTACCTTGGGATTATCCCGTCGATCATTTTCGCCAAAAGGTAGCTTCTGTGCCAATAAATGCAAATTTTATATTCCGCCAACATCCCGGAACTGCTCGAAAACACCTGGATTTCTTATTTAAACGAATTTATATGGCGGCAACTGAACAAGGATAATGTCTTGTTTGCTCTTTATAAGCTATCAGGGATTTTCGGCCATTAAATTGATTTATAATAATTTATATGGTTAGATTCAAGAATAACTCAATGTGTAATTATAAAAAAATAGAGGTTTTTACTTTGTTTTGATTCTTTTTATTACATATTTTTAAATTTAGATTATTTTGCTATTATTATTTGATAAATTAAATGTGTTTAGAATGTTTATTTTGGACATTGCTTTTCTTTATGATGGCGTGAAAAAATTTGCTCATTTTCGCGAGCAATTTGCAGGTCGACAGGATTATCCCAAAAATAATTTAAATAAGTAATTTTTTCTTCCTATTGAATAAGATGTGGTGGTAGGCTGAAAAATCTAGAAAGTAGCTTTTTGTAGATATTTTTTCCTTTTTCATGAGGTAAAGTTGTCAACTATTGTGGTGTCATTCAAGGTTGTTTACTTTTAAAATGGTACAGGATATACCCCAAATTTAGCATAAGCTAATATACAAATTTATCATCTAACTCATATGACGAACTTTTTTCGCCTTCAGTATTAATATTAATAATGTATTCAGTTATTTATAATGTATTTTTTAAACTGTTATTTTATTCAGTGTTTATGTTTTGATGTGAAACTACAATACCCTATTTAAGAATTTTGTTGCAGAAACGCAACATTTTGTTGGGACATAAAAAGTACTGCTTTAAAATCAAGTGGTTGAGAATCTTAAACTAATCTAATTTGCTATGTTGTTAGATACTGCTTTATTTTTAAAACATCCTCATCGCCATCATTTTATGGTGAATTTAAATTCCTTGTTTCTACAAGATAGTTTCAAGAATCTAATAAACGAGTTAAAAGTTCTTAGGGACATTTTCCATATAAATATTTTGGAAAATATCTCTCAAATTTTAACCAACTTACAAATTTCTGCTGCAAAATCCTTCCTTTCATAAAAATGTTTTGCCATGTTTGACATTAATGAACTTTTTTTTAAATAGTAGAAATAATTATAACATTTTATTTAAAACAAATTTTTTTTTTTAAATAAAATACTTTTGAACATTTTATAAGGTTTATAATTTGTGACTCATTTGAAAGTTTGTATCAATTTGCACAATTTTTTATACAAATTTAAAATGTAATCATATTACGCTTAAAAGTGTAGAGGTATCCTGTTATTTAATATCAGCTAACTAATTGAAATTTCTCCCAGGCATTTTTAATTAATGTGATGCTGTAAGTTATAAGTTAATGTTTCACTTAAATATATATGTTATGAAATTTTTTACATTCTATTATAAATATTTTAAGTTTTTATAACTAAGAAAAGAAGAATTTAAATAAACATGGAAGTTAGTATTTTCTTCATGTTAATTTTTATCAAATGAGCTTTTAATTTGTTTGTGCTTACAGTTATATAGGCAGTTAGTAAATTATTTTTTTATTATTGCTTTTAGTGCCTCTTGTGTCTCAAGATACTGATGTGCCACTAAACTCTGGTAAAATAACTCCTGCTAATGTATTAGATAGAGCTCGTAGTAGACTGGACCAATTTTGGGGAAAAAACAAGTGATTAACAGCTAATAGAGATAAAAATATCAATTTCAAGGACCCAGTGTGTTATGCTAAATTATTTGATTTTATTATAGATTTTTATGTGTTAATATTTTTCCTCTCAGATTTATTCCTTTTTTGGTATGCTTTGGTAAAATCATGATTTAATTTTGCTGTTCAACTTTTCTATCATGTCTCAAGAAATAATAGCATTTCATTAACCTATTCTCTACAATTTGATGTTGTTTTTTTTAAAAAAAAGTAAATATTGCTTAAAAACTTTTGTTAGTAAATTTATTTGATAAGTAATATATATATATATATATTGAATTATTAAATCACGAGGAAGATATCTCAAGCAGCATTCACGAAACATTATAAATTTTCTTGTTAATGAATTTTAACGTAAGAAATTTTATGTGAAACAGTATTTGTTATTTTAGAGATCTTTATTAGAATTATAGATCCAAAAAAGTGATTAATATTTAAAATTTTCTTTCTTTGAGGGAAAAATAAAAACCGATAATTGAAATGTTGTTTCTACTAGAATTTTCATTAAATATTTTTCAGTAAATGTAATCTTCTTTTCTTTAAAAAAAATGTGGTTTTAATAAAATAAACTTACAAATTATGTAGAAGATATTGTTTAGTGACCTTGCTTTGAGTTAAAAGTTTGGCAAACATTTCGTGATTTAGTTTAAATATTTATTTTTAAGTTAGTATAAATATTTTAAGAATTTCTATTTTCTAAAACTGTAAACAAAAACCATTTTCATGCAGTTGTCATGTTAAAAAAAGTATTTAAAAAGAATTTTAAGTGATTAAATTTTAAAAAAAATCAAATAAATTAAAATTGTACTCAAAAATCGTGATGAATGAATAACACTTTTGATACCTTCCTTCTTGATACTTCTTTATTCTTTAGTGAATTATTCTATTTTTAAATAAACAACTTTAAACTTACACTGTCAACTGTTATAAAATAATTGTTCATTGTTTTCCTTTTTTAAATTGTTAATGTGTTTTTCAGAACAGGACTGTAGTTGTAAATTTAGTGAGAAATATTGAATGAAATATTCGAAAATAATCGTATCACTAAAAAATTTTTACAATGCTTTTTGTTTTTTAATAACCAAACTTTTTAAATCCATGAATTGATAAAAATTGAGAAATATTGAATTTTTCAAAATTCCCTGGCTTTTCCATTTTTTTCTCCAATTACATGCATAGTATTTTAAAATAGTTGTTAAGCAATGAATATTTATTAATATAATATAATAATTAACTTAGATAAAATCATTCATAATTAGTCAAAAGACTTGGAAGATGTGGAAAGCATAAAATTACTGCCAAAAATTGTTTTAGAAGAGCGGTTATGGAAAAGATTTTTCTTGATTTATTCGTGTCTAATAATAATTCATTTTTAACGAAAACTAAATTGACTACAAATATTACTGCTACTTCACTACAGTCCTGCTATAAAACATTGTTCTTTTTATTTGGTTACAAGTATATAAATGTTTATCTGTAAATGAGTTTATATTGTTTTTAATTTTATTGAATTATAGAATTTAATCAGTTCATTCATTACTAAACGTCCATTTTTTATGTGCTTAATTATATAATATTGCTTAGTTTTTAGTTTGCTATATTTTTTTTTAATTACTGCATTATCTATTAAACTCAAAAGCAACTTGGGTAAAAAATTCCTTAGCTATCAATTTTTCTTTCATGGTACATCAGATTGCTGAAGAACAATCAGTCGTCAGTTAAAGCCTTAAGTTTTTAAAACTACTTATTGTTTGTATTTTTAAAGTTTTTTCTGTAAAGGTCACTTTTTCAAAAAAATATCCTGGCTGGCTGTCTGTTTGCTGAAAAAATTATGATTAATGCTATTAAGATGTCATAATTATTTAATTTTAGTTATTGTTACACTAATTTTAAATACAATTCATAAATGGTACAAAATTATGTACTTTGCTATAAAAAGATGTCATAATTTTTTAGTTAATGATTCAATGAATATCTTTTGATATTCTTTCTTAATTATTGAATAAAAATTAAAGTTTAAGTGTATTACTTTTTAGTTCTTAATAAATTAATAATGAAAAAAAGCAATCTTATTTCTAAAGAATGGTTACAAATTAATTTTTATTTATTGAAACATGTTTCAAGATTATTTATATCAAAGATAAGTGAAAGACTATTACTAAATGTAATGTTTCTAAATTCTTTTTTTTTTTCTTCTTATCTGCATATGCATGCCATTTCTAGTGTATCTAAAATTCATGCACAATTGTCTTTCACATGACTGTATAGAAAATTTGTGTGAAGTTGGTTACTGATAATTGGATAAAGTGCCTGGATTAGTTCATAAGTGTTGCACAGCATTGAAAAAATATTGATAGTTTCAGCTTTTACTTTAAATAATTGATATCACATGCCTTTTTTTAGTCGCTTTATATATGTGTAAATATGTTAATCAGAGATTACAAAAGTTAATCTGGGAGCAAATTTGAAAAAAAAAGTTTCAAATTATTGTTTTAAGATGATAGGCAGGGAATGTTTTTAGAACCATATATTCTTTATTCTGCTCATTGATTTACATAAGTGTAGTTTATAATTAATACCAAGACTTTTGTACCATTTAAATACTTCAATTTTTAGGAGGAATCAATTGCTAATAATAAGTGAAATTTGTCTTATTACAGTCGATTTATAATAACTCTATGAAAACTTGACATGTTGGTTTTCAATTTAAAAATAATAACAATTGTTTTTTTTTATATTGCATTTGTTAATACATAGCTTTTAAGAATATTTTCTCTTACACTTAAATCATCATCATCCGTGATAATTCAACCCTATATCATTCTTCATAGTTCAATTATATCCTTCTGGTTAAAGACTTTTTAACGTTTGCCAAGACATCTTTAGTGATAACACTTCTTTCACATAAAATCTAATATTAAATGATAAACACAAAGCTCGTTGAAACCTGATGGGTTTTAAATGAATGAGATAAATTTGAATACATACAGCTGAATTGAATACTTTCATTTCAAAATCTCAATGCATGTAATCCAATGTAATATTGTTGCATGCAAGTTCATAAATCCTTTCGCTAATGCTGACACAAGTCGTTCCGACAAATTATATAACGTCAGATCAAGTTAAAAAAAATTGAGTTTATGGAACTAAATCTCTAGTAACCTAGAAAAATTAATACAGGATTAAAGATACTGGATACAAGGTGTCAAGATGTTTACTTATTGATGTAATGCAAGGTGGAGGCCTCATAAAAAATTAAGTTATACTTATTTTAAAATTATACTTAGGGTTAGTTTCAGTGATTAACTGCAGTTATTTTACTAGCAACAGGAAAAGATAATATCTTTGAAAAATTGGCTCAATGAATATGGACAAAATATTTCAATGCTTATAAAAAAAAAAGATTGCTTTCCTTTTGAATAGTGACAAAGTCTGTGATTGCTGTCTTACAAGACATACCTTGTTAAAATGGAAGAAGATATGAATTTTAAACCTTCTTTAACATATTAGTACACCTAATTAGGACAAAGGGAGAAAGGCAGAATGGGAAAAACTTCCGAGGAAGGCCCAGGCTCACAAAGGGCTGTCGTGCCAATGCTGATGATGAATTAGGACAAAATAATCTTATCATATAAGAAATGGCCCTTAAAATAAATTTCTGGAAAGAGCATAAAGTGGAAAGGTTTAGGCAGTATATTAATAAGCTGTTTATTTAAATTGTTGAAAGTATTTTTTGATTAGAAACACTATAATTTCTATGAAGACAAGATGTTTCTATGTATTGTGCTGTTTTACAAAGGAACATCACTCTTTTGGTTTAAGCCTATCGCTTCAACTCTCCAAACAACACCTGGTCATATTCCTTATTTACTTTTGGCAAAAGGATTGTTTCAATAACAAGATTCATTTGTTGGGTGCAATTTAATTGCTTCACAGATTATTAAAATTATTTTAATTCTGGTAGTTTTAAAGGGTATGAAAAAACCTTTATTGAAAATATCTTGTTTTTCCTCCTTCAATAATTTTTGTCACTAGTCAATATTTTACCTTAGTTAACTTTATTGTTTATGTGTCATGTTTCTCCCTCAAATTATCTGTGCGAATGATTGTCAGAGCTTTTAAAATGAAATGTAATTGCTGCAATGGATTATGGGTCTTAATGAAGGCAATACTACTGTGAGATTTAAAAATCTTATTTTGATTCTTGATAGCTATAGTAGTTAGTATACTATAGAATTATACCTATTTTAATTTTTACTGGAAAATTTATTCAAGGCTTAATGATTTATTAATCAACACCTGACACAGAATGAACATTTTTTTTAAAAATTTGATTTTTAATTGTTCAATAATTTTCAAATGAGTCTTAAAGCAATTTTCTGTTCTAAAAAATGGAAATCTTTTTTTATTTAAATTTTCTTTTTTTTTAAATTTTTTAAAAAAACATTAATTTTTAGTTTCTCTTTTTTTTATTTTTTATCTACAACTGAAAATTATTTCAAAAAAGAATTAATGTTTAACATTTCAGAAAGTTTAAAAAAATAACTTTTCAAAGGAAAAAAAATATTGTCTTAACAGTTTGCCTAAAATTGCCACTTAAAATTTTATCTCTATAATAATTATTTAAATGTTTTGTTTAATTGATTTGCATAATAAGTAACTATGTATTATGATTTGACCATTAAGCTTGTAAATATAAAATTTCCATCAGAAATTATTTTGTACTACAATGTATATAACATTTTAATTTATATATTAAAATTTTATACAATATCACATGCTTGTTATAACACTTGTGAAGCGTAAAAAAGAATACCATTATTTATTAATAGATCAATGTAATGTTGTATTTCTAAAATTTGCTGTATCAAAACTAATTTCTAACTGTGTAAAATGTATCAGAAAATTAAATTACATTGAATGTATCAGTATAAATACTATTTACTTTTATATTTCAGTTATTGTTTGAAAACAAAATAACTGTGTCAAGAATGTTTACCTTTATTGCTTGAAAGCATTTATGTTGAATTGTTCACAATAAAATTGTTTTATTGTGTTTGTAGCTGTTTATTTATCCTTAATGTAGCTAATACTATTTCCCATACCACTTAACGAATTTCTTCTTGTGCACCTGAATATTATTCTAAGTCAAAGAACTTCAAATAATATCTTAGTGTATATTTTTTTTATTATTCAGTGTCAATAAAATTTTTTAAATGTTATTTAATGCAGTAGTTCCAGTCAGTAAATAACGAGGTAAAGGCTAATTTAGAAAAATTTATGCAATGAAACTCTAAAGTATAAGTTTCCAAATTTATTCTATTGGGACAATTTGTCCGCTATTGCTTAGGTTTCAATCCCATACTGACGCAAGTTACACAATGACATGCTTGCTAATAAAAAAAATAGTAAACAAAATAAAAATATAATAATAAAATAAAACATTGGCTGCTGTTTAAGCAAGTTATTCCTTAACTTCAGTGTCTGTTTGAAGTTATCGTCCCTACAGTACTTTTTTGAGCTGACTGAAGATGTGGAAAGTACATGGGGACAGATCTGGACTACTGTGTGGGTGGCACAAAACTTCCCATTTGAACTTATGCAGAAGTTCCTTTGTGGCCTCTACTTAAAATGTTCATGATGATGACTTTAACAATACCACAGCATAGCCCTACTGCTGCAAAAATGTTTCTGCAATGTCCGATTTCGTAGGATCTTTCATTTATGCAACATGCTTTGGAACTCTACTGAATATGTCATCTTCAAGTGATATGGTGCCTTAGTAACAAACAATTGCTTCACATCTGAACCGTTTATAAGGGTACAGAGTTACAATGTACATCCTTCCACTCATTGATGGATTTCATACAATGGTCAGAATAACTAAAATTTTCGGTATCTAACTGCAACTACCTTTTTTAAAATGTAGTCAATACTTAAAATTTTTTATAAGATAAGATTTTTTTTGGAAGTTTTAATTTACACCTATGTTGAAAATTGAAAGAATTCATAAAAAGTAGTTTAAGGTAAAAAATATTGATTGATGTTAATATGAGCTAATTTATTAAAAGCCATTTTTTCTTTTCTTTTTTAGTGATTTGCCTTCCAGTTCAACAGCTTTTGTGCTTCCCTTTGAAAAAAAAATTTGGGTGTTCAAGCATGATAAAACTGAGTTCTGTAAAAATTTTGAGCAGCTACTGAAAATATGTGGTTATTTGAGTAGGATCATTACGTTGAATTTTTTTGAAATTGGCCAAAGAAATGAAGAATTTAGAGATAAAAAAATATGTATTCCGGGAGTAAAGTTTTAAAAAAAACGAGAGAAAAAAATTATCTACTAAGAATAATGAATATAAGAAGGAAAAGAAAGTGTTTGATGTATCTATTAGGCCAGTTCTCCCCAACCTTTTTATCGGCACGGACTGGTCAACGTTTGATAATTTTACCATGATCTGCTGGGGGGCGTTGATTGTTTAAATTATAGATGGTTCTAGTTGAGTAATTTTAATTTTATTGTATTTATAAATGCCTTCGAAATAAAATACTGTAACAGATGCAGTATATGTCTCTCAGCTCCCAGTTAATTTCTCGTCCATTAAAAGTTGCACTAACTCAAGAGAAATGTATCACAATAAATAAAATGGAAATAACTCTATTTCTGTATAATAATTCTGTATGGAATGTTTCTTTGGCAACCAAGTACCAATTGATTCATACACTGGCACCAGACCAAGGGTTGGGGACCACTGCATTAAGTGATGAAATTGGTACATTTATTTAATTAGATAGTTTGTTTTATTTCAAAATAAAATATAGATATATATTGCAACTACTATAGTCTGTCTAAGCTAAGAACTCCTCCCGCCACAAAGTCTGAGGTCGTCTGGTGCTATGGAAACAAGGCGTATTTTAGGGAGGGTAGCTTCACTCTAGGACTAACATAATAGACTGAAGAAAAAGATTCCCGTTGACCCGAGCCGAAACCACTCCAAAACAGTAACACCGCACCCCTTCCAGACGAATGTCTGGAGGAGTTCTTATTTTAGCACACTATACTTATGACAGATCAAAGGTAACAGTAAGAGTAATTTTTGTAACATGGTGAGAAACATTTGTTGTCAGTTGAAAAAGCTAAGTTTTGGTTTTAATAATCCAATATTTTCTGATAATGCTATGTCAGTTTTTTGCTAAAGTTCTTTTTAATAATCAGCAAAATTTTGATATAATTTTATAAATATAAGGTGAAAATTTTTTGGTAGATATTTAACAATATGAATTGAACTAAAATTAAGCACCAGAAAGTATTTTTCAGAATCAGTATTTTTTATTTTAAGGACAAATATTGAAATTTTTAGATGCTAAACTCAAATTAATTCTAATTTCTTTGGTTTTTAAAAAGAAATTTCCTGACATTTAACTCATTTTTCTAGATTCATACCCAACATTGTTCTTTTGCCATTCTGTAGTATATTAATAGAACATTAGGAGACAAAACATGCTTTATAATGCAATTGAAAAACAGTGATTTTTTATGCATATGCTTATCTGTCATCTAAGATACATAGAAAGTATATTACAGGTAATGGTAACGTTTGGAAATTTGAGGGTTAAACTTAAATAATAATATGGTTTATTTTATTTCATACATTTGAAATATGTGATTAATAAAGCGATAAGTTACCATTAATAAAAATAGTCTCTGCAAACTACTGATAAAAAAAAGGTGCAAGAATCTACTTATTTCAAAATAATCTGAAAAAGGATGAAATGAGACCAATAGAAAAGCTATGTTTAATCATTTTCCTACAGTTAATTAAAAAAATTTTTACAGGCTTTTTTTTTTTTTCCTCTCTGAGATCTGCACGCAGCGATAATTATTATGAGACCCAGTCTTGTTTGATATCTAATCATTTGTAATAAAAAAATTAGTTTAGTCAATCCTTTTTTAAAATCTAAAAAGAAAAATGTAGTCACTTTATTATTGGGGCGAATCAAGAATGCTTAATTTAACAACAATCAAGAAAGCTCTACAATGTTGTTCATTCACTTGCAATAAATGGTACTTCATGGTTAACAGGGCGCAAGCCGAAAGTCGCCAAAAAATGTAGACTTACGTCAATTTTTTTAAACACAGAACAAAATGGATGTTTACAGGAAAATAAATAAAAAAAATTAAAAAAGAATTGTTGAATTTTCTTTAGCCTAGCTAATAAAGAAGTATCCAATAAATATACTCAAAATATATAGGTATATAGTAGTTTATTCAGAATTGGCTATGAATTTTACCATTTAAATTGGTTTTCGACTGCAATGTTTAATTTTTTTAAGAATGTCACCATTATTTGGTGATCATTTTAGGACTTTAATTGAAACAGAATCCACTCACATCTTTAGTAATAAAAACTCATTTTAGTACCTAATTTCTGCTAAAATCAATTTTTAATTTAAGATCTTTAGAAAGCTCTAACATATGTCACCTTTAAACATTTAACTATATAATTTTTCACAAAGGTACTTGTTAATATGAGGTCAGAATAACTAATTTCAATTTGTTTTTATTTTTTAAAAAATCAGGGTGAACAGAAAAATATTTTTTAAACATGTTTATTTACATGACATCTGTACATTTAGAAAGTTCGCAAAGTAGATGAGACTGCAAAATAAAAACACTAAGTTGCTTTGATTAAGAGTTTTAAAATTTCTAATTTTTTAAGAATAAGTTTTGCTTTTAATCAGGTAGGATCCTGTCATTCATCATCATTTTAAGGATGTCTTGATTTCATGAAAAACTTCTTAAAATACTATTTAAAAATATAAAATTTTTAGAGCCAAACCTATGCTTTTTTTATTCCTGAAAAATCCTGGAACTATATCTTCAGCATGTTTTTAAAAAATTGGTTGATTTTTTAGAAAATCTATCATTTGCATAGTTTTTTTTAAAACTTTGCAGAGAGAAAAAAAGGTTTTCTCTTTACAAATAAGTAATATCATCAATTAATTTTAATTTCTTTTTAAACAAGTGATTTTTTATTATTTTCCCTTTTAATAAGTATACAATTATTTGCTTTTTATATAAGTAAAGGGCATTAAAGGGTAAAATACATTAATTAGTAGGAGTGTTGTAAAAGGGGCAGAATTTTTTGCAAGCTGTAACACTTCCAAATGAAATGTCACCTAGAATAAGACCACCAAACGATAATAATCAAGATTAAGTAATTTTAATGAATTTTTACAAGTATCTAAATCCAGGATGGTAGGACACTGGGCTCATGGTGAAGAGATCGTGTGTTTGAACCCCGCGACCGAAGACTCCCCGTGTAGTAAAATGTGTCTGGTGCATGTTAAATCTGACAGGGCACAGAGTCCTCCATGTTCCTATAACAAATCGATTCCTCTGGGGGTACTGATTTAGCATCTCCCTTGTCTTCTGAAATGTGATCAAAATTACAAGGATACGGAGATGAACTGATAGTTATAAACCCAGAATTGAGTCGTCTGTTTAACAACGGTTAGAAAATAAAATAAAAATCTATTTGATATTTGTTTCTCAATATAAAAAGAACAAGAAAAGCTTAAAATATATTTTTTTTATATTCTTTATAAATATAATGAACATTCTTTATCGTTCGGTCAGCTAAGACTTTTAATTAAAGTGAAATTCTAGATTATTCAAATAACAGTAAGAGAATTAATTCGCGGAGAATAAAACTTCAATAATTTTCGTAGTGGAATATTAAAATTTTGAGCGCACCAAAGAAATTATTTTAAATTACATATCTAATCAAGAGTAGCATGAAAAAGATTTTAAACGATTGTTTAATTACGAAGTAAAATTAATATAACTAAATTTTACAGGGATCTTTATTTCTGTTTCGGATCTAGGGATCCCAAGTCCAACAGCATGTGACAGAAAACAAAACAACATTAAATTCAACATCAATACAAAGAAGCTCCGCAGAAAATATGGCTTAAAATAATGCCTTTTATCATAAAGTTCATCTACAACAAAATTATTTCATAAAATAATAAATTATTTTAAATTCCCAAAAATATGAAATCTTTAAAAAAAAATGTTTGATTTATTATTTACTTTTCTATTTAAAATTTGTTTTCACAGTTTTTTTTTCTTAGTTCTTCCAGCGGTGTTGAGATTATAGCAGGTTCGGGCTGAGATCGCGTCAATACAAAATACAAAAGTGTGAATTGTGGGATATAAGCCTAAGATGGCGGCACCCATACTGAAATGGAAAAGAGTAACAAATACTGGTGGACAAGCTCCTAGACCTCGACATGGACATCGTGCAGTTGCAATCAAAGATCTAATGATCGTTTTTGGTGGTGGTAATGAAGGAATTGTTGATGAACTTCATGTTTATAACACAAGTAAATAAATAAGTGTCTTAGCTTTATACCGCTATTTACTACTGTAATGTTTTTGATGAAATCTCTGATATTATATTTTTATTATGAAAACTATGTGTTATTTTTCAATGATCTTAATGTCGATGATCTATTTATTTCATCGATTTACATAATAAAATTTAGTTATATTCATTATACTTTATTACTGTATAGCGATTTCAAGATGGCGGCGCCCGTGAGTACGTCGTGACAAATAAAAACAAACTGATACATTCATCCTGCAAGACATTATAATGTCAAAATAAGCTAATTTTATCAGAACCAAGTCATATGCCTATAACTTACATATATATTTAAAGTTTCGGTTTTGTATTTATATTTTTTTCTGCACTCTATCAACATCCGTTATAGAAATGTCATATTCAGCCGCATTTGGCCGCCATACTCTCAAAGCAGACTTATATTAATTGTAAATAAAGTGGCGGGTATTTATGTATGTAATATTTTGATTGTCATTTGAAAACATAAACTTTGAGAATACAATATTCTGATTGCGCTTGAATTATTTAAATTGTTAAGTTTTAACTGTCGATTTGTTATACTTTTTTTAAACTTTGTTCTTTGAATCATTTCTGTACATCTATATATATAAATAAATTTTGTGTCTGATCTGATTAAATTTAAAGCTAATTTACAATCTGTTACAGTATCTCTGCACGAATTTTGAATAATAAAAACCGCTTTGCTCGATTAAAATTCGCAATTTATTTACGAATGCAATTTTTAAATATAAATTTTATATAACATTTCAGAATAAGAATAATAAAAATGATAATTCTGAGGAGTTTAATTCGATAAAGCAAGAAATCTATGCGAAAAAGCATCGGTTACCAAATAAACTTCTGGCGGTAGTAATTGCAGATTAATCTTGTAATAAATTTAGTAATTTTTATCATATACATATGCAACATATTATGAAATTTCCAGGAAAATCATATTGCATTGCCCAAGTATAAGAAGGACATAACTAAACATCTGCTTTTATGTGTAATAAATTATCATGCAACTCACTAATCTTGCAATTAATGTTGAGCAATTTAGTCTGGCTAGCATCTTTAGTCAAACGCGTGACTTGTAATTTGCAGATCGTAACTCTATTATATAAAAAAAGGAATCAAAATTTGAAAAATTCTGTAGAAATTCAATAATAGAATCAACAAAACCAGGTGAATAATAAAATCGTCACTAATCAAATGCATCAAAAAGTTATTCTTCAAATGTGCAATTCCAAATATTCTGCAAAAAATAATGTACTAAAAAATCTAAATTTTAAAAACGATATGAGAATTGCGTGGTAATAAGAACTAGTTAAAATACAATCCGTGTGAGCTTGCGTGTTAATCGTTAGTAATGTAGTGCGTAAGAAACTGATTCTTCAAATGTGGAATTGAAAATTTCCTATATAAAACGATATTTCATTAAGAAACTAATCTATTTAAAATCTGTGGCAGTAGCTAACAATGTTGTAATCAATAAAACCATGTGTATTTTGGTGGTAAAACGTCTATAATCAATTGCGAAAAAAGGGAATCCTTCGAAGTTTGTCGAATGATATAAATTTAAGATTTCAAAAATTCAATCGTGTGTTATTCAATTGCGTGTTTTGTTTCGAGATTCTGTTTTTGTAATAAACATTATATTAAGAATGTTGGATTTAAAGACCACGCAAAAATCAATATCTGCCGAAAATACAATCGTAACAGTATGCATTTATGAAACCAAAATTTTTTACTTCCTTAAAGAAATCTTTGTGCAAGAACTCTAACTTTCTGCCACAGTGTCACTCCAATTCTGCCACTGGGAGAATTATTGTATTCCGTGTGTACCCAGAGTCCCAGGTTTTTCGTTCTTTCAGGTCTAAAAACTAGAAGCAGAGCATGTAATTTTTTCACAAATATTCACAGAATTTCTTTATCTCAAGACCATTAATTCGAATACTTCCGTGAATTAGAAACTTATAATCAGAAGAAAAATTTTGCTAAATCCTGTTAACAAGAAGATTCTTACCCCAATTTGATAGTTTTGGTTTGGTGGATTTTTTCCATTTTGAATATTTGGAACTGCACAGGAATGTGCTAATATCGCAATTCTTTATTACACAATTTTACTAAAAAAAATCAATTTTCATATTTACTTGATTTAAAAGTTAAACGCTGCAATTCTTGTTCACTCGTTTTAAAAATTCAATGTCGCGGCTCGTACGTGCACGTTCTTAAAATCCATCCGTTTTTACGCTAGTTTAAAATCCGATATTGCAGTTCGTACTCACATTTCTTTAAAATCAAATATTGCAGTTCATATTCTCGCTGTTCTTATATCAAACATCTATTTTTGTATTAATGCATGATTTAAAAACTGCGCAATTTAAAAATTCATTATAGCGATTCATATTCCAAAATTTTGAAATCCAATATTGTGATTATTAGTTATTATAAAAGGTGATATTCTTTATTAGTAGGTAATTTAATTTTAAATATTAGTTCAAACAATTATTTGAAATTTGAAGCATGCATGATACATAAATTGATATCGTTTTTTTGCACATGAAATTTTCAGGAGGTTTCACTTTGTGTCACAATCAACCTGGATAATAATGTTACAGAATGAATTCTTTTGAACCAAATAATTTGACGAGAGAAACTCATGAATAATGTTACTCTGGGAGAGAATATCACTCATACTAAGAAAAAATATTCAGGGACAGAATTTCTCAGAAATAAAATAATTTTGTAATATACAGTCAAACGCAAACAAAATACAGGAATATTCTGTTATAGAAAAAGGCCAGACTGATCAGGAGTTTACTGTTATTAAAATTTAAATCAACTATAGCAAATTTGTAATGAAATTTTTTTTAATGATAATTTGTTTTGGATTGTTAGCTTCATGATTCATTATCTTCATTATTTTATTTTGCAGCAAGTAATCAGTGGTTTATACCACCTGTCAAAGGAGATGTACCACCTGGTTGTGCAGCTTATGGATTTGTGTGTGATAATACCAGACTTCTGGTATTTGGTGGCATGGTGGAATATGGCAAGTATTCAAATGAACTTTATGAACTTCAGGCTAGCAGGTGGGAATGGAAAAGATTAAAACCTCGTGCTCCTAAAGGTCAGCCTCCACCTTGTCCTCGATTGGGTCACAGTTTTACTTTAATGGGAAATAGAGTTTATCTTTTTGGTGGTCTTGCTAATGATAGTGATGATCCAAAGAACAATATTCCAAGGTAATTGTTTTGTTTTTTTAATTGGTGTGGAAAATTATTCATTGAAATAGTTTTATATTTGTAGTTTCTTTTGTATAAATTGCTAGGATGCTTAACCAATGGCCCATGGGCCTCAGCAGACTTATATAAAATGAAAAACTTTCTGCATGTAATTATATTTAACTCTTGACCCTAGTTTCAGCTCTTTTGTTGCCACCTATTTTGGCAAAATTTGAAAATCACTGCTTTTTTAAGAAATGTCTCAACTTTTATAAAACAAACACTATATTATTGGTTATTATAAATAATGTAATGACGTAATCACTGGTAAAGTGCAGAGTGAAAAGTGTTAAGATCAATCTCTATGAAATTGATCAACGGGATAAAATTAGAGAATTTTGTCTTTTATTTTATTCTTTCTTTCTTCTTTTTTTTTGTTGCTATAATGAGTAAAACGATGTTTAAAAATATATTGTACTATGGGGTAACAGGGAATTTTAACGTTTTTATTTTTATAATGAGTGAAAAAAAAAAGATTCTGTGAAGGTGACGAATTTTCCACAACATTCCTGGTTCCTTTATACTACACATATCTGGGCCTTATAGTTTTCTCTATTGGAAGTCGAAAATTGTTAGAAAGATATGAAAAAGCTATGACCCCAAAAAGATGTTTCCTCAGGATGCATAATTTTACATCGCTAAGTAAATAACTTCTGTAGGCAAATTGCAACTTTTTTTTCTGTGTTAAAATCAGAAAGAGAACATAAGAATGATATTTAGTTTAATGAGTTAATAATATAAATTTTGATTTTAATTCTTTATTTAATGAAAATTACTAATTAGTGAAATAAATCAATTAATGTGAAATATTTTCTATGTATGCCTTTAAAGTAAAGAATTGTATTATTTTAAATAAGGCTTGCTTTTCTTGGAGGACCCTTAGTTTCCAAAGTCTAAAAAAATCACTAAGCTTTAAGAAGCCCTCAAATCTTTTAATTTGGTTGGCCAATTGAACTGGGTAAATAATATGAAAATATGAACCAAAAAATTTTTTCCATCGTCATCTGTAACAGTAAATCATTGATCCAGTTCAAACATTTTTTCAAACAATTAATTTTGTTTGTTTAAAGCAGTGTTTGTAATGAAATGGAACTTTTTATAAATTCCTGCAATTAAGTTAGGAAAAAGATATGTAAAATAAGCAAAAATTGAAAGTCTAATGACAGCTTCTTTTTCTTTAATAACTGTAAGTTTGCCCCATTAATTTTCTCTATAACCTTATAAGCATGCTTGCTTAAAATGATGTATGCTAAATAAATTTTAATATCTGCAATCGTGGAAAAAATTATTTTTACTTGTGTAAGTCATCATGTTACTTTAAATTAGAATCTGATAACTCAAAGCATTTTTACAATTATAACATTATGTTAATACTGGCTTTAAGAATCGTGCTTTCTTAATAATAGTTTTTATTCATCAAAGAGGAAAAAAGAAAGTTAATGATAATATAAATAAAAATGTATGAGTAATTGCAAATGTTTACTAGGTTGTTAAAAGTTATGCTATGTTTAAAACCTTATTTCCTAGTTTTCTAGAATTTTTTATGACTCCTTAGGATTAGTAGATCAAAAGTTCCTCAAGTCATATAAACTCGTTAATTAAGTTCCTTTCTTGTTATAGTGGTTTTATACCTTTTATTGTATCATGATACTTTAACTGTTTTTGTTTCATAATGTAGTAAGTTGTGCTATTCATATAATTTTTTTTTTAGGTATTTAAATGATTTGTATGCATTAGAGTTAAGAGGTCAATCTAATGCCATCCATTGGGAAATTCCCAATTTTGGTGGTCAGCCACCCCCTCCTAGAGAGTCACATACTGCTGTAGCATATACTGGAAAGTTTGATAAGCATTCAAGACTAATCATATATGGAGGAATGAGTGGATGCAGATTAGGAGATCTGTGGCAGTTAGACATGGGTAAATTTATTGTGCTCATATATATGTATTTTTATGTCCTCTTTATGGCTTATTTCTATATATATTTCATTTAAGTGGCACCATAAATTTGAGAATTTTCTCTATCTGTTGGCAGCACTATAGTTATTATTCATCTTGATAGATTGTTTTAACCAATAATTTAAGTAGTGTTAAAAACTTAGTTAAATGTTTATAGTTAAGCTATAAGTTTAAGTTATTTTTTTGTCAAATATCTTTCATAACTTTTTTTTTTAAATTTAATGACGTAAGATTTAAGATACAATTTTTATTCAAATTGTAATTAATTGAAATAAAATGAAAATACAATGTTACCAAAGATCTGGGTTTCTGATATTTTTGACAAAGATGGTTTTGAAAGGACAGTAAAGAACCGTACTTCTAAAACTTGCCTACTTTAATATGAATTTATACGCAGTAAAACTTGGTGCCAGTCGACAATTCTCTCAAATACTAATATCTCTCTGAGAGACATTTTTAATTGTAGCAAATATATATGTTACTAATTAAAAGTAACAGAAGCGCTTTCTGTATAGACTAGAACTTAATGTATAGACTAGAACTTAATGTATAGAATAGAACAGTATATAAATTTTTTAATTATGAATGTAAGAGTTTTTTTTTAATCTGCATATGAAAGAATACATATTCTAATATTATTGGTGATATTCTTCTGTTCCGAAAAAATATTTCTATTTACTTTTTTTAAATTCTGTTAACTTTTTTTAAATTTCTACTGTTTAGAAATATTGTTTATAGTTTATAATATCAATCGGAAATTCCATCTAAAGCCAGTCATTACAGAATTTTTAATTCTCAAAAGAAAGTAGAAGTAAAAAAAATCACAAGCGTTTTTTTAACCTCTGACATGCGAAAAAGGCATTTTTTGATTATAATTCTGCAGAAAGGAGGAAAAAATTTCTACAGAAAAATATTTTTTGAAAACTTCTACTGATAAAAAAAACCTTACTTCCTTGCTTCCCAAATAAAAAAATCTTCTGCAGGAACTCTGTATTGTTCTGGGACCATGTTGTAACGATTCTGCAATGGGAAATAATAAAACCAATTAAAATTTTAAAAAATTCATTTTTTAAGGATTTTCTGTAATAACAATTTTAAGTTTTATGTGTGAACGTGAAAAAGAATACATTTGGTGAAATTACTCTCTCCAAAAGACAAAATAAGGCAAATTGAGAAATGTGATTATTATTTCTTATCCTAGTAAACCCTAATAAAGAGAAATTCGTTGAATTTCATTAGTTTTTATGTGATCTTTGTGTAATTTTAGAATTAAATTTCAACTTTATAAAGTATGTACTTGTAAATGAAATTTCTATTATTCTACTTTCAGAATCAATGTCATGGGCAAAGCCTGTTGTTCAGGGTCTTTCACCTTTGCCTCGAAGTTTACATTCTGCTACACTGATTGGACATCGGATGCTTGTGTTTGGAGGTTGGGTACCGTTGGTAATGGATGATAATAAAGCAGCTACCCATGAAAAAGAGTGGAAGTGTACAAATACTTTAGCTTCTTTAAATCTTGGTATGCTGTTTTCATTTTTTCAGTTATATCTATTTCTGAAGTTATTTTTAAATGTAGATATTTAATTTTAATTTCAAAGTAAAATGAACATTATATTCAATTTCTCTCATAATATTGTTTCGATTAAAGAAATTAAAAGAACACTTATGCATATCTTTAATTTGTCTTATTTTACTCGTATTTTCTTTTTCAATTCTGTTTTTGTCTAGGGTACTATTTTTCTAGAGAATGTGCTTTCTTAATTCCTAGAGTTCACACCAGCAATGAAAATTTAATGGTTCAAAGTCGTGGTAGAAAAGTTGATAAAAAAAATCAAACTTTACAATTACATAATTTAAATGTACCGCAACACATTGTGGTACGTATCAAAAGTTATTAATTGTCCTCTAACATTCTAAAACTAATTAGGGGCATTACCCCCATAATGATTAAAGATTATTTTCCATTAAAATTAAGTAAAAGAAAAGCTAAAATAATATTAGTAAATAGATTCAACATAGAGATTAAAATGCTGAGAACAAATAAATAAAGAAAACAGATAAAGTAAGAGCAAACAAGAAATTATATTAAAGGTTACTTATCTAAAATTCTAAATAAAGCAATTCAAAAAGAGCCAGATATATTATTTTATTGAAGAAATATACCACTTGTATGAGATTGCAAGGTAGAGCACAAAATAAAAAATTTTTACCAGACATTTTCAATTATTCCATTTGAATTCATTACCATGCATATAAAAATAAAATTTGTAGAGGGATTTATTTTAAATGCATGGAATTTGATGGGGAAAAAAACTATTTTCTTTCTCATTGCTATTTTGTAAATTTCAAACATATTCTAATCCAACAAGTTTGTTGCCCATGTGTATGATTTTAGTGAGATTTGTAAAACATTTGATGACAGTTGTAGCCATACTGGCATAAATCCTATTAATTCCATACATTTCTATTGTTTTTTAATTCTTAACCTTGATAATTAGTAAGTTTTTGTCTGTGAAACATTTTTTTATTTGACAGAAATTGTTTTAATCGTATATTTTGAATATATTTTTTGACATGGTTTTTAAATATGTGTTGACTATATCTCTAAATCATCAATGATTGTGTTTACTCGGCTAATACTAAAGAAGTTCACCTGTTATTTTAATTTTGTTTTACCATACATTCTTTGAATGCATGATAGTTTCAAATTGTGTCCAATAAGTGATTTTAGCTGGTCTTTATCTTTGTAAAATCAATGTAACTTTCTTTTTAGTTTTAAAAAATTATATGTCTTTAAATTGACTTAAAATTTCTAAAATGAATTTTTTAGAATTTTAATCAAAAAGATTAATGTTTTCATAGTAATATGTTATCTGTTTAAAATACCAATTTCTCTCTAATTTAACAGAAACAATGACATGGGAACCCCTTGCAATGGAGGGTTTTGATGATGCAGTGCCAAGAGCTCGAGCGGGACATTGTGCAGTAGCAATAAATTCCAGGCTCTACATATGGAGTGGAAGAGATGGCTACAGGAAAGCTTGGAATAACCAGGTGGTGTTTATCGTTCTGTTCCTTTTGGATTTATTTTAATACATTTTATAAAGAACTAGTATTTACCTATTTATTGATCCGGCAAATGTCTATTAAAGACTTGTTGGAGAATTATCTAATCAGTATGTTTATATTCTAACATTCTTTATTTTTTTTAATCGAAAAAAGAAGAGATTAGTTTAAAAAAAATTTTTAGACCCTCTAACAGATGAATATTGTTTTATTTATGAATTAAAAATGTTCATTCTACACTCAAAAAGTTGGGGAGAAAAAGGAAAATGCATAGAACTGAAAAAGGAAAATGCAACAAAAATACCATTGATCTTAAGTGACCCGTAATGTTCATGGCACTTTTTTTTTTCCATTTCAATTTAAAAATAATTACCAAAATTAACATTTACACTTTTTGAACTCTTTTCAAAAATGAGTAAGTTCTAACATTTTAGGAGATTTGCTTATTCATTCGTTTTACAAATTTCACGTAGAATGTTTATTTATTAATGTAATTTAGATTTTAAAAATTATGTATGCGATTAACAAAACACACAAAATCCTGATGAAATTGTCAAAGACCTCATTAAAAGTTAATACTCAAATAATATATGCATTGGTTTAGCTCGATGAAACATTTATAATTTTTTTGTAGAAAATAAGTTATTAAGTTTATGATGACAGTCTTTAGTCTTATCTTTCTTTTTTTCATAACTAATTGGTTGATTTAAGTCTATTCAAGCATTTCTCTTTATTGAATAAAATTGTATTATTCAATCTTATTTCATTCCCTTCCAGTATATTTCACTACAAACTTATGCCATTAGCAAACATATATTTCCTGTCTTTAAAAAAGTTCTGCTCCTCGTGTATGTATACATCATTTACACATAATCTCATAATTGTGATTAAAAATAGGAAGATAATAAACACTCTTATTGCCTAAAACATTAAGTTTGCTCATATATTTTCTCTATATTTGTATTTCGACATATTTTTTAACTCTGATTTTTTTAGGTGTGTTGTAAAGATTTGTGGTTTTTGGAAACTGACAAGCCTGCTGCTCCACCCCGTGTACAACTTATTCGTGCTTCTACTAACTCTCTTGAAGTTCATTGGGGTGCAGTTCCTACAGGTTGAATTTATTGACTAAATATGTAATTTATTGACAAAATAAAAGATTTTTAATAAAGTGCATAAATTTTTATAGTGACTATTTTGTTTTGCTATGGAAAAAATGTAACTTTGTTTATAATAAAGTTAATCAAAAGATTGTCATAACTAATTTTAAAAGCTTTATGTAATAATATGCATTAAATATTGATAGTTAATTTGTCTTCTGTTAATGAATAAATCTAACAATACTTTACACATATATAGTAATTTAAAACAGTAAATTGTCACACAATTTGAAATGTTAAGGAGTTAGCTGTGCTTGATTGTAGATATATTAATGTTCTTAAAATTCTGTTCTTGTAAAGTGTTTTCTGTAGTGTTAAATTTAATAAATTTTAGCAGTTTTATAAATGTATTCATCAGTGTGAAACATAAAGGAGCAAAATATTGTATAAATATTAAATATGCAACTGTAACCAAGAGTGAAAGGCTTATTGTTTTTCTTTCAGCTGATTCTTACTTGCTGCAACTTCAGAAATATGATATGCCTCCAACATCCCCTCAATTGCCAACCCCTACCACACCTCAGCAGATATCTGCCTCGTCTAGTATTGCTTCAACTGCTACACCAGTTGTGCCTCATAATATTCTTTCAACAGCCAGTTCATTGAATTCAACACCTGTTACATCATCACTCTCATTAGCAACATCAGCAGTAACTACTACAGGTTAGAGCATATTAACTGTGTTTGTTAATTTAATTTTTAAGTTATATCAAGAGATATTTTTTGAACTACAAATCTTTATTACAATCTTGCACTTTTTTATTGTCTATTTTTTTTCAATCTTGTAATCTTATTAAAAATTTTGATATCAAATACTTATTTTAAAAAAATAATAATTGAAATTTCTTTCCTTCTAACAGCTCAACCTCAAACTCTTGTTCGATTTTCTGTGAACCCGGTTAGTTCAGCTGGCTCTGCTAATAAAAGTATGTATATTAAAATTTTCCAAGAGGTAACCAAATTTTCAATCTTTTGTTTAAAAAATATATATATATTTAAATCTTAAAATAGTTATAGACAAATCTGTGGCAAAAAAGAAATATGAATTCTATCAGTTCTTCAAATTCTGTTTATTTATTTCCAAATAATTTTTAAAAAATGAAAGAAAAAAAAAATTCCGTTTGAATCATGATATTTTATAAAAGATATTGCAGAAATCTGTTTAAGTCTTATGGAACTAAGCTTTTATGACTAGAGTAATTATAAATTTTTTATAACACTACCAATTTAAAAACTGTTTAAAAATTGATTTGGATCTTCTTTCTTTTCTTCCATTGTAGCTGTTACAGTTTTGCAGTCAAAAAATCAATCAATGCCTAAGCAGCAAATAAGGGTAGTCACTCAAACTGCTAGTGGAACTCACGTTGTACGTCCATTGACAACCACCTCTGTAAGTTATTAATATTATTATTTATAGCTTTCAAAGGAAGTGTTTGTATTTTGGTCAGCAACATTATCCTTTGCTAAAGAGTTTTTTTTTTTTTAAAGAATCTTAGTGAAAATAAGTGAAGGTTGAAACGAAAATTTGAACCACTTGAAGTTATCTGATTTTGTTATAAATGAATCATATTAGAGCACTTAATTTTTCACACACACACACACACATACACATATNTATATATATATATATATATACTGTTTGTCTAAGATAGATACTCTTCCCACCACAAAGTCTGCGGCAGACTGGTGCTGTGGAAACAAGAGGGCATTTTAGGGAGGGTACCTTCGATGTAGAGGCCTCCTTTTCTCTCGCCGAAACCAGTCCTAAAGAGGGACCCCGCACCCCTACTTAAAATAATCATACCTCATTACCATAGTCACCGCCACAGCTCCAGACGAATGTCTGGAAGGGTACCTATCTTAGACAAACAGTATACGTATATATTTGATATAATCTGAATGATAACATCTTTAGCTGTAAATCATTAAAATATTTAAAATATATTCTTTTGTTTCTTATATATTAATATAAAATTTATATTAATATAATCTTATCAATCAATCTTATATATTAATATAAAATTTCAGCGAAATCATATCTTAGACAGCATTTAACTTCTAAATAACTTTATATATGTGTGTATTGATATATTGTATACACTGTAAACTTAACTCTGCAATTTATATAATCGTATCTCTGACTCATCATAGCTGTGTGTAATCAGAAAAATAACAATCCTTTGCTGTGCAATGTTTTTATTTGGCTTTTGTAAGTTATTATTTTGTTTATTTTAACTTTATATAAAATTTAAATAAAATCTTATTTTAGACAACAGCCGTTACAACAACAGTACAACCAATGACAGGTATGGCCGCACTTGCTCATGCTGCAGCTTCTACCCAAAAACTAACAACAAGTGCAACTTCTACTGTAAGCAATATTAGAGTTGTCACCCCATCTTTATTAGGCTCTCAAGGCTTGAAACTTAATACAGTTGGAGGTGATTAATATTTTTTATATATAGATAACTTATTATTAAATCTGTCTATTGTATTTTACAGTTTGCCCATCTATCTTGTACATTTGTGCAACTTTTAGTTATTGCAAATTGCAGGCTATTTAAAACAGTTGCCTACCTGATTAACAAGTCATTTTCTCTAAGTTGCACAATTTTTTAAAGAAATGTATGATTGATTCTCAAAAAACTTGATGTTTTTAAATCACAAAATCTTAAAAACTAATAGTTCTTTAAAAATATCATCCTTACACTTAATAAAAATAAAGATGAACGCACTTAAACATTGTCAATAAATAACTATTGTCATAAAAGTCAATCTCGTGGCTTAGAAAATGCTATGAGAGTGGAATAACATTTTTGCATAATAAAAGCGTGAAATTTTTTTAATTGTTTTTGTAAGACCTGCTACTGACTTCTAAAAGCATATTTAGGCTTAAAAAGGATAGTGGGATCATACAAAATCGTAAGAATAAACAGCTAAATGTTTTATCTCTTTTTTTTTCTCCCTAAAATAATCCAAAAATTCACTAGGTCAAGTGAGTGATATGAAAACCTTGAAAAAAACTTAAAATGGTGAGTTAAATAATTAAACAGATTAAAAAAAAAGATATATTAAGATATTATTTTTCACCTTCAAATACTTAGTGTACTGGTATTACTTATGTTAAATGTTGGTGTAAAAATTTCAAATAAAGAAAATAAGTTTAAGAAAAAGTTTTGGATATGGCAGTAGAATGATTTTTAGGTTATTATAAGAAATTTTTCAGAAATTGTAAATAGATAATCTTTTTTTGTATGCATGGAAGTGTATGGTAAAAATTATTTCTTAACATGAAAAATAATTTTCACCCGAAAATCAATTTTGTTTTAGCATGATGTTAAATTTTTGAAGAATCACCCATTTGCAAATAAAAATTTCATGCTTTATTTTGCTGATGCTTTTTGATCAAAACTTAAATTATTACGTAGAAAAAAAAGCTATCCAGTGTGAAAAAGTCCATTTTGACTTTATTTTCTAGAGTATATGATACCATACCAAGGAAAAAAACATAGAGAAAAAACTGAGTGGTGTAAACTGTGCAATCACAAATTTACATGAAAGTTACTCTTACTGTTAAGCATTTATTATGTATTTAAAATTTAACAACAACTGAACATTCTGAATTGGGCATTGTGTACGTTATTTATAAAAATTATGGAATAACGTTGAAAAATTTATTGATTATAAATTAAGTTGCTTTTATACATATATTAAGTTATGGTTATTATATATTAAATTGAAGTTTTTTTTGTTAATATTTACATAAAATACTTTCAAGTTATGTAAGTTTTAAGTTTCCAATTTTGCTGTTAAAATTTTACTTGGAAAATATTAATTGTTTCCCAAACAATTAGAAGTGTATTTTGAAGATTTTTTGGTTTTATGCTATTGGTTTTTGGAATGTTAATAAACACTTTGTTTCACAATACTCTGCAAAAAAGTGTATCATATAATATACGAAACTTCAAAAAATTAAATGCTCGTTTCTAGGTATTGGTAATCAAACTGTGAGGATGAGTACTCCTACTACTCTTTTAAAATCACCTGCTACTGTTGGTGCACAAGGTCAAAAGCAGATAATTGTGCACAAAGCTCCTGGTGGTGGCAGTCAGCCTCAGATTGTTACTTTAGTAAAAACTAGCCAAGGTGTGACAGTGGCAACAGTAAGTATGTCTAACTTAAATGGATGTGTAACTCTAAATTCAATTGTTTTTACTGAGTTTTAATTCTTCCCAAAGATTTTCCACTTAATTACTTCTGTTTTTTTTATTAACCTTTCAAAGGATAAAACTGTTTGACCTTCATAGGATACTTCGTTTTATTACAGCTCAAAAGTATTACTAAAGTTTATTTAATTATTAAATTTGGAAATGTGACAGTTATGAAAAATAAACAGAATAAAATTGAAATGAATTAAATTGCAATATTTCTTTTAACTAACTAACTCTAACTAAGCAGCTGCAAATTCGAACCGAGAAAGGAAATTCAAGTTTCAAATTCAACTGTTCAGTAGCAGATAAAAAATAAAACTCCCTGTTTTTATGTGTAGTGTGAAAGAATAATGGGCCAGTAGTTAAATGCAATTTCAGATTAATTTGTTTTGATGTTCGGTTCGATTTGGAATATTGAAGTTTGCAGGGACCGCATATCTCCTACTTTTTCTATTTCGGCACTTTTCCTTTTTTTTCATGTTATTTCCTATTTTTCTTATTTCTATGAAATCTTCTCATTTCTGCTATTCCTCCTTTAAAAAGCATAGTGACAGCCAAGAAAACGGAATAATGACTCAAGGTCAAATATTACAACTGCACCTGTTTTTCAATTCATTCATTTTGAAAGGGGGCATGAGGAGCAGAACATGAATTCTTTTTAGTAAATTAGCTTCTGTGTCTGCTTGCCAATTTATGTTTAACTGGAGTTGAGGAGGTAAAAAATCGCACAGCTTAAGGTAGATACACTTGTTTTTCCTTCTGAATTCGATTATTGTTTCAGCAAAATGTTGAAACCAAAGTTAAACTCTAGATAATATTAATAATCCAGAGCCTGAATCCAGACGACATAGTCGCAGAACATTGCAGAGTTTTTGCAGAAAGATTTTTATGGTGCGTAGCATTTTAAAAAAGTACTTAAAGTTGCTTATTTTTGATTTTCGTTATTTAAAAGCCTTTAAAGGTGCTTGGTTTTTCATTGGGTGTTTTTAAAAAGTGCTTAATTTTCCCTTTTCAAAAATGAGGTTTTTTTATGTTGTTACCATGTCGATTTTCGCTACTTACAAAATCGTGCTTTTGCAATCATAATTGTACCTATATAATAATTTTCGTTTCATATTATTGTTTAAAATTATTTAAGTACTTTTAAGATGCAGATTTTGCTTATTATATGAATATGATATATATAAATTTTTATTTTATAGTAAGGTTAAGAAAAATTTTTGTATGAAAGTAATTGTCATTTCTACTTCATTTTTTTATAATGCCTAAAATTTTAGTCCCTAGCTTCTTTTTTTTTCCAAATGTTTTTTGTTTAATTACAACTATTGTTTCTTATATGATATCTGAAGCTTTATGACTCATAAAGAGTAAAACTAGAAATAGATATTTTTAAAATGTTTAAACATTTTGGATGTTTTTTACAGCAGTTCCCTACACATTCCTCTCTCTATATATTGTTGGAAAATCCACAAATAAATGTACATTTTTTGTAAAATATGAGTATCTAACTGCATATTGTTTTTAAGATAATTATTTAGAGCAGAAAATTATAAGCAGTGGCAAAATGTTTAAGAAAAAGAATTTATGAACTTATTTACATTTATGCAATTAATGAATTTTTTTGCAGGAAAAAAAAAGAAAGAATGCTTTTTTTAAAACTAAGTGACATGCTTTACATAATATTACATGTTAGTTTTATGGTAACTGAATATGCTTAATTTGTTTTTCAGGTCCCTAAAGTAAGTCTAGTACAAAGCAAAGCCACTGGCATTCAAGGACAACAGGTACTTTTTCAAATAATTTATTGTTACCTATTACTTTGTTTTTTTTCTTCAAACATTAAACATTCATTACATTTAATACAGACAAAAGGTACGATTCCTCAAGGAGCTACAATTGTTAAACTGGTTACAACTCAAGCCAATACTACAGGAAAACCTGGTGGTGTTCTAGCATCTTCTCCAAATACTAGCCAAGCAACAGTTGTTGGACTATCGCCACAGGTAATGTCAAGTTGCATAGCTGGATTTTAGATCTTAATCATTTTACCATTTTCACTAGTATTCTGCTAAACTACTATTAATGCTTACATCTCAACATCAGAAGCATCTCTTCATTTATTACGAAATATTCTCTATGATCCATATTCAAATATGCAATTCTTGACTTCTTCCCCCCAAATTTAGAATATATGCATTGAAAGGCACTGTGTTTGTAACTGTACTTTAAAACATTCTTAATTGGTTGATATAAAATTAAATCTCGTGAAAATCATAAAAAATAGGATTAGCATTGAAAACATTGGTGAAACTTAAGTATAATATGGTTTTCAGTTGTTTTGAATATAAAAATGTCATAATTGAGGTTAAAGATTTTTTTAAGTGTTTAATAAAAAGTAACACATATTCTTATGATTTTTACTAAAGAAAAAATATGAATCCTGGGTCACAGATAAATAGAGAAATGATTATGTATGTTAAAAAATTTTATGCTTGACACCCTGTTCATGTATACTGTTCAAAAAATTTATGATTTTTTGCTAATAAAAACTAAACATATTTAAACTTCTAAATTGATTTACAAACTCCTATTCATAAGCCTTGTGTCATTTTGGCTAAGCATTTTTCATGGCTTAAACAAAGTGATAACCATGTTTTGTTTTATGTAGGTGTTTTATTTTATATTTTTAATATTTATGTCATTTTTATTAATCTCTTTTTGAATGTTTTTTGTAGGGAGGTCTACAGCCAAAATTAATGACAACAATACTCCGAACTTTGCCAACAAATATAATAAGTGTTGCCAAACCATCTGCTGCTGGTACCTCTAGTACAAATTCTGTCTCTACTATATCTGCCTCACCAAAGCAAACTTTTGTCATAGCAGCTCCTGGAACAGGTAAATCAGGCACACCTGCAAAAATCATTTCAACTGTTCCAAAGTTGGCTGGATCAGGAAGTTCACTTTTAGTATCCTCTTCTGCCAGTGGAGTTAAATCAATATTAACAACTGTTGCTGCAGAAAGTGGAAAAGGTATGCATAATTGTGTTTTTACTGTATGCATTGTAAAATTGTACCTGTTTCTAAAAATTTAATGAAGTATATATTCTCTGATTATATATTTTATTTGTATACATGCAGTTGAACTCGTTAAATCAAGGTCCATGTTAAAGCCAAATCTGCCAAAATTATCAAAAATAAAAGCTATAATGTAAAAGAAAAGCTAGAAGATGTTTAAAAACAGCTGGATTCATACACTTCAACCAAATTCTGGAAAACTCTGTGAGAATGAGATTTTTTATTAAAAACCCTTAAAACAAAGAGCCTGAAACGCATTGAGACAATTTTTACCCTTTTAAATTTTTTTTAGATGTCAGTTTTATTGTACTTGTTAGTTTTCCAATACAATATTGAAACTTTATAATTGTTCATTTACTGTAATATTTGAATAATTTTTTAGATGTCCGTCTTTGTAAAATTATGAACAAATTACTCGTAATTTGTGAATATAAAATAAATGTTAAGTCACATTCTTTCAACCAGGTTCTGCTTTTATGAATTTGTACAAATAGGGTCCTGTTATTGCAAAAAACTTTTTCAAGGAGTTTTTAAATTGTAAAGAGATACAAGATTATGCTTAACACTGTAAAATTATAATAAAATAAAAAAATTTAATTTTAAAAAATAAACAGCAATTGCTGGTACTAAATTAGAGATGCAACATACAAATTATCGGTATTTAGCCTATACTGCTGAATGCAGAATATTCATTTCGGATGAATAAAGGAAGAAGCGTCTGCCGAAGACAAAACTTAGTTCTTTTACATCTGTCTTTCTTTCCCCCCACTTCCCTGGGAAGAATTTATTCAATTAACAAAACAATAATGAAGATAATAAAATTTGTGAAGGGTCCGTTTTTAGGTTAAAATATTTTGTGAAGTGTCCGTTAACAAACTCAAATTTCTTCTAAACAGATCCCTGGTAAGAATTTTAGAAAAAGTAATAAGTTATCATACCTGCCAACTTTTATGCATTTCCAGTCACCTCTAAGCTTGTACACCATTTTTTATGCATTTTAAATTATTTTTTCCGAGTACATTTTTTAAAAAATAACGCTTCTAGATTTGCACCACAAGTGCGTTTCTTGTGTATGGAATTGGTTTTCCCATTGTGCAGATACCTATGCAGAAGGGAACTGATGTACCACAACATAGCAGCGAGAACAACCTTCAGCAGATAAACTGTGTTATGTAGGCGTGACTTAAGCATTTCTTGCATAGGAATTTGTGTCATATGTGCAACTCAATGATTGTTTTTTGTATAGATCACATGGATGGCGAGCAATACTTTTAAATTTTTATTGTTATTTTGAATATTTTATTCACTTATGATAAAAGTTATGGCAATAAAAAGACTTAGGCAAAATGTTCAAAGGAATTTCCATTTTTAAGACCCTCTAAACTTGGCGGTAAATGCTTGTTCTGCGAGATTTTGACATCCGAGATTGTTGTAGAATATCATTGTATCTGTTTGTCAACAAAACGAATAAATGACGAAGTTTCTATAGCAATAAATTTTATTTCTATAGCAATTAATTAAAACACAGTGACAAATGAATAGCGAAAAGAAATAATGCAGAATAATCAGCTTCAACAGAAGCTTCACTACTCTTTAAACGGATGACGTCTTGATCCACGCAAGAACAACTAACAGCAAATTAAAAGAAACTGGCTGATCCCCTCTGGTTATGACGTTGCCGACTGAAGTTGAATGTATGAAACCGTCATCTTGAACGACTGATGAAGATTGAACCTATACCCTTTATTTTTATGTTATTTAATCAAAATAGAAAAAAAAACCTTTAGCGTTTATTTATCTAACAGATTTGTCGTTACTATTTTATCATTTCTCATCAGGCACGGAAAATTCACTGCATCAGTCAACCCAAGCTCAAATTAGATGGATATCTGAAGAATGATTATACGAATGTACTTAACGCTGAAATATTATTTATGGCATTTTTCATAGAATATAATTGATGCTGAAGTGACCAGAATAGAATCTGCAAAATTTTCTATTGTTCAGTTGTTGTTTTTTTTATTTTTAGTTTATTTCTATCACTAATTAAATCTAAAGATGTAACAGTTGATGAACTTCAAAATCAATTTCGTTCGCTTGAAGTGTAGAATATTTCTGATATTATCAATAAGAGTGGTCTTCCTTAAATTAAGTATGAACTCTACTTTAGAATTTAAGGTATACAATTTTTAAAACTTGAAATTTTTTTTTTTAAAGGTAAATAATTCATTTGCAGTGTTTAGAAAAACAATTTAGCTAAATCTATTTTCCCTGACAAAACCAACTTAACTAACAAAATTAATTTTTTTTCATTCATATAAAATGATTAATTTTATGTGAATAAAAAAACAAAATAAAAAGGTTTTTCTCCATACAAAAGTTTTGTTCCGACTGGAGTCAATTTTAATGCTAATGTTTTTATAGTTTTTTATTTAATTTTTAACTGTCCTTTTTTTTTAGAGTAATGGTTAAAATTGTCTTTTTCAGGAAAAACTATGCTTC